TGTGCGGTACTTTTTGCTTCTCCATGCAGTTTGTTATTTTTATCGAGCTCGTGGGTACACTGGTTCTGCCTGCTGCGATTGCATTCACCTTTTATGTTGGTACGTATTAGCTCTCCTATACCTCGTTGATGCAGACCACTAACCTTTTTTTTAGTTATCATTTCGATTGTCAACTCACCACCCCAGATCATCCCACTGGTCCTGCTCGCTCTTATCCTCGGTCTGCCTGGTTTGCTGGTCGTTATCACCGCCCACTCACCTTCTTACATCGCCTGGATGTTCATTTACCTCTTGTCGCTGCCCGTCTGGAACTTCATTCTGCCCACCTACGCCTTCTGGAAATTCGATGACTTCTCCTGGGGTGACACACGCAAGACGGATGGTGAAAAGACTAAAAAGGCTGGTCTTGAATATGAGGGTGAATTCGATTCATCCAAGATCACCATGAAGCGATGGGCCGAATTCGAGCGCGAGAGACGCACTAAGAGTGCTTACTGGGGCTCAAGGGAGAACATCATGGGTGGAAACCATGGCAGCTGGGCGCCACAGCCACCTGTCCACCATTATGACGACCACTACTCGTCGGACGCATAAAGTCGTTTTTGGATTGCGATATCCTCTCGACACACAGCGTATACATACATGACCAGGTGTTTAATTGCTTTCTTCTTCTTCGCTTTTCTACTTTGCTGCGCTGCTTCTTCTGCGCTTTCTCCGGTGTGTGTTGGTTTCATCCGGCGTGGGTACCTACTTCCAGACCACTTGCTGGCGTCGACGTCGATAGGGAGAGAAATAATTTGAACGGGAACGGGGGTTGGAAGCCTGTATGTGAAGAGGGGAGGAGAGGTCTTGCTAACCGACGAGGCATTGCTACATTCCTGTTCGTACATAGCTTTCTTGTTGTATCCGTTGATGAATAAACATTAGCCAACAATGTCACCCATGAAAATGCCATTGCGCACACAAGTCCATGATATAAAGCGTGACGTTGAGCAATGATGTCTGACTCAACGATTATAGACAAAACAAGTCACAGAGTACTTAGGTACGCAGTATGAATCCAAATAATAAGGAATTCCGACCCAAGCGCAAAAAGACAAGTTCAATTTCCCGCTGATATAGAAAACGACTCGCGCCCATGGCAGACGTGAGTGAAGACATAAGGTATGTAACATTGTGCACATCAAGAGGACGTCCAGAAACGCGACGCATGCTAACGCACTATATGACAAGAAGAAAGAGAAATCAGCACAACGCCAAACCGATCATGTTCTCATTAGCAGTCCATTGCCCTGGCATCATTATCTTCTGCTCGGGGTCTCGACATCCTCGCCCAGGTCCCACGGCTTGCGGGGATCAAAGAGAGTGGTCAGACGCTGGTCACCCCATCGCGCACCAACAGTCACCCATACGTGCTTGAGCGGCTCGGATGAGCTGGTCCTCTCACGGTGACCTGTCCAGCGCTGACGGGTGGCTCTGTCCATGGAGCTGTTGCCCATGCCACCATTGTTCACCCACTCCTTGACGACGTTCTTGATGAACTCGACTTTGCGACGAAAGTCGTTTGACGTGGGGATGTTGATCTCGTCGGATCCAATAATCGGTCGCTGGCGCGTAGTGGAACGTGCCGAGGACTTGGAGTGGAAGTTGAGCATTGTCTGGAGAGGGTAGGACAGCATGCCTCTGTTATCCAGCTCACTGGCTTCCATTTCGCCCTCAGCAGCCAGTCTGTTGGCTGCGCCCTCGGGGAGATGCCAAAAGTGGCACCAGGTGCCAGTGGCATCGATCACAATCTTGGTGTGATCCGGGAAGTTGAACTGCATGTGCCCATCGCCATAGACCCAACAGCCAACGTCGCCAAACCTCTGATAGAAGGTGACCATGTCTGCGCCGGGCCCGGCCTCGCCAGGTGGCATGGCACTCTCTGCGCCCTCGCCTGCATCCTCTCTTCCGTTGGCCATCATGTAGTTGGCGAACTTCTTCCACAGAATGATTCTCTCGCGCTTTCGATGCTGGAAGAGGTCCGTGCCGGGGTTCATCTTGCCGACTGTGCCGTCTGCATTTATCGTCACTCTGAAAGCTTGCGGTGAAACCTCGACCTCGGACAGCCCTGCTTCACCCTTGTTCTCAAAGAACTTGATGGGCTCCGACATGGGGACTGGCTGGTATCGGTCTGCGTACTCCCGATCGTGGCGGCGATGAAGGTGCCTTTCACCATTCTTCACAGTGATGCCCGCTGGGGGAAGCATCACTGTCTTGGTGCCCTCAGTTGCAGGAATGTCTCGCAAGATGCAACCTACAGCCCCGTCGTTCAAAATGTACCCGAGGCCGAATTTGTTCGTGTAATCAACCCACTTCACAACGATATGTGGCAAGGGCACCGACTTCTGCTTGGAATTGACAAAGGCCATGGACCGAGCATTGAGAGCCCGCTCCATCTCCGTTTGCAGTCTCCTCAAACGATCCAGAATGGCGTCGGGCTCGGATCCACGGAGAGGCGCTTGGCTCTCGGTAGGGCTGAAGAGGGAGCCCATTTGCATGGAGTTGGACTTTTGCCGGCGGTGAGAAGTGGACGAAGACATCGAGGACATGGAAGACGCAAGTGACATTTTCTCAGAAACCTTTGAAGTAGGCTCCATTGGCGTCTGTCGTGGCTCTCTCGTTCTCTCTTGAACAGTCCTCGCACCTGTCCTGGGCTCAAGTGCACTCTCTGCTTTCGCATTTGCCACCGCCACGCTTGCTAGAGGCGTCTCCCGAACAACCTCTCTCCGCACACGTTGACGAACACTCTGGGTGCCTGATTCTGCATCGGTGCTGTCGACGGCAGCCTTTGGCTTCGGAACTGCAGCTGTTGTTGCCGGGCGGCTGGGAATAGCTCGACTCGGCAGTGGACGACCCTGCGCCCTTTGCTGAGCTGCAAAGCTCTGAGGCGGCTGCCTGAGCAGACCAGTGGGGGCCTTTTGGGAAGAGCTCTCGCCAGGGTCACGCTGAGCGCGGGCGTGACTGCGAATAGAGCCAGCTAATTTGAGCTTCAAAGTAGAGTCTTGCTGCTGTTCCTCAAGCCACTCGTCAAAAGGCCTGTAGACAATCTCGTCTGCCAACGGAATCATCGGTGTCAAGCCAGCCTTTTCTTCGGCAGCCATTTCCTTCCAGACTTGTGCGTGAAGCGTGCCTGCTTGGCCGAGGGGTCCAACGCAACATTCGCGGCACATTGTGACAAAATTCTCGTCACTGGCCCTCTGCGTAGAAGAAGAGGTGAGCCTAGTCATATAGAATTCCTGCTTGTCCGGTGGTAGTTCGCGCAGGCGAGGTGTCATTTCCGCTTCCGAGGGCATGTACCCAGATGTGAAGAAAGGGTGCTCGATGAATTCGTCGGGAGACAATCGGTATTTGGGATCTTGAAGCATGGTAGCAACAAGGTCCTTGATTTCGTCGCTCGTGAAACACTGCCCGGTGTCGTTACTGGGCCACTCATAGTCCAATTCTCTCGCCCTCCGGTAAATCTCGTCGGTGGTCGTCGATTGAAATGGTGGTTTCGACGTCAACATGGCGAAGCTGATGTCCGTTAGCACACTCCTCTACATGTGGGTCCGCGGGCACATACACAATGACACCCAAGCTCCATAGATCGACGCTATGATCATGGCCTGTCCTGCCCTTCTCTAGAATCTCAGGGGCGATATAGTTGGGTGTTCCGCAGAGCGTCGTCCGGCGGATGGTCTGCATGTCCTTGCCGGTAACCAGAAGTGCTGCGAGACCAAAGTCACCAATCTTTGCGTTCATCCCTGCGTCGAGGAAAATGTTGCCCATTTTCAAGTCGCGATGGATGACTCCCTTGGCATGCATGTACTTGATAGCACCGGCGATTTGGACGGAGTAGAATCGGACCTCTGCCTCGGTAAGACCCTTTCGTCGCTTCACCATGTCCATCAACGAGCCATTGGGACATAGTTCGAGCGTCAGATATGTGCATTCGTTGAACGAGAAGGCTCGAAAGAATTGCACAATGTTCTTGTGCTTCATCTTGGAGTGGATCTGCAGTTCTGTTTGGAACTTGGCGGCATTAGCTTTGTCATTGAAGTTGGGCTCTTGCGCCTACCTTGGACTCCATCTTTGAGGGCATCTGCTTCTTCACCATCTTCAGGGCGAATCTTTGCCGGGTGGGCTGTAGCTGGCCTTCGTAGCAGATGGCGAACCCGCCCTTGCCCAGCATCTTTCCCACGGTGTAGGTGGCGCCATTGGGTCTGTCAGCGCTTGGAGGTTCTGGGACTTCCGCAGGAGGCGGCGGCGGGTGATCCTTGTTCTTGGCCTTGACAGGCGCGGCCCTGGGCTTCAGCTCGGTAGCTTTGGGCGGTAGTCGTTGGGCATTTGCGTCCATGGGTGAGAGGGCATCGACCTCGAGGGCACGCTTCGTTGCTAGCTTATAGGACATGTCGAGCTGGGGGCGGTACGGCAGCGCAATGAGCACAACGAAACGACTGGCAGGAAGCTAGTCGAGCGTTGATTCGGGTCGCAGGTTGGCATGCGCGTAGATAAGTTCCGCGCGCTCGCTGTTGGGGTACTCAGCTGTTCATGAATAGTATGTTGCGATGAATCATGTGTATTCGAGAATTAGGATCACGACTTCTAGAGACTAGACGTGGTGGGGATGGGCAAACGGCGCGGCGTGATTGCCCAATCGCAGGCGTCGATGTGCTTTGTTGTGTGTACTCTCCCCTAATTTCATTCCTGCTCCGTTGCGCCTGGCAACCGACGCGGGGACCCACCTTCCCCATCTGCCGTCCATCATGTCGCTAGGCTGTCGCTGTGCCACACTGCAAGACAACTGTGGCTCAGCAGAGCGGCATCTGTGGCGCCAGCTATTTGTTAGTCACGGTCACGGTCATTGAAGTGTGGACCCCTGATAATCCCGTAACGTCAACGTTCAGGAACAGATCGGCATTCGGTGCTGACGGCATTTCGAGGGTGACTCCCCCGAGAAGGACCGCACCCAGCACGTCAGAACATGCACTATTTCTCTCCCAGAACTGGTCATTGATGACCCCGGACGCATTGCCTTGCCTTGACAGTTCATCAACACGGTTGCGACGGACGCCCATCGATCGCCAACATGGTGCCACTGCCACTGTTCAAGCTCGCCTCGCTTTTCGTGCGACACGTTTCCAAATATGGCGCAGTGCGTTCCCCTCGAAAGACCGCAAACCCAAGAGGACATCATTGACAAGCGGAGTAGAACCGCATCAAGGCGCAGGCCCATGATCACCCCAAGTTCCGCGCCTTTGCCGCTCGCTATGGGCAGTCCATCCACCAGCTGAACATGAAACTATCAGTGGCCCTACTTCGAGATCCAGAGGCCGAGCGACGAGCAAAAGAAAAAGCAGAGGCACCGACAGTAAAGACGGAAGAGCAGCAGAAGAAGGACGATGCGGCCAAAGAGAAGGAGGCAAAGAAGCCGTCACAAGGCTCGACGAGAAAGCCAAGATTCTCCTTCCAAAACGTATGGAGGCGAAAGTTCCGTTCACTCCCAGAAGCGAAGGCGGTGGATCTATTCGCCGATGTCATCGGAGACACCTTTATACTGGGTGTGGCCGGCGGCCTGATCATCTACGAATACTGGAAAGCATCGAAAAAGCCTGACGTCAACAAGGAGCGCATCAGCGAGCTCAATGAGAAAATCGAAGAGTTGAAGAAGAGGGAGGACGACCTCGAGGCGGCAGAAAGCAAGCATCGCGAACGCTTCGAATCGCTAGAGCATTCGTTGAAGGCGCTGCGAGCGGCCCACGACGCCAAGTCCAAGGAACCCCCAATACCGCCATTATAGGCATGACCGTCAGCCAGTGTACATAAAGAACGTGCAATAAGCCTCGACACCCAGCTCTTCGATTTACGGTCCCTTGTATTATATCGTCTGGCGTACATACCTATGTACTAATAGAATAGATGAACTGATACGGGCGTTTGCAACTCGACGATCAGTGAGCTACCACAATGCCTCAACAACTGGCGAGCAGAAAATACTCATTGGGCCCAGCAATGCGACCTACTAATTAATGGACATTTGGGCGGGGTCTCTTGACCCGTCTATGAGAGCGAGTGCTCGAGCCCGACCAACAGCGGCGCGTAACGATTTGCTTGGTGAGGGTGGGCTACCCACCTGATGAAGACATATGCCAGCGTAGTGGCTCTGGTGTGCTCTTGCTAGTGGCAGACTCTACCAAGTAGGCACCAATCTTAACACATTTCACCACTACGGCCACTCGAGCTATGCTGTGACGTTGTCGCATCCGCGTACGTGGACCGACTGCACCAACATCATGCAGGTCTGATCCGCGTGGTGAGCTGCAAGCTGTGGATCTGCCATGACCAACAGTGCCATCGAGCACCAAGGCTCCGGTTTGCAGTGCGATGATCATGGGGAACTCCGAACGTTTGGGACCAGCGCACTACTGTACGTACCTACGTGCTGCATGCGAAGATTGAACAGCGGCGCTTAACTGGAGGCTTGGGCCGCGTGGCAAGCATGGCATTTATGACGACCGTACTGTAAGGAGAGGCATGGGATGGCTTCGTTTAGGCGCCGAGGTATCACTGCCAAGCCCCATACTATCTTTGGCGGTCGGCGTCAACTCGTAATCTGAGCAATCAAGACGTGGCGGCTTCCACGCATGAATGTCAACTGATCATGTGCCCTACCCAGGTTCACGCTAGGGTCGTCTCATGGCCGCAATTTCTCGAGATACTGACTCGAGCGACTTCAGATTTCGCCATGTCCGCTTGGAACACCTTGGCGAAGCCTTGGTCGACCATTGACAGCATTCACGGAGGCGGGTACATACACATTGAAGGTTCGTAGATGCTGTCAATGGCTGGAGACGCGGGCTCCTCAAGCGAGCCAAGATGTCATCACTGCTGGACCTGGGGTCGACTGTCGATGGGCTGAGTGCTTCTTTTAAGTCACCGACGCAGACGGTCAATAGCGCGAGCCAAATTTAGAACAGCTCGTCCTAGGTGCACAAGGAGCCTGTAATGCACACCGCTTGTGCCGCCAGCGGGAGGCCGCTGCAGCTGTGCGACCGGGAGATGGAGACCAGGGTGTGTGCGAGCGCGACCCCTCCCCTCTTATTACACACGAACCGCAGCTTCAAACGCACTCTGCTTCACCTCTGTCGCCAAAGGCGTCTCAATCCCCGGGGAATAGTTGACAAGTCGCTCAAAGACGGAAATTGGAAGGAGTCTCCAGCTGATCATCTCATCATTCATCAATAGCCTGGAGGCACTGAATGCTTCATTAGAAGGTATCGACGAATCGTCGTGGAAAATCGCAGACCAATATTGACACACAGCTACGAGGACTTGTCCTGTGAAATTCGCTCGCCAAGAGGACCGAATTCATGCACTATCAACAAATTACCATTGGTGAAGAGGGCAGAGGCTGGGAAGTCTTCAATTAAAGTTGTTCGCTAAGAGAGCGACCCTAGTCGTGGGCGGAGGGGGATGTGTGGAGGTGCGCTATCAAAAGATACCTGAGAACGACAGCCATCCCTGGTGGTCGGCACATGTACCACCAAGTAGAGATCTCCATATTCGGCCGGTCCCCGGGCCGGGGCCCACCAGAAAGCAGGAGGCGGCTCGAACTGTGATTCGCCAAAAGGTGCATCTCTAACCGCCGACTTGTCGCCAATCACTTCATCACTCCTCTTTGGGCCATCTTTGCGTCCACGACATGTGCGCTCGCCATCTCGCTGTGCGCACCGTCATGCAAGTGAGTGAGTGACCTTGCCATTCTCCTCACTCGATCGAGAGCGCCATCGGCTCAGTCGGCGCATTAGTCTAGTCTAGGCTGGCCTGGCCTGGCCAAGCAGCGAATATGCGCCATGGGCGCTTCCGCACCGCACCCACCACCACCACGGACAGCATCACCTTAAACTACCTCTGAAGCTGCTTCGGTCTGGGGTGCGCTTTTCCTTCCTCTTTCTCCGTTTTCGCTGCCTCATATCTCGAACAGAAACTTTTCTGAACCACGTGAAACTCAAAAGCTCCAACACATTCAACACACCCACGAGTGGTCACTGCCATCACACAGCAAATCCGCCGCCCTCTCACCGTCGACACCAAAGATAGCGTTGCGCCAACGACCTCGTCGCGATACCACGACCAGCAATTCCGCTTCAACACCTCTTTCCAACCCGACAGATGAGCGCATAGATGTATTTGCCTCATTCCACATCAAATTCAACGTTTTCACAACCATTACCACACCCCCGACGTCAACTGGCCGGCTTCAGTCGGATCCGTACGCCACTTGATAGTTGACACACATCGTCGAGCACCCTGTGTCTCAGCCCAGGCGGGCGGGCAATAGCCCCGAGGCAACACTTATAGGAGGGAGGCATTGCTTACGACTTAATTGCTTCGCGTCCGGGATACACATACTGCATATTGTTCATTCTCATTCTTTTTTTTTTCTTCTTCTCCTTCTTTTTTTTCAACTCGTGGGTCTGGTTACCTGCGCTGCTTTGACACGACAGCTCTTTGATAGAGCGTCGGCTTGTACAATTCACTCTTTTTTTGGCGCCTTGGTTTTAATACTTTGGGGGAGGGACACACGGATCAAATATAGAATCGCATTCACTCCACGGAAAGCTTCGCAAGACACACTCTTTGGGGAAGCGCAATAATGGGCAAGCTCATCAAGAACCACTGGGCTCGGCTCATCATCCTCACGGCCGCAGCGTGTAAGTCAAGAAGAACCCCAACTACCCGCCGCACAACCCAAGGCTAATCCATCATCGCAGACCAAGTCGTTGCCGCCATCGAAGGCTTCTTCTGGCCCAAGATATTCTGGGACTTTCTCACAAAGACCCTCGACGGCGCCGTCAAGCCGATACCCGTTCTGCAAATCCTCAACCTGGTCTTCGGTCTGGCCATGCTCGCTCTCGAATGGCCTCTCAGTTTCATCGCCGGCTCCGCCATCCACCGCTCCCTCGAAGTCCGCCTCGCCATCCTGCCTCTCGTGGCCCTGGTGGCGGTGCTCATGTACCAGACGACGAACCCCGCCATCTACTACATGGTCGGCGTGGTTGTCTACTTTGTCGCATATAGCGAAGGCGAGGTAAGCTATACTCTGCCCTATGGCCCTGATCAAATGTCGCAGGACTAACCCCGAGCCACTAGATCATCTGCGCCAAACCGTGGACACTGCCCCAACGTGGACGTGGAGGGGCCGGTGCCAAGGCTTAAAGAGGCCAGTCGCCTTGATGCAGCATGGAGTGAGGGCGTTTACTATGCATAATACTGTCATCCTCCCGTCCGTTTGGAAAAGGGTATCTCGGGGACGATCACTGACCCGAGTTGGCACGTCATAGCGATGATGATATTCACGTACCCTGCGGCAGCGTAGTGGTATTAAATACAACTGCAAAACAGCAACAGATAGATAAATTCAGTCATCCAAAAACAATCGAAAAACAATATAAATCTTACATTGGTCTTCGTCGATACGCAAAATGGTAATTTCAGGGCATGGCAATTTTCTGCTCGACTGGTTGAAACATCGTGCCAATGATATAGCAACAGGCGACATACATCAAACACATTCGCAACCAGCCACATCATGCCCAGTGATCAGTTTTGAGCCATTATTATTAGGTCATTGCCAAGTTGCTTTGCGTCAGTTTGTCATTGGGTTCCCCGGGCATAATGCTCCTCAGCCGTCGTCCATACCTTAGCGGTAGGGGGGTGTTTTTGAAAATATGTCCTTCAACACATCGCTAACATATGTTGAGCTCTATTCAACAGAAGGTGTGATCTAGCGAGGGACAATTATCTGCGTGACATCTTCCCTGAGCTCTTTCCGGCGTTATTTATATTTTCAAAAACAGCCCCCTCCCCCGTAGGTATGCATCACTCACTTCCTCATCTCTGACGTCACACGCAGACATACTCCAACAGAACAAAGTCATGTAAAAAGGCACATTATGTCAATTCACCGCTCGTCGAGCAGCTACCATGCCAATTATGGCCTTTTCAGGAGGAACGGGGTAACCTGATGTCACTCAAGATCACCATGTCGCTCCCCCCGTGTTCTCTTCCAATCCCCCGCATAAAAAGAGGTGGATGTCATTTCAATGCTTTCATAAGACCCAAACCCAAACAACGCCTTTGTCATTCATACACTGTGCCTGAATGCCATGCTGCCGCAACAAATATCAACCACCTCGCTCAGCCAGCAACGCTTACTTCGTGCGCATGGCGTTCATCGAGTCGTTGGTGGGACCTTGTCGGCCGGACATCTATAATGGAGGTTAGCCAACAGGATCAGAAGGAACGTTGAGGAGATGCCTCGGGGGGAAGCTACGCACCTCGACGGTCTGCAGGGTGCCCTCCTTGAGGATCTTCTTGATGACCTCCTCCTCGTTCTCCGTGTCGAACTCGGACGCGAGGGTGGACTTGGGCGCGGCGTCGAGCTGGCCCTGGGTGCCCTGCCTATTGTTCCATGTGTCAGTCAACCGAAAACTAAGCAGGCAGAGGAGACAGGCACGTACTTGTGGGTGAGGAAGACCTTGAAGGAGGAGACAAAGTGCGCCAGAGGGACGCTGGAGTCGCTCTGCCAGTTCTTGAACGCCTCCACGTCGTCGACAAAGACGATGAAGTCGTCGTTGTTGCCCTTGAAATGGACCTTGTTCTGGGTAGCCTCGCCGCGAGCCATTGTTGTTGGTTTGTGTGTTTGAGTGGGAAGGTTGTATGTGTGTGTATGTGGTCGCGTGATGTTCTGTGTCGTAACGTGATGAGAGTGAATCAAGTAGTAGAGGATTAAACACGAGGAGAAGCTCGAATAGAAGGGACAATAGCTTTAATAAAGAGGGAGGGGTTGGAGGGGGAGGGGGACTGGAGCTCTGGAAGCTGCTGGCATCTGTCCTACGTCATCATCGCCAACTCTGTTCAGGCACGCGGCCGATGGAGCGAAGCTGCATCATGATCTCCACAATGCCTCTTGGGTCAACTGACATTCATGCTATGGAATGATTCTCCTCGCTGGTCGTAATCCAAAAGCAGGGGTCAGTTTCCGGCCTTGTCACTGCTTGATTGGACTTTTGTCCTGTTTGTTCCTGCATGCGCGCCTTTCGCCGGGTCGGGCCATGATGGATGATGTATGCGCCACTCAACTTGGACCTCAAGTTGAGCCCTGTATCGCGGCAAGATGTTGACCGATTTACCTTGGAAACAGGCAGTAAAAGCACCAGGCGAGGGAAGCGTTTGCGTCAATGTAAATATGACCGTGCGCCTCACGCAATGCCGACTTTAGAAGGCAGCTCAAGTACAGTTGAAGTAGCTCCACCGTGACGTACATGCTAGCGTGTGAGCTTAATAACTTCGTAGCTACCGGTACTGGGCCTATTACCGACTATGCACGTCAAAGTCGCCTCAGCAGATCAGCCTCACGAGCATCAAGAGTCATCGCAAGTGTTGTTCATTGTTTATTGTCCTAAAAGGATAACATACAATAGGACTGACTTGCCGCTGTCGCCAACAACGTTGATACACTATACTCCAACTCCACACTGTGCCAGGGTCACGGCATCTGTATACTCAAGTGAGACCGAGGAAGGCCTTCAGCGGAGTAGATGCCGCAATAGACCAGCCTTTTCTGTCCTCGGAGACGCCAGCCTAGCCCGTCGACTTTGATTCTTGAGGTTCTTGGCATCTGGCTTCGCAGGGCTTGGCTCTTGATTCTCCTCTCCCTGTGCGGTCGTCTGGCTTGTCGCCCTGTCTTGAGACACAGTGCGCACACTGTTTGTAGATGATTTCCGCAGAACCTCGCCTGGGCCCTCGGCTCCTTCATCATTGTAGCCTTGCAACCGCAGACCCTCAGCCAAGTCTGGCCGCCCGGGCTTGTGCACAGTCACGTCAAAGAGCTTTGTTGGCACCACAGGACATGTTGCAGCCTCTCGCATCCTTGGGCGTTTGACAACGAGATCATCGCCCTCGTTTTTGGGCCGTCTCAGAGGCTGATTCGCCGTCCCCCTGATCCCGGGCTCATGAGGCTCCTCGCGTATCTGGCCTTTGTCTGTCCTCATTGGCTGGGCCGACTTCATACTCATGCTCATGGATCGTTTGCTGAATGGATCTGTGATGCCGACCATGCTGAGCTTCCTCATCATCGACGTAGCTCGGATCAGGTGATCATTTCGAGCCCTGCCAGTAATTCCCGGAAACGGAAGCGTGTCGCGTGTCCAAACGTCCGCGAGGATCGACTCCAGACGGATTCTCTCAGCTGCCGGTGGCGCCAGAATTACCTGCCGGAAATTGGTGGTCAGAAGCGACTGAGAACGGTTGATAGCCACGTTCGAGGTGGAAATACTCCTGCCATTTCCAGCGGCGCAGGTATTCCTAAGAATAACCGGAGTCGTTGTCCTTCTGGCACCGACGGTACACGCTCGGCTGATGGAATCTCGCCTTGCGGTCTTATTGTCCTTCCCTAACACCGAACCGAAGCTCTTGATATCCAACTCCAAGGATGTCGAAGCGCCCTGATGTCGCGCGGGCGGGGCTTCAGGTTTGATGCGGGTGAGATGGCTTCGCCAGCTCTCTTCCTCTGCCTGGGAGCAGGCAGTCATGATAATTTCATAAAGCTGAGATCCGCATTCAAAGACTAACTTCCATGAAAAAGGCGCAGTCTGACACTGTAGGCCTGGACTAGGAGTCAACAATCACAGACCCCGTTTCGGCAAAGCAAAACATACCTTGATCGTTTGTCGTTGTCTCGACTCGAGCGTCGTCGAGATTTACGCAGAGCATGATTGTGTAGATCTGGTCTACCTTGCCGGCCCAAGCGAGACACAGCATGTCTTTATACAATAGCGAGATTACGTACCGGCCTTTGACTCCGTCGGCCGCTGACCAGATTACGTGTAGGGCACCGCACAATTGGATTCTGCCAAAGCCACGGACTTGATTCTTGGTCATGGCGTCGATTCTCTGAAGCGTTGTCAGCGTGAACTTGGACGTGACAGCATGATCACGTACTCTGCCGGAAAACACCAGCCGATCCTGCAAAAGCCAAGTCTTCTCGAGAACAGCCCGGACATTGGGGTCATTGGTGTTGCGGTTCAAAGCTAGAGTCGCCTCTTGTAGTCGGAACAGCGCCGTGTCGACTTCCATGTGCGAGTTTGGGCAGTCAGCCGCAGTGGTGGACCTGGCGAGCTGATCGAACAGTAGTGGATATTTTGTCACCCGCTGGACAGGCTGAAGACCATTTTGTCAGCATTGCCAGAGATCAGGTCGAATCGACCTACCTTCATCAACAAGTCGTCTAGCGTTGAAGCCCTTTTCAGCGAAGCGGACGGTTGCTTCGACGGTTCGAGAGTTGAAGCAAGGGCTTCAATGCCTCGCTGGCAAAAGGCTTTGCCTGGCGTGTTGGGTTGCGTCGCAAGATGGATTTCCGCTGCAACAAGACCATGTTTCGCCCCGTACTCTTCATATACGAAAAAGCGACCGAGCTTGTGGCTAGTCAGCGCAGCTCACATCAGGTTAACACACCTTTTGCATAACGCACCCGTCTGATGAAGATATCCGCAACTTCAGCCGCGGTCTGAGGCTCAGCCAACAGCCCGTGAGATCTGTGGATGAGGGCGCACCTGCCTCCATTCTCTGGGACCGTATCTAGGCTTCGCCAACGCTTGTGCCCAGTCACTTTGTGAACGCTGCGGGTGCTGCCACCTGGCAAGGAAGCGGGTTGGTCGGAATTGCAGTGAGAATATTCGGAAAACGGAATTCTTCGATGGAGTTCCCCGAGGATTTCCTCATGCAGCTCAAGTATCTCGTTCAGGTTTCGGCTGAAGGATGTCCGAAGACCTCTGGCATGGCTCGGCAGAGGGGCTAGCATGGTCACGAAAACCTGAAAGCATCAGTCACTGCCACAAAAGTGCAACTGGATATCCCACGTTGATCAAGAAGCGGAGGTCTCTGACATAACTCTCCTCCGTTGCGATAAGTTCCTCCAAGATAAGGCGTCTTTGTACGGCGCGTTCCGCGGCTGCCTTGTCTTCCTGGACTGATCGCTCCAGTAGTGTGCTGTCCTCAGAGGTTCGATTCAGATAAAGAGATGCTCTGCTGCTCCGGTCTGCCTGTGGCCACATTGGTGTTCCTTTTCTGGACCCAAACCGTCCCGCGCTGCTTGCACTGACGAGGCTGACACTAGCACTTCGCATATTCGCAACGAAGCCAAAGGAAGATCCGGTTGAAGACGCGAACCGCCGAGACCTGCGGGCAAAGGGTGTCTTTCGCATGCCTGTTATTTCGAAAAGCTGGCCCCCTACGCCAGTTTTCCCGGAAACCGAAGGGCGACACTCTGCCCGTCTGTGCAAAGACCGCACCCATCGGGAGAATGGTCCTCGAGGGAGTCTCTGATTGTTCTCTGACGGGCCTTGACCGCCGGCAAGATCGCTGGGAAGTTCTTCCGAATGCTCTTTGGATGCGTACCCATATGTTTGGCCATGGCCTAGCGTATCCTCAAATGGCCCGAAGCCTTCTTCCAGGGTCTGGTCAAGGCTGGATGACAAGTTGTAGCGATCTCTTGGACGCATTGGGGTTCGCATCTCGCCAACAGAGTCTGTTTCGTTTGCAGAGGGTATCCCGGCATCGTGAAGATCATCGTGTACGCCATGACCGCTGGTGACGAGGGCATCTTCTTTGCCGGCTTCCATAGTGAGGAGAAGTGAAGAGAAACAAATGATTACAATGAACTCAACAAGCGTGTATCATCTGCTCCAAGAAACCAAAAGAGCCAAAAAGTGTCGCGCAGACGGATTAGTAGGACATGACGGGTGAAAAGCACCTAAAGATGGCAGATGCAGAACTTGACAAGCAATAGTGACAAGCAACAAAGCTTCGTTTGAAGGGGATGACATGTCTGAGCTGTTGATGCTATCCCCAGTTCGGTGACTTTGGCAAGAGCGAGGACGTGGCACGCCCGCCGGCATCAAAGGACTGATGACGCCTTGGGGCAAGAACCAAGCAGACCAGAGAAGCTTTGCGCGTCTAGTATGGAAGAGCACCGTCCCCAAGTACCAGGTAAGTTAGTGAGACCTGGCTTGTTTAGGAGCTCTTCATCAGCTCTTCTTGAAGAGGCCCAATCTCACTCCATGAATGGTTGTAGCCGTCGAGATCTGAGCAGCTCGATGGAAGGCGACCGAGGAGATAGATAGACCTTCTCGGATACACGAGCACCAACTCAAAAATGTCTGCGACCTACGTTCTAATCCCAGACGCCTATGTTCGGGCCACACGGGCCAGCGCCAACCTGGATGGCCAAAGTAGAGCCTTAGATTCGCTCTCACCTCAAAAACGTACAGTCAAAGCCCCGGCCAAGTTTGGACTCGACCTCAAATAGCATTCTCGGCCATCATGCAACTTCGCCATGAGAATTGGAAGTGGTGTTTTTGCCATGCCCGCAGTCTCATTGCAATACGGAGTACAATGTGTGCCATTTCGGATCTACTCGTGGTAATGCTCGGCAGTGTCGGGGCAATTGGTGGGACGAGTGCGAGATGATGTATGCGCACTTGCAAAGTACAACTGAGAAACCGCTTGGCGTCAGGCCCGCTTCGTCGCTCGCACTGGTAATCGAATGGAGGTGTCCAGTCTGAAGACATCATCAGGAATCTTGGAAGATGCACATGTGCATCCATTGCAGCAGAAGTGCCGATACAATTACGCCTGTAAGGACAATAAACTAGCGGGACAAACCCGGTAATGTCCAAGCAGCCAAGTGCTCTACTTATTCTGGCAGCATTCACTCATGCTAACCGCATTTGGGCAAGTTTCAGGTCCCAGGCGTGGGGCGGAGGCGAAAAAAAAGATGGTCGACTGGCGAAGATGTGAACACGTTGAGCTTTTGCTGGACGCACTTTTGTCATGTCCAAGCGAGGACCGGTGACTGCAAGATCGATACCATTCTGCCTCTTGATCCTCTTCCAGCGTGGGGAATCCTACGTCTAGACTCTCTCCGTTGCTGATAAATCTGCCACTCTATCCATCCCAGCATGTTGCCATGCTGAGACCGTGAACTTCTCTAAACCACTTCGTTTCTTGAACTCTTCCACTTTTCTTCCATTCACATCGAGGCTCTATTATTAGGCTTAAATTACCGGTACCTCGCGCTGGTTGTTCGTTAGTAAGCCAGCGATATTTCCGACCGGCCGATCTGCCCCAAACCAAGGGTGCGCTTCGTCTCGGCCTATCGCATCGCAGCGCATCATAGCGCATCTCTTTGCCTTTCGCAACCACCTCCCACCTCACCACCATCACCACCACATCAACCAACATGGAGGCCGCCTTTGCTCGTCCCACCATGCAGGTGCTTGCCAATTTCTCCGTGAGCGAGGACACCGGCCTCACAGACGCTCAGGTCGAGTCCTTGAGAAGCAAACACGGCAGCAATGGTTCGCTACACCCTGCCCCTCCTCTCTCTACCTCTTGCTGACCTGTGTACCACAGCCATCGCGGAAGAACCCCCGACCCCCATCTGGGAGCTGATCCTCGAGCAATTCAAGGACCAGCTCGTCATCATCCTCCTCGGCTCGGCCGTCGTTTCCTTCGTCCTCGCTCTCTTCGAGGAGGAGGGGGGCTGGAGTGCCTTTGTCGACCCAGCAGTGGTACGTAAGCGTGGTGGACGTCCGTTCGACTCGGCGCCCCACTATAGACTCGAGGGACGCGCAAGACGACTAACGCTGATCGCAGATCCTCACGATCCTCATCCTGAACGCCGTTGTCGGAGTCTCGCAGGAGAGCAGCGCCGAGAAGGCCATTGCCGCCCTGCAGGAGTACTCGGCCAACGAAGCCAACGTCCTCCGCAATGGCCACATCTCCCGTCTCAGGGCCGATTTGCTTGTGCCCGGTGATATCGTCTCGGTCGCTGTTGGAGACCGTATCCCTGCCGACTGCCGTATCGTCGCGATCGAAAGCAACAGCTTTGCTGTGGACCAGGCTATCCTGACTGGAGAGAGCGAGAGCGTTCGCAAGGATGCCCAGACTGTCGTCGAGGATGAGAAGGCTGTCTTGCAGGACCAGATCAACATGCTCTTTTCCGGTACCACTGTCGTCAAGGGAAAGGCCAAGGCCGTCGTTGTCTTGACCGGACCCAACACGGCGATTGGCGACATCCACGAGAGCATCACGGCCCAGATCTCCGAGCCCACGCCTCTCAAGCAGAAGCTCAACGACTTTGGCGACAAGCTGGCGAAGGTCATCACTGTCATCTGCATTCTCGTCTGGCTCATCAATGTCCCCAACTTCAATGACCCCAGCCACGGCTCATGGGCCAAGGGTGCCATCTACTATCTCAAGATCGCCGTCTCGCTGGGTGTGGCTGCCATTCCCGAGGGTCTCGCCGTCGTCATCACCACTTGTTTGGCTCTGGGTACCCGCAAGATGGCCGCTAAGAATGCCGTTGTGCGCAGCCTTCCGTCTGTCGAGACCCTGGGAAGCTGCAGCGTCATCTGCTCTGACAAGACTGGCACTCTCACCACGAACCAAATGAGCGTCAACAAGATGGTCTACCTCGACGAGAGTGGCTCCGACCTTGTGGAGCTTGACGTCGAGGGCACCACTTTCGCTCCCAAGGGTGACATCAAGCTGAACGGCAAGGTTGTCGACAATCTGACCAAGAGCTCTGACACTGTTCGTCGCATGGCTGAGGTCGCAGCTCTCTGCAACGATGCTCATCTCGCCTATGACTCGCGCAGTGGTGTCTTCTCCAACGTTGGCGAGGCCACCGAAGGTGCCCTGAGGACTCTCGCGGAGAAGATTGGCCCTTGTGCCCCTGCCAACACTCACCCCGAAGACTGCGTTCACTATGCCAGCGCCAACCATGAAAAGGCCCTCCCTCGTCTCGCTACCTTTGAGTTCTCTCGCGACCGCAAGAGCATGTCTGTGCTTGCTGCCAACGGCAAGGCGAAGAAGCTCCTTGTCAAGGGTGCCCCCGAGTCCATCATCGATCGCTGCTCTCACGCTCTGTTGGGTGCCGGCGGCAAGCAGGTTGCTCTCAACAAGAAGCTCTCCGACCTTCTCCTCAAGGAGGTTGTCGAGTACGGCAACCGTGGACTTCGTGTCATCGCCCTGGCGAGCGTGGATGATGTGTCCGAGAACCCCCTGATCAAGAACGCCCAGACCACGGAGCAGTACGCCCAGCTCGAGCAGAACATGACTTTCCTCGGTATGGTTGGCATGCTGGACCCTCCCCGTGAGGAAGTCCCCGGCTCCATCCGCCAGTGCAAGGAGGCCGGCATCCGTGTCATCGTCATCACCGGCGACAACCGCAACACCGCCGAGAGCATCTGCCGTCAAATCGGCGTCTTTACGCAGCACGAGGACCTCAAGGGCAAGAGCTACACTGGACGTGAATTTGACAACCTGAGCCCCAGTGAGCAACTTGAGGCTGCCAAGAAGGCGTCGCTGTTCTCCCGTGTCGAACCTGGCCACAAGTCCAAGTTGGTCGATCTGCTCCAGTCTCTCGGCGAGGTCGTTGCCATGACCGGCGACGGTGTCAACGACGCGCCCGCCCTCAAGAAGGCTGACATTGGTGTTGCCATGGGCTCTGGTACCGATGTCTCCAAGCTCGCGGCCGACATGGTCCTGGCCGACAGCAACTTTGCCACGATTGAGGTGGCCATTGAGGAAGGCCGTGCCATCTACAACAACACGCAGCAGTTCATCCGCTACCTGATCTCCTCCAACATTGGCGAGGTTGTGTCCATCTTCCTCACGGCCGCCCTCGGCATGCCCGAGGCGCTTGTGCCCGTGCAGCTCCTCTGGGTCAACCTGGTCACCGACGGTCTGCCTGCCACTGCGCTCTCCTTCAACCCCCCTGACCACGACATTATGAGGCGCCAGCCCCGCAAGAGGGACGAGGTCCTCATCGGAGGCTGGCTCTTTATTCGCTACCTCGTCATCGGTACCTATGTTGGCCTGGCCACTGTTGCTGGATATGCCTGGTGGTTCATGTACAACCCTGAAGGCCCCCAGATCAGCTTCAAGCAGCTGTCCCGCTTCCACCACTGCTCGACCGACTTCCCCGAGATTGGCTGCGACATGTTCTCCAACGACATGGCCAAGGCTGGTTCGACCGTGTCGCTGTCCATCCTGGTCGTCATCGAAATGTTCAACGCGATGAACGCCCTGTCGTCCAGCGAGTCCCTGCTCACCCTGCCCCTGTGGAAGAATATGATGCTGGTCTATGCCATCGCCTTGTCAATGGCTCTTCACTTTGCCCTGCTTTACACTCCTGTCCTGCAGGGCCTGTTCTCCATCCTGCCCCTCAACGCCACCGAGTGGAAGGCAGTTGTCGTCATCAGTGCGCCCGTGATGTAAGTTTTGGACTTGTCAAACATGATGGAATGTTCGCTAACGATTCAAAGTCTCCTTGATGAGATACTCAAGCTCATTGAGCGCCAGTTCTTCATGCAGAAGACGACGGAAATCGGCCTCAAGGCTAAGAAGGAGCAGTAGAGGGATAGACAGTAGAGGAAGATCATGTTCGCTAGACACGCCTCAAAATAGACAACATGTACACTTAGCTTGTAGACATGTCTGTGGGTCCTTGGGCTGCATAGCACTTTAGGTTCCGCGAGAATAGAACTGTTCAAGCATGCGTCACAACAATCGTCCGCAGTGTGTGGTGCATCACTCGTCCCTTGGCATTTGAGCGAGTATCTAGTGTAGTCATACAGATGCAACCTTGCCCCCATTCGTCCCAGTCGTTCATCATGAAAGTTACCCCCGCCTAGTCCTGGCGGCCCTTCAGTAAGCGCTTGGTGACCTTGTCCTTTTCGATGATGTAGACGTGAGCACCCCAGCCGGAGAGGGCATCGCGGTCGACCGCGTTGAGCAGCGCTTGCGAGATGGTCTCGAAGAGCGCATCGGGTTCCTACCAGAGTCAGCACAGAGGACATCAGCCGAAGCAATCGTAGCAAGAAACCAACCAGATCCGGCTCCCAGAGCCCCTCGCACATGCCAAACAGCTGCTCCGACGCCGTGCCCGACACGATAAAGTCCTTTGCGAAATCAATGCACCCAATGCTGTCGAACCCGCAGATAAAGGGCTTGCCCGTCGTGGGGTCCAAGCCAGCCACCACCGGACTGACAAAGTATGGCCCGAACCGTTTCTCATACAGGCTCGACGAGACGAGGTTGGCAAACGTGCGGGGCGAGATGGACCGCTCCTCGCGCAGGCGGTACATGTTGGTCTTGTAGCGGAAGAGGTCGGAGACGGTGCTCACGTCGGTGGCGAGGCCCGTGAGGCCAAGGAAGACATTGTCGCCGTAGCGGAAGATCTTGGGAAAGTTGTTGGAGATGGTGAGGGACTGCATGCCCAGGCGCAGGTCGCAGGCAATGGCAACGCAGTCCTTGCCAACCATGGCAACGGCGGCACCACCGTCTAGTGATCGGGGTTAGCAACGATGGGGGGACTCGGGGTCGGGCGGTGGACGAACTTATCGAGAAGGGTGAAGACTGTAGACAGGCATCATATGTTAGCTGGTGACGCTCCTCAAGGCTTGGGATGGAATAGACGTACCATGGCGACTGTGGTGGAGACCTAGTCCCCTCTGTAGGAGATGAATATGTAACTCGTAGTCGAGACGTCAACTTGACAAGATCGTCGTATGAGCCTGTGTCGTGTTGGCGGAGGATGGTGGCATTCAAAGTCGTCGCGGAGATGATGCAGCTTGGAGCTCCCCAGGTGCGTTTAGCGGAGAGCGCCTCAAGGCAAACAGCCATGGCGCGGACAATCGAGCCTGGGGGGGTCCACAGGCGTTGTTTGATTGGTTGGAGTGCACAGGTGCTGGACAGCCCACCTTGAACTGGGCGGCGTTGACTCGTTGGAGGAGCTCTTACCTCACCGTGCCGTTGCCTGCGGATGCTTCGAGAACAGTGTGAGCTTACGAACAACCACTCTTTCATATACTCGTCCATGAACCGCGCTGCTTCACGATAAGGATCACTCACTAAGGAAAAGAAGCCGACTCCGCATAATCCCATATTTCTGTTCTCAACCCTCATCTCGGCGAGTTCGCCCATCCCTCTCGCCAAGTACTTGCATAACCCCACCATTCAATCACCCGAGGACGTTCAAACCAACCGAATCCAGAGCTACCATCACGGGTGATAATATTCGCGAACGACCGGGGAAATCACAGGCATTCGGGGAATAGCATGTCCTCACACGTCGTGGTCATTGGACCCGGCGCAAGGCGCGCAACAGTCAAGGTATCGCCGGGCACCTACCTTTCCGACGTCCTGCAGCAGGCGTGCAAGAGCCTCAACCTGCCGAGCGACAAGTATGTTGCCAAACACAAGGCGAAACAGGTCGATCTATCTGTTCCCTTCCGCACCTCTGGCCTCAGCCCCGGGGCCAAGCTCGACCTCGTCCTTAAATCCAACACACCCTCAGCGATCCAAGTCGCCCTGCAGCTACCACAGCCCGAAGCCAAGGATATCCCCGGCGGTCGGTTAATAAGGAAGTTCCCCAGTGACCTGACGCTATGGCAACTTCTACGGCAGTTCGAGAGCGGCGATGCGAGTGCAGGGAGGAATATCAATATCACTGCTCGAGGCGTGGCCCAGATGTCCAACGAGACGGCGACCGCAGGCAGTGGACAGCTGTACTACGAAACCCCAGTGCTGAACATCATGGGAAGAGAGCTGTCAACCTTGGACGACTTTCAAAAGACTCTCTCGCAACTTGGATATAACTCGGGGAGTGTCCTCATACGACTTGGCTACAAAGTGACGGATCAAACGCTGTACGACACGTTGGAGCGCATTGGACAGTATTTCAAGGATGTGGAGGATACGTTACCAAAGCCAGCTTCTGCGACAGCGGCAACAAACACCCCCGTAGTAGAGGCGCCTACACATGTACAGACAGTCGATTCACCTATGCCGGACGTTGCGCCCACCAGCCAGGAGCCCGAACCAACAGCACCTGCAACGACGCCAGCGCCGTCCAATGAAGCGGACTCCGTCGATATGCCAGCTTCTGCGTCAAAGGACCCTTTTCAGCCTTCTCACGTGTATTTGGCGCCGTCAAGTGACGTCCCAGCTGCCGCCAAGGCGCCAGTGCGTGAGGTGGACTACACGCCGACGATCGCGCATGCTCAGTTACACCAAGCTCGTTTACAGGAAAACTCCAGGAACAAGCGTTTGTTGTCAGACAAGGAACTTGAAGAAAAAGCGGCGGCTGAAGAAGCCAAGTTCGCCGCTGTGAAAACTGTCAGTGTCAAGGTCCGATTCCCAGACAACACCAGCAGTGAATGGGTGGTTGGGCACGGGGAGACGGGCGGCTTCATATATGAGGCTGTCAGGCATGTCATGGCGGACCAGAGCCAGCCTTTCAAGCTCGTCATCTCGGGTGGGCGGACGGTGATCAAGGATGACAGCAGCGCGAGCAACAGCCTCATCAGAGCGTACAAACTGACTGGCAGGACGCTGGTGAACTTGGTCTGGGACGACAGCGTATCCACTGAGGTGCGGAAGAAGCCCTTCCTCAAGTCCAGCGTGGCCAGTCAGGGCGAGTCCGTAAAGATTCCCGAGGTGCCTGAGGTAGAGGAGGAAGAACCCGAGGCAGCGCCTATTGTCGAGCCCAAGGAGGAGAAGAGCAAAGGCGATGGCCTGGGCAAGAAGATGCCCAAATGGCTCAAGATGGGCAAGAAGTAATTACGTGTCGACTGGTCTTTCGCCCGTAGCGAGCATGGATGGTAGCAAGAGACACCGCATAGCGCTGTTTAATTCGACACTGAAATTCACAATCACGATAACCGGCAATTATATCTTGGTGAACTTGGTGTTGATTTTTTCCTCTCGGCGCAGCCAAGCCTTCTGCGACGGTATATCAAAAGCCGATCATTTCACATGAATCGAGAGACCACGCCAGAACCGATGCCCGTAAACAAATGAACCCAGGTATTCGTCATTCCTTTTCTGTCGTCGCTATTTTGTTGGCTCATCTCCACGTCTCAGCGTGTGGAGGGACCGAGTTGACAAACAAATTGTCTTCTCGAGTTTAGTGGCCAGCACGGCGCGACTCGGCGATGACACGCTGGAGCTCATCGACCTTCTTCTTGGCACGGCCAAAGGTACCGAGCTAGGAAGAGTTAGCGACATGATCTCGAGGGATCGACAAGTGTCAAGACGTACCCTCTTCTTGGCGAGCTTACGGGCACGCTTGTCACGGGAGTTGCGGAGCAACTCAATGACACGGCGCTCGTAGGGGGCGAGGCTGGACAGAGATTAGCATCGGATGTTCAAGATGGATAACAGCGCAGGCTAATTGCTTGCGCAACGCCTCGGCTGCCACGAGGAGCAACTCACCCAGCGACCTCCTTGACGACCTCACGGACAAACGCGGTGCGCTTGCTTAGGTGACCCTTGGTCTTGGAAACACGGGGCTTGACAACGCGAGCAGTCGTCTTCTATAATCCGAGAAACACAGCATGTCAGCGTCCATCATCTGCCAGATAGGAGTTTTCGTCGGGGGAACCGAAAGAGAAAAGGCGAAGAAAAGAACGACACAACAAAGCGTGTGCACTTTTGTCCATTCTCAGTCCCACAGCCTAGAAGCAGAGATCCTCCACGAGGTGAGACTTGTATATAGGACATTGTGTGTGATGATTTGTATGTGTTCGCTCGATCGACGGTCTTCTCTTTCTTTTCGGCTCGGTGTTTGTCGACGGGGAATGTGCTTGGTATTCAACGTACGTGGCCACGGTTCTGACCAATGGTCAGACCGGTCTTTGCGGGAGCCTCCTTTGCCATTGTGATGGTGATGGGCGATGTGGTTGCTGGAGGGTTAGTTTGGCGATGGAAAAAGGTTCGTCGTCCTTCGGGGCGGCGGAAATTTCGCTAGAGGGTGTGGGGTGGGCTGGCGGTTGCAGGGTGCAATTTTTCCCAGCAGATTTTGTGCGGTCACGTGCCAGGGTATCGGCGGGCTCGTGGTGCACGGACCTTTCCAGACCGAGATATCGGGGCTTGGCGCCGGCCGACAACGACCAGCGATGGTGCACCGCATTTCGAACACAGATCCAGATCGAGTTCTTTGCTTCGAGAGTGCCAATCATTTCGTTGTGTCACATGCTCTGTGCCTTTTTGTGAAGAGCGGCTTCGCCGAATCTCTCTCACTTCGCCTATTTTTGCCGCAGAGGCTCGTATCGGTCCAGGTCACATGCTGGCAGCCGGTTCTGTATGTAGGACGAGTCAGCTCAGGCACTGCATGACTGACTGGCTTTCCTGTCTGGCGCTGGGCTTATTACGTTAGACTTTTCACGGCCGTTATGTGTAGTCATGTCCAGGCCTTGGATTGTAGGATGGCTTTGAGCTCCCATTGACGCCAGGTGGGTTGATATGTTTCAGTCGTTGACGCAGTCGCCCTGATCGTCTTCATGCTTGCCGCTCTCGGTCACCGCGTCCATCCGAGATCCTGTGCTAGACAAACGTTGTCCTGGTAAGCCAGTGAATGTGGCGCTTGGGCGACGCGGTGCTTACAGGCTCCATACCTACGTATATCGACGTCAAGCGTGGAGATATTGTATGAATGCCTGCCGAGTTCGACGTTTATAGGTCTTCTTTCCCAGCTGCTGGCTCAGTTTCGTTTTCCTCCAGATACACTATCTTCCAATAAACAATCTTAACTAATCTACCCAAAATGATCTCCCACTTGTTGCTCGGTGTTCTGCCCAGTGTCGCGTTCGGCGCACAGCTGGCTTATTCACCTCCTCAGGCTTTGATGGCCTTTGCACAGGCAGCCGACGATTGTATTTTTCCAGCCAACTTCGAGGTTCGAGACTTTGGCGGCATATCGAATAGCACGAATGGCACCACACTTGGGTCCCTCGACTTCTCCTTCACCAGCACGGAGACCGAGGTGACAACGCTATGCCACTACAACTCTACCTCGGAGCCATCGGTGCCCCCTGGCAGGACCCCCAGGTACAAATGCGAGGACGACGATGTTGAGTTCATCTGGGAGAACGACAAGACGCGTTTGACGGTGATCGAGAGGGTCTGCCCTGGATCTGACGGGTATGTTCACGTGTTTCTTTGGCTAGAAGTTGTTGTTAACCGCATCACAGCGTACCCGACTATGAGGCTGCAGGGAGCGTCCGTATTCCCTTGACCTGTAAGCCCATGGGAGAGTGTGCTACAAATGCAACGGTGAACAATGGCAAGTTCACCAATATCTCTCCTGCGGCTACATTCAGTGTGTAAGGGAGGGCGATCGCGCATGAGAAGGGATAGAGGTTCACACTAGGAAGTATCTTGGATGCATAAAGACAGGTATCTAAGAAATCACAAGCGTGCCTTTTGGATTGCTGGATGGAGTTGCTGCGACACTCAACTACTTGTAGACGGATGTCTGGAGTTCTGAAAGACTGAAAGTGACGTGCGTGCCCCTGGGCCCTGGCGCCAGCGGCTTGCAGACGCCCCTGCAGCCTCCGCGTTTTCCATCCAGGCCAATGACCTCACCCACAGCATCCGGACACAATAGTCTACAAGATCTCTTTGGTTGTACGTAAATTTCTACTCCACGTCACCATTTTATGGTTTGGATTTCTAGATTCTTTGGGTGACCGTTTCTATTGTGAGATATGCAAAGTTCTCTTGATTGCGAATATGATAATTTCTGCTTCTACGTGCTCCAACATTGAATGTTCTCATGCCTTGACCTAGCATTCGCATATTTTTGTCACCATATGACGGACCCCACCGAGACCACGAGACCCTCCAACTACCGGCGCTTTATTAGTCTTGACTCTTGACCAACACTTGTGACCATGCTGCTGCGCCATCTGGTAGTGTATCAACAGTGTATCATGTCTTCTGGCTAAAGACTACCTCTCGCCCAGCCTCTTACGAGGCAATCGATCCTGCTCTGGACGCTGCTTCCCTGCGCAAACGCGATCGTCCAATGCTCGAGTGAAGTCGAATACTTGACCACTCACCAAGTCTGGCACGCACTGCACCATCAACTCTTCGAGCCATGCTCTGGAATCGACGAGGGCTCCTAGCCCATCTATCCGGTCTTGCTCTCTTTGCGACGACGACAACAAATGGCGCGGCAATCGATGCGCAACAGCCTCTCGCGCCTCCCCAGGGCGTAGTGCCAACGACCGTCTCCACGCCCTTCTTCGCCGAACTCGAGCGCCTTGCCCGCCTTGTCGACATCAGTTACTGTATCGGGAATACGGGCGTCAGTGCACCCTTCCAATGCGTTTCCCGTTGTAACGAGTTCCCCACGGTCTCGCTCGTCACGACATGGAATACGGGTCTACTTATGAGCGACAGCTGCGGCTACGTAGCCATCGATGACGGGGAGCGGAGGAACGACACGAGCCCTGATGAAAGAGACGATCTGGGGGAGAGGGCAATCATTGTAGCCTTTCGTGGAACGTATAGCATCACCAATACGGTGGTGGACCTCAGCACAACACCGCAAAAGTACACATCATACCCTTCACCAGACCATGGAGGCGGCGAGCCGCCGGAGAAACCGTCGCATGAGTGCACAAACTGCACTGTGCATTCGGGCTTCCTGCAGTCATGGAAGACGACGCGAGAGGAGGTGATCCCACAGCTGATCAGTCTGAGGGAGCAGCATGCCGATTACCCAGTCCACTTGGTCGGGCACAGCCTGGGCGGCGCGGTTGCCTGTCTGGCCGCGCTGGAGCTCAAGGTCTCCCTGGGCTGGGATGATGTGGTTGTCACAACGTTCGGTGAGCCTCGAGTCGGCAACGCTCGCTTCGCTCGGTTTGTGGACGAAGTGTTTGCTCTCAACGGCAAAGAAGAGGAAGAAGAAGACCTCGAGAAGCGATCCTATCGCCGCGTGACACACGTGAATGATCCGGTGCCCCTTCTTCCACTGGACGAATGGGGCTACGAACAACACGCCGGGGAGGTTTTCATCTCCAAGGGGTCACTGGCGCCGTCGGAAACAGATGTCCACAGCTGCGTTGGGTACAATGATCCGAGCTGCAGCGCTGGCGCGGACAGTTATGCGCGCTACAAGCTGTGGCAGTTGTTCTTCTCGCACCGCGACTACTTCTGGCGTCTAGGCCTATGTGTCCCCGGCGGCGACCCAGCGAACTGGGGAAGACTGCCATATGAGTACGACAATGAGCTATGATGATGCAAGGATGGCGTTGGTGTTTCTATACCCTGGTTAGAATTCTTAATACAGTAGTGAATATTTCAGATCTACGAGTCACCAAGTTATCTGGCAAACATCTTTTTACTTGCCGACAGGTCTGTCATGTCGGCCAGGTCAAAGTGCACATTAAGACATACATTACGCCAACCATCCGTCAACCTCGCACTTAATAACTGCCACATGCTCCTGTTCCGTGTCTTTTGCAGGATTAATGAGATATTGCCACAGTCATTTCTGGGCTCCTCGGAGATAGGTTTAGAAGTTGCGCTGGTTAGTTGGCATCCAGCAACTGCAGACTACGTAGCGCGTAGGGTAACCAGCCCAGTCATGAATCACAGACCGAGTAAAGCCAATCACCCTTTGGTGGCGCCGGCCTCAAGGAAAGACGCGCCTCAGTCTTCCTACCGTGCAATCCGCATGCAGCAAATAGTATCGTAGCCATCTCACAACGCTGGCGAGAGCTGGGCCTCTGGTGTCCAAGCTATGGCAGCTGACACGTGAACCTCTGGAATGATACGGGAATGGAGGGGCACACTACACTCCCGTCTCTCTTGGTGGTCCCAGGCCTGTGAAGATAAGCGCCCCACCCTCACTTGCATTTCATCCAATCATGCCACCGTACGCAATGTGGTAGTACATAGCAGATGGCGCCCAAAGTAAACATGGCCGACCCAGGAAGCGGCTTCTTGGGGACTGCTTTGTTTACGGCCATCAGCAGGCTGACTGACTGGTGGTGATCGGCAGGATAGGTAATTTACCTGGCTGGACCACTAGAGTGGAAATGTGGGCTCTTCGATATCGCTGCTCGCCCTGCTCGGTGCCCCGGGCTCGCTGGCGCCAGCACCCCCGATTGTCCCAAAAGTCCGAGAAAAGGTCTGATGCTTGTTGATTGTGTTTTTCGTCGATGAGCTGCTCAGCCCAGTCTGGGCCAGTCCTGCCAAACGCACGACGTACCTGTAGTGGCTCATTTGCTGTCCTGGTGGATAAGCATGTGACTGGCCCAATCAAGCCTCGTGAGGAGGGTCAAAGTGTAGGTACAAGTACAAACATGATGTGTGTTCGCGCGTCAAAGCGAGGCAACAGAACGGTGATTGCAGCCGCCGGGTTCAAATTTCCAGCAATATGAAGGCCTGTTGAGTATCGCAGGGAGCTGTAATTACCTTGCTCTAACAGACGACTTGGCAAGGTGCGCAAAGTGCTGCGAAGAAAACACTGATCCGGGACTGCCCCTCTTTCTCACAGTCACGGTGTCGAAAGCTGAGTCCAGTCCTGTCGCGCTCCACTTATCATTGCTGGCACTCAGCGGTTCTGCCCACCTCTGCCGTCGTGGATGGTGGAAGGTGCTGGATTCGCGCCTGCCAGGCTGCCTTACCGCAAGTTTGGCGCGGGTCCGGACGATAAAAACGACTTACAGGGGGGTCTTGGGGGGTTCAACGTGGACGGCGTTAGGGGGCACGAGGCGCTAATTGCCCCTCGTCGAACGTCGAACCGCCCAAATTATCGCACCTACCCGGCACCCAACGCCAAAATATAAACACACTGCCATCCTCAACGCCTCAGACAAGACCCTCTCCGCCCCCCCCCCCATTCTCTTTCTCACCTTGCCTTTTTGCACCACCCCGCAAACGAAACATAACAACAACCCGCTCAACCAACGGCCTGAACCTTTGGAACAACTTTGTCCGTCCTTGACTTGTCACGAAGTACACAATCACCGCAACCATGACTTCCGAGGTGAGTGATCAGAACCTAGACCCAAAAGGCTACCCTTCCATTCCGATGCACCCACCGCCAGCCGCGATCACACGCAACGGCGAGCGGATTTGACCCCTCAGCCCAACGCTCGCGCGCTGCCTGGAGGCTGCTGCGATGCTGCACGTCGCGCGCTTGAGCACAGAGTCACTTTTCTTTTCTTGCGCAAATCCTTGTTGTACGAAACGATGCTAACAGCTTTCAGCGTGAAAGGTTTGTTTAGTCCCCAGGACCGATGGGAGCTGCTGAAGCTCCTGACCCCACCTCGAGCCGGCCACTCCCTGCACCACCGCAAAGCTGAAGCAGCGCTGACGATGGTGTGTTTGATAGCAAGACTTTCCTCGCCCGCCTCTGCGAGCAGGCCGAGCGCTACGATGAGATGGTCAACTACATGAAGGAGGTTGCCAAGCTGGGCGGTGAGCTCACCGTGGACGAGCGTAACCTGCTGTCCGTGGCCTACAAGAACGTTGTTGGTACCCGCCGTGCCTCGTGGCGCATCATCTCCTCGATTGAGCAGAAGGAGGAGACCAAGGGAACCGACAAGCACGTCTCCACCATCAAGGAGTACCGCCTCAAGATTGAGCAGGAGCTCGAGAAGGTCTGCGAGGATGTCCTGAACGTCCTTGACGAGGCTCTCATCCCCAACGCCGCCACCGGCGAGTCCAAGGTCTTCTACCACAAGATGTGGGTACTCGCGCTCTGACTGCGCATGTGAATGTGATCACTGACATCTGGTGCAGGAAGGGTGACTACCACCGCTACCTGGCCGAGTTTGCCTCTGGCGAGAAGCGTAAGGGCGCCGCCACCGCCGCTCACGAGGCTTACAAGGTGAGATTCATTGCGACGACGAATTCATTGACACTATGGACTGACTCCCGTCCCTAGAGCGCTACCGACGTTGCCCAGACTGAGCTGACCCCCACGCACCCCATCCGCCTGGGTCTTGCCCTCAACTTCTCCGTCTTCTACTACGAGATCCTCAACTCGCCTGACCGCGCGTGCCACCTCGCCAAGCAGGCCTTTGACGATGCCATTGCCGAGCTGGACTCTCTGTCCGAGGAGTCGTACCGCGACAGCACGCTCATCATGCAACTGCTCCGCGACAACCTGACCCTGTGGACCTCGTCTGACAACGCCGAGGGCGAGCAGGCCACCGAGGCCAAGAAGGAGGAGGGCGACGCCCCCAAGCCCGCCGAGGAGGAGGCCAAGCCTGCCGAGGAGACTGCGCCCGCCGCTGCCTCGTAAAAACCTCTTGTCTACGCGATACCACATGGCGTCTGCAGCCTCAGACGGCCTACCTTTGTTGGCAATGCGGTTGTGAGAACCAAACGACTGCTTTGCTGTGCAACACAACACCCGCTCACTCTCACCGTGGCGGCAGGCTAGGGGTTTAGGGGTGGGAGGGGGAACTGGAGTTGGGAGCGATTTTGAGGTTTCGTGGCATGGATTCTTCTTTTGGTGCGCAAATGGTTTTAGGGAAGGCTGTCTTGCTCGTGGCTGGACAGCCATGCTCTCTCAAAAACTACGTGGCAGTTAATCTTAAGACTCCCCCTGTCTCCGTGGCCGCGCAACCTCGCTCGCTCTACCCAACACGGGACGCGCCTCATTTCGATACCCCGATACGATGGAAATGTCCTTTTTTCATATCAAATTTTTCTTTTACTTGTCATACGCGGTGTGCTTTCTCTGTTGTCTTTCTACCAATCGACGTCGGCTTGGGAGGACGACTGGCTGATTGTGGCTGGCGGCCTCCACAGCTCCTCTTGCGAGAGCAGCTTTTGGCTTCGGGGACGCCATCCTGGGGCTGGCCTGGACGTCTTTCTTCTCGGACAGGGCGCTTGATCTTTGGGAGGGAGAGATCTCGCGGGCTTGAACGCTAGGAAGGGCATGACGGGTTGTTCCCATTCGATATGGAGATGGGACGGATGCGCTAGGTTGGACCCCGGACGTACTTACTTGCCGAGACGTCGAATAATAAAAAAAGGAATATCAAGAACTCTTGTTAGGTGTGTGTTTGTGTGTGTATCATGATAATCGTCAACTACAGCAAAATGGGTATAATATGTGTATCTGATCTTCGTGTCTTCATCATCGAGCCAGCTGCCGCCGCCATGCATTCAATCGGCACGCCCCAGGAGGCGCGCTGCCCGCTCCAGCCTCTCCTGCCTGTCCTTGAGGCCGCCGTCGTGGTCGCTCCTCTGCGGCTCCTGTGCGTGGTCATATTCGTAGTCGCGGGTCTGTTGGTGCTGCACCCTGTTCTCCTCGCGGTACATTTCGGTTCGGGTGCTGTGGTCCCAGGCATCCTCGCCTTCACCCTTGGCGGCGGCGGCCCCCCCCTTCCCGGAGAGACGACGTGTCAAGCGACGCCAGAGGCTGCGGCGCGGGCGTGTGTGGACAGAGGAGGCGCCCGACGACGAGCCGGAGCCTGACGAGGCGGCCATGCTGGGGGCGGACGGCGTGGGGGAGATGGGCGAGGGCTCGGAGGCGATGGCGACCTCGTCGCGCCAGACGGAGATGCGGTTCACCTTGTGGGGAGGGAGATGCTGCATTGTGCGCTCTTCCATGATGAGTGAGAGAGAATTGGACGAGGCTCGAGATGCGCGGCTGTGGGTGGAACCCGTCGAGGCTGAGGTGGATTCGAATGAACGTCGATAGATGGAAGCACAGGGGCAAATTGATTGTGTAACGATGTTGGATCGGCGAGAGTTGCAAGGAGTAGGTTTGTCCAGTGAAGGAGTTGGAGAGCGATTGGGCGTCGCGTGTGAAGTTGCCCCTTTCGCCGCTCACCGGCCGTAATTTACGACTGATTCAGACTTAAAGGTACGGACGGACAGTAGGGTGAGGAAGAGGAGTCTAGACGACCGGGGCGGAAAGGGAGCCAGCGAATCCGGGGGCAGGGAGGGGGGATGGAATTGTGGTTCGGGGGAACTAATGATTGCCAGATTGACACCGTGAATGGCTCTCGTGACCGTTCCAGTGCCGACCTGTGCGAGTCACGCTGAGCGGCTGGGGGAGGCGATGCTGAGCAGGCAAGACTGGAGACTGACTGGATGATTGTCGATGACGGACAAGTCCAGGCTTTTGTGCGATTCAGGCGGGATCGAGTGGCACCTGGCCAGACAGCAGCAGCCGGCACTGTAGCACAATGTCTCGTTGGGAATGGGAGGACTGGAGGTGCAGGGCGCCGGGTCGAGAACGCGCTGCCAAGGGAGGGGACGGATGGTGATTCGCAATCAGCCCATTTCTCGGGCCTGTGGACAAGTTGGCGAGTCAAGAAATCGCCAGTGAAAGGAAGCCTTTTATGGGAGATGCTAGATAGGAGATGCCATCCACACCCCTGCCATCCATGCATCCCGAGATCCCACTGTGCCTCACTTTTTGAGTTGCGGGGGTGGATCTCACTCGCAAGGCCGATGAACGGAGGCTGGGGCTCTGAGGAATGCATCCGAGGTGCTCTGTGGTTGCTTCGCCATGACAGGTCAACGCCTGGCTAAGTATTCATGCTGCATGTGAAGATTCCCATATCGATTTGATCTATCCCTTCGTCCATGCTATCCAATGCCGTTAATAATACCCAGAAACCAGACCACACAGCCAACGCCACGCACGCATGCTCAACATGCCCCGAAATAGTAGAATGCATCCATCCATCTCACTTGCTCGGCTGGAGTGTCTCCCAGCCGCCCATCCCATGACCGCCATCGTCCATTGAGTCAAGGAGGTCCACGGGTCCGCGCTGCTGCTGCGTCGCTGGTTGCTTGATGTTACTGTTGCGCGCAGCGGCGGCCGACGAGGCCACAGGTCTCCTAGACACCTCGAGGCTGGACGTCGACATGCCCGTGTTGCTCCTCGCGGGCAGCGCAGGAGCAAACTGCCCGTGCTCCGACCCATTGGAGTGCGCTGATACAGTAGGCGACGTCGCCAGATGCGCTGGCTTCCTCGCCACGGGCGGCGCGGCCTTGCCTCGCGTGGCAGTCGACGTGTTCGATGCCGCCGACGTCGGGCGCAGTGGTTGCTGCAGACCGGCTGGAGGCTGCTGGTGATGGTGTTGCGATGCTGCAGGAACAGAGGCTGAACTCATACCTGTGCCCTGTCTGCGTGGCGGGGGAGGCGGAGGCGTCGAACCCTGCTGCTGCTGTTGTTCTAGATTCATCCTCCCAACCTTGGCGGCGAGCGAGCCGTCGTGTTGCTGTGATGGTGGAGGCGGCAGTCTCCTAGGCGTATTGTGACCACCATTCTGGCCCGACGCGAGGCTGCTCGCCATGTTCCCCGGCATGGCGACCTTTTCATAGGGCGAGCTCGACAGGCTGCCCGTAAAGGAACCCCGCGAGGACGAGCGCGACACTGATATCCAGTCCTGCTCCTCGACATGGCCAAACGGATTCGATGGACGACGCGGGTTGAGCGCCATGGGCTGCCCGTCCTGGCCCTGCGGCGCGCTCATCCGTGACTTGGCCGTCTGCTTGTTCTCGAGCCACCACTTTTGCCGATCCGAGCTGGCGGGCGGCAGCCCCGGTTCGATCGCCTCGTAGCCGATGAGGTCCTCGTCCTCCGTGTCGTCAAAGTCGCCGACGTGCGTGCCCGCGTCGCCCACGTCGGCTCGTCTCCGACTGTACAGCTCCTTGCTGATCGCCTCGCGACGGTCCTCGTCGACAATGTTGACCCGGCACTCGAACGCGGCGTAGACGGGGCGATGGTCGGAGAACCGGAGCGGCGCTGAGTCGTAGAGCAGCTGACGCAGGTTGGCGCCTTTCCGAAGAATGCGGTCTGTCCACGCAGGGATACGCGCTTTTTCTCTGCAGAGTTATGGTCAGTACGGGAATCTAGAAGAAAAGAAAAAGAGCGTGACGTACGAAGTATCGTATTCGTCCGACCCCACGTCGAAGCGATACGTCGGAAGAAAAGAAATGCGCGCCTCGGAATAGAAGGGAAAGGCCAGACCGGCGACCATCTGCAGGTTCAGCTGATCGTTCTCGTACAGAGCCTCGAGATCCCGCCTCTTGACAAGCGCCCGCGCCTTGTCCGAGCCCAAGCCGATGCGGTAGTTGAAGTCGCCCAGCCAGATGACAGAGTCGTGGTCCTCAATGCCCCTGTTGCGCTGGAAGCGCAGCCCGTGATGGATCGTAGCGTAGTCCCTGTTCCGCTCGTCGTAGTTGGCGAACCCAGCCGCCAGGTGGGCGGTCACAAAGCAGATCTGCGTGTTGGCGTAGTCGAAGCGGATCGCCACGGCGCCCTTGTTGCCCGCCATGCCGGACAGGCCCGTCTTCTTGACGCTGCCCTCGACGTTCCTGATCTTGCCGAGCGCCGATGTCTTGACAAAGATGCACAGCGCGGCGCCCACGAGCTGCCCGCTCCGAAGCAGGACGTACTTCTCGCCGCCGAGCGCGGCCTGGCGTCGGTTGAGCGTGCTCTGCACAGCGTGCTCCCAGAGACCCCGCCTCGCCGGGTCGCTGTTCATAATTTGCTGAGGGCTGAGCTCTACAATCTCCTGGAAGCCCACTGTGTAGATGTCGGGCTGCTCGCTCCCCAGGGCCGGAGGGAACAGCCAGGGTGAAAGGTCCTCGTCCACGCCCTCTGTTCGCCCGTTCAGGTTGAACGTTCCCACCCATATACTGATGTTCTTGTATGATGTATACTCGTCGATGCGTTTCCCAAGCTCCATGGAGACATAGTCGCTGATGGGGTCGAACAGGTGGACAGGGGCCTGGCTCACGAGGCGGCCTAGTAGCATGTCAATGGTGACCTGCCGCGACGGATCGACAAAGTTGTTGTGGTAGATGCGCTGCACGGACTTGCGCATGTCAGCGACGGCGCCGGCCAGCGACATCTTGCCGTGTCGGGTGTACGACGACTTGAGCGCGCCTGTGCCCGCGTACGTCTTGGACAGGTTGTCGCCATTGTCCGCCCATAGGCTCGAGTGCCGCATCCAAAAGTCGGATGCTGCGTACACACCCCGCTGGTGCAGGAAGGCCTCGACGGCCATCTGCGAGATCAGCGTCTGGATCAGGTTCGTCCGATCCAGGCAGTCCAGGCAGTTGGTGCGGAAGACACCATCCTGCTGCAGAACAACCCTCATGTGCCCCGGGCCGCCGCCCTCATCAGATGCCTCCGCTAGAAAGTAGGCAAATGCGTCGATCGAGTCCTCGACGTACCGACGGATGCCCTTGGCGGCCTCATATCCAGCGGGGCCCTTTGTCTCTGCGTGGAAGTCGTACCGTGTTTCCCGCAGCAGGGCGTGGTCGGGCGAGCCACTCATGCCCGCCCGGCTCAGGGGGTTGTGTTGTATCCCGTGATGGTAGAGGTTGCTGAGCTCGACCTCGGCGGGTTTCGTCTCGCTGAGGAGGTTGACGACGTGGACCGCCCCGTACGTCTGCTCCAGCTCGTCAAAGTGCTTGTTGAACGACGGCTGCATGCCCTCTGGTGACCTCGTGACAGTGACCTTTTGCCGCCCTGGGACTAGATCGGCCGCCTGCTCCCAAAAGACAGGCACCGAGCCTCTGACCTGCGCGTAGGAGAAGAAGACGCCTGCTGGGCTCCAGAAGACGGTCTCTGTCTCTACGAAATTGGCGACGTGTCCGTCGTCGTCGATCCCGCGTGCGTTGAATCGTGTCCCTGCCCTTCGGCAGGACAACCGTGATATGAGCGTCATAAAGGAGGGCATCCCTGTCCTGGCCTTCAACGGCGACGCCGTCTGTGGGATAGTCATTGTCTTACAAAACCCCCGAAAGGCCGACGTCAAGATCCTCGACGAGTCGAGCGCCTCCCTCTCCTGGGGCAGGAGCCTCGATCGAAACAGGACCAGCGGGCTGATCATGAACGAGTTCCACAAGAACGCGTCGTCAAAGTTGTCAATGGCAAAGGAGTTGGTGTTGATCGGCCGGTCCTGCGCTCTGTTGGTCACGTCGAAATCGGTGCTGTAGTAAAAGGAGCCGTTGCTCAGGAGCTTGCGCAGCTCATGGCAGGGGTGCTCGAGGGCGACCTGGTTCCGGCTCAGGTTCTGGCCGTACTGCGAAGTCTGGCTGTAGACCGAGGCGGCGTCGGACATGTCGGGCTCGAGGGTCTCGAGGGGCACCACGTCGTCATAGTCGGCACTGCTGAGGCAGTAAAAGGCCACGCCGCCAATCTTCTCCACGGTCTCGCCGGGGCTCACGGTGGCGGCCCTGGCCGCATTGGTGATGACGGCGATAAAGACCTCCCCGTTGACGGCAATCAGACCCAGGGTGCCGTAGATGGGTCGTGGCGTCAAGGGGCGGTAGTCCCTGAGCAGCTTCTCCGACGTGGGGGAGAACTCGACCATGCATTTTGCGATGCCGCTTCTCTGGGTCGACGCGAGCGAGGTGTGGGATCCGTTGGGCCCGCCGGCGTCGCTACCGCTGGTCGAGGCACTGTACCGGAGGATGAGCGTGTGCTTGGTCGAGACGATGGCGATGGAGCGGTTCGGGTAGTCGCGGATGTAGAGCTCGCAGGACTTGTCTGGCGCTGGAGGCTGGGCGCTCCACGCCGTGGGCGGATGGTCCATGATCTCGTGGTGCTTCGTAGGTGGGCGCGCGCGTCAAGATGGGGAGAGGGGGGAGGGCGCTTCGACGATTTAGATGCGCGGACGCATTGTCGAGGGGGGGGGGGGGGGGGGAAAGTCGGCCAAGACACACGGCTATTGATATTGAGATTCTGGCTAGCCGAATTGACGGGTCGGGCCTTTGGCGTGTGATTAAGATAGGTTGGGCTTTGTAGCGAACGTTAGGTGGAGGATGGACGAGTCTTGGTAGTGGTATGTGGTTTGTTTTGGGCGACGTCAGCTCAGGCTACCAGTTAATAGCTGCTGATTCCCGACCAGCCCAAGAAAGCAAGGTGCGGATCAGCACGATGAGGATTACAGCATCTCCAGAGCCAGGAATCACTCGAGTACATAAAATTACAACTGCTATTGACAAGCTGAGAAGATTGGCGACTTGGGTTGTGTTTGCCTCCCAAGAAGCAGTCTCCCACGTACGGACAGTGGCATTCATGAGTTCAGGCAGATATCAGGATTCAGCATCGAGACGTCCATGTCGCCAGTGCAGCTGTCCGCAAAAAGCATAAATAGCCACAAGTTCATCCATATATTGGAGGGCACAATGAAAGCTTCAAAGGCAAGCATTGAGCAGACAGGCAGGCAGATTGTCTGTTTGCGAGCCCATTTCCGCGTTCATGTCATGGCTCGAATGATCTTCCAGTCGAGGTACTCGACAGCCTGGAACCAACCCCCAAATGAGCTCACTTGAGCTTGCGGCCGTCCAACTCCAAGTCGTCGAATACAAGAAGAGAGAATGAGTGGCCACGTCGCACCGACTCTACACTACGATCGAATGGCAACGAGCAAGAAAAAGTAGCTTTGAAGGTGGCTTCAGATTCGAAATTGAGATCATGCTCCTCATTGAGGAGCGTTCATTCTCTTCCTATCATATGTTTATGTTGATAATCATCACGAGCCATGAAGAAGAAGAAGGAAACCAGACATTTTTTTTCGCGTGCGCCGCGAATATGAAGCCCACTGCGTTCTGCTGAGTCATCACGTTCCAGAGACATGTGGGTGCTGGTTGACGTGCAGAATCCGGGAGCCGACCAATCAACGCGCCCAGGATTGAACCTCCAGTCGCAGGCTCGTTCAGCCTCGTACCGTCGCATTATCATCACCATCACCAGCACGAGCACCTCGTTGTCCTCAAACCGAAAACCAACTACGACAGCCACAAACTGACGCATTGCGACACCATACAACAATCGCATTTCCATCAAACACAGGCCTCATCTACCATGGGCGACTTTGCGCTGTATGGCGGCTCCGATGAGGAGTACGCCGCTGTGCGCAAATACAATGCAGAAGTGGTGCGTCGCGAGCGCGCAGCCCGTCATGGCAATGCTGACCATATCCCCTACAGGAAGCCGATCCAGACTCGTTCGAGAACTGGGACAACCTCATCAACGCGGTCACGGCCGTCGAGGGGGGCCTCAACAGAAACTCCAGCCCCCAGGCACTGGCGACCTTTCGCGACGCCTACGACCGCCTGCTCGCCAAGTTCCCGCTCTTCTTTGGCTACTGGAAGAAGTACGCCGACGCCGAGTTCAACATTGCCGGGCCCGAGTCGGCCGAGATGGTGTACGAGCGTGGCGTCGCCGCCATCCTCAGCTCGGTCGACCTGTGGACGGACTATTGCTCTTTCAAGATGGAGACGACGCACGACCCCCAGCTCGTCAGAGAGTAAGTATAGCCGACGGAAGATTACTCCCTTCTTCCCGCCCCTTTGCCATACATAACATTACATTACATGCTCGAAGCGCGATGCGGAACAACCAGCCCACCTACTACCTGCCTGCCTGCCTACCTACCTCAGAAACCCGGGCGCAAGGAAAGCCTCTGAATGATGGGCGGTTCGATGGTGAGATCCTTGCCTGCAGCAGGCCTACCCTTCCGGGATGCTCTCTCACGCTTTCTGATCAGGCATTGTTCATGTTACGCGGGGACAAGTGACAAGTCTCAACCTACCTACTTGACTCATTCGGCGCGCACCGCTCCAAAACTCTTCACACGGCCATCCCATCTTGTATTGCTCTCCCTCTCCCCTCCTCCTCGAGTTCCCGACCCCGTCGCGGCGAAGACCTTGCTAACTTGAACAACAGGCTCTTTGAGCGAGGTGCGGCCTGCGTGGGCCTCGACTTTTTGGCGCATCCGTTCTGGGACAAGTACATTGAGTACGAGGAGCGACAGGAGGCGCGAGACCGCGTGTTCGCTCTGCACGCCCGCATCATCGCCATCCCCATGCACCAGTATGCTCGCTACTACGAGCGCTTCCGCGGCCTCTCGCACCAGCAGCCCCTGACGAGCCTGGCTGCCCCCGAGACGCTGGCGCGGTTCCGGAGCGAGTGCGAGGCGGAGGTCGCCGCGCTCGGTGGCCCGCCCAAGCCGGAACTGGAGCTGGAGCGAGATATCCGGACCAAGATCGACAGCATGTACTACGATACCTTTACGAAAACCCAGAGCGAAGTGTCCAAGAGGTGGACCTTTGAGTCTGGCATCAAGCGCCCCTACTTCCACGTTACCGAGCTGGAGCACCCGGCGTTGCAGACCTGGCGCGACTACCTCGACTTTGAGGAGGCCGAGGGGGACGCCACCCGCATCGTCTGCCTGTACGAGCGCTGCCTGACGACGTGCGCGCTGTACGACGAGTTCTGGTTCCGGTATGCGCGCTGGATGCACGCGCAAAAGGGCAAGACGGAGGAAGTGCGTCACATTTACATGCGCGCGAGCACGCTGTTTGTGCCCATCAGCCGTCCGGGCATCCGTCTCATGTGGGCCTACTTTGAGGAGAGTTGCGGTCGGGTGGACGTGGCCAAGGACATTCACGCGGCCATACTCGAGGGGCTCCCGGACGCGGTCGAGGTCGTCAAGTCGTGGGCCAACCTGCTGCGCCGGCAGGAGGGACTCGAGGCGGCGGTGCAGCTCTTCAAGTACCACATCAACACGCCGACGGTCGACATGTACACCAAGGCCGCCCTGGTAGCCGAGTGGGCATGGATGGTGTGGCAGACGAGCCGCCGTGCTGACGCGGCGCGCGACATCTTCACCGAGAATGTGCAGTGGTATGCGGACAGCCGCATGTTCTGGGAGCGATGGTTCCAGTTTGAGCGCGAGCAGCCCCGGCGCCCCGATGCATCGAGCCAAGCCGGCCAGAAGCCTCGCCAGGAGCAGGTGGGCCGCCTGCAGCGGATGCGCCATGTGTTGGACGAGATGAGGAATCGCAGTCGGTTGTCCGCGGCCGTCAAGATGCAGTTGGCCCAGGTGTATCTCGACTACCTTGTGCAGTGCGGCGGCGCCCCGGCCATGAAGGAGTTCCTTGCGCTGGATCAGGAGATGTTTGGGTAGGTGTCTTCACTGCCCCATTGTCGCATGTCACGTTTGCTAACATGTATTTTTTCTTCTAGCCCTGCGTCTGTAGCAAACATTACCAAGAGATCTGGAGATCTCAAGACCAATGGGGCGCCACCTCCTGGGGAGCTCGATGCTGCGTCGAGAGCGAGGGCCGAGGCGAGACATTTCAATTTCTTCGAGTTGCATACGCTTCCTGACCCGGAAGCCCAGGGCCCAGCGGACTTTAATTAATTTACGAGTTAGGAGTAATGGAAAATGTATTGTTTGATGATGCGACTATTCATTCTCCTTTGCTTGCTTGCGCGCGGGAACTGACATGAAGAGGCAGTCAGTGCCAGACAACCAACCTCTATCCGCGCTCTACTCTACCCCTCCTTACCCCCGCCGAGATATGCTTGTTTGCCTGCTTGCTCGCAAACGCGTGAGCTGGCATTGCTGCGACGGTTATGCTGTTGGTGGGCGAGACTGAAGTGCGTTGGCTCGCTCACCTGCAGACGACTGGAGGCGCCAAAACCGGACTCGGACCGCATTTTCAGCCAACGAGCCGCGGCCATTTCGAGGTTGTATGCACACCGATCACAATGGCATCGGAGCGCGGCGATACACAGGCGGCAAAGGGACGAGAAAGCGAGATGGCCGACTGGCTGCGCCGATGATGCGCAGATCATCATCGGTCGAGGACAGAGGCCACCACCACCCAGTGACTCGGATCGAGGGCCATCGACGAGGCTCTGGACGTGACGAGACGCTGCAATCATCGCCGTTGGTGCAGTGTCACTGTGATATACGATTGGAGATGCGTGGCTCTGGGTACACGCATGCAACAAGCATGTACTAAAGGCGCATGCCACCTTTGGATTGTGGGCGAGTCGAATCGTCAAACCTACATGTACATTGCACCTACCTCGTACATGTGCCTCGCCTGATTGCCCACGAGCGAGCTGGACCAACAACAGCCTCCTTTTAAAGTCCTTTTAAAGCCCGCGCAGGACATTGAGAGATGCCCCCAACCGTCAACCCTCCCACTCCGCCTGCGTCTGACGACGAGTTCACTCTCAGCAGCAAGCCTACCAACAGCCCCATGCAGCGCTACAACGCGTCCAAGCGCGCCACCGACTCGACCCGTTTCGTGGGCTCGGGCTCGGGTTCTAGCTCAAGTTCACGCGCAGGCCCATCCCGCCAGGCGCAGCCCGACGCGGCGATGGAGCACCAGGACTGCACGGGTTGCCTGCACCCGCTACCCAGGGACCGCCAGGCAGTCGAGCGCGCACACGCCCTCGAGAGCCGCCCCGACGCCTCGCAGAGCAACTACAGCGGCGCGACGGCCGGCCCGGGCGTCACGCAGTTCAACAACTTTTTGGTTCAGGCGCAGGGGGGCGGCGGGGACCACGGGCCCGACGACGACCTGACGTCCATGTGGCCGTACGTGTCGAGCAAGACGGAGCGGGCGCGGCACATTGGGGCCTGCAAGACGGGTGTGGGCAAGCAGATTAACGGGCCGGCGCTGATTATCTCGGGGCGTGCGTCCAAGGCGCCGCTGCCGACGATTACGATTCCGCGGCAGACGCATATTGATCCGGTCATGTCGCTGGGCGCGGGGGCCGAGGGGATGGCGTCCTCGGTGGCGGCGGAGGATGCGGCGCAGGTGAATGGAGGGTTTATCTTGTTCCAGGGGGAGTGATGGATGTGATACTGGGGCTTGTCAGGCAGAGGGTTGAGCATGTCAACAAGTTTAGGCCAACCGCTGAGACAGGGAAAGACGAAGGAGACTAGAGTGGATGTTGGCAGGGGCACTGCCAAGACGTATTGTCGGAGAGACTCTTTGATTATTGACGTACTCATTGATTGTTCAAGGTCAACATTGTGCGCCTCGTCATTGATCGCCAACATTTGCCAAGATCCTACGCCAAGCGTACCATTCATCGGCCTCACTCCGTCCCCACGAACTTCACTCCAATGCAACACCCTCGCTTCTCATTCCCCTCAGAGCCGAAGATTGTGGGGAAGCCCCAGAAACCCCGCGCCGAATATGACGGGATTAATGAGCTTAAAGATCCTCCGAGATGCTTGATGGCTCTGCCAGCTGCCCAAGTCGGGAATCCCCTCCAGCGCCGATTGGTGCGCATCGTCGGCAGTGACAATCGGACCAGGGGTTTGAGTCTCGACGACAGATGGACCCGGCGGATGGAGGCATGATTGCTTAAAAGAAGGCAAATGACCAGTATGTTTGTTTCTGCCATGCCACCGCACAGTCCTCATCCTCGACATGAAGCTCCTCAACACGCTCTGGTCGCTGGCCCTCATCACCACCACCACACTGGCCAGTCCCACGCCCTCCAGTATGGACGTCCGCTCCTATCTCGAGGCGCGCGCCGGACAATCACTCGAGGCTTCGTCGCCCGCTGTGTCGTACACAAACACCCTGATCGAGCAGCGTGCCGACCCGCACATCTACAAGCACACAGATGGGTTCTACTACTTCACCGCCAGCGTGCCCGCCTACGACCAGATCATCCTGCGTCGCGCAGAGACCATTGACGGCCTCCGCGACGCCCCAGAGACGGTCGTCTATCAGCGCACGGCTACCGAGGGCCCCGGCAGCGGCTACATCTGGGCGCCCGAGATCCACTACATTGACGGCAAATGGTACATCTACGTCGCCCTCGAGCAGGGCCAGCGTGGCTCCTGGGCCATCCGCCCCGTCGTCTTCGAGGGCACGGGCGACGACCCCCTCGAGGCGACCTGGGAGAACAAGGGCGTCGTCGACACGGGCATTGACGACTTCTCGCTCGACATGACCTACTTTGAGGTCAATGGCGTTCGCTACCTCGCCTGGGCCCAGACAGACCCCGATTTTGGCTCGGGAACAGGCATCTTCATCGCCAAGATGATCAACCCCTGGACCGTCGAGCTGCCCTCCGTAGGCATCACCTACCCCACCCTCGACTGGGAGCGCATCGGCCACAACGTCAACGAGGGCGCCTATGTCATCGTCCGCAACGGCAAGGTCTTCCTGTCCTACTCGGCCAGCGCCACCGACCACAACTACTGTGTCGGCCTGCTCACCGCCGACGAGACGGCCGACCTGACGGACCCAGACGTCTGGAGCAAAGCCCAGGCGCCCGTCTTTGAGAGCTACGAGCCCACGGAGAACTGGGGACCGGGTCATAACTCATTCACCAAATCCGAGGACGGCCTGAGCGATGTCTTTGTGTACCACTCTCGCGGCTACAAGGACATTGTAGGCGAACCCCTGAATAACCCGGACCGACGTACGCGCGTCCAGAAGTTGTACTGGAAGGCGGATGGCACTCCTGACTTTGGCATCCCCGTCGCTGAGGGCAAGACACCTGTCAAACTCGCCGCTGCGGGGGGTTATCTGGCCAATAATGGGGACGGCGAACCCATTGTCGTCTCGGTGGAGGCGAGCCTTGGACAGACCCTGTTCCGCGTCAACGAACCTGGTTCGGCGGGTGAGGGCACCGTCAGCTTGGAGAGTGGTAACCTACCTGGACACTTTGTCAGCAACCAAGACGGTCGTGCTGTACTGGTCAGCGCGTCGGACTCTGACGAGTTCAAGGCGGCTGCGAGCTTTGAGAAGGTGGCTGGGTTGGCTGGGGAGGGTGTCTCTTTCAAGTCGGGGGATCTGTATCTGAGTACTGGGTCATGCGGTGTCAAGTTTATTGAGTCGCCGACGGACGAGGGAGCCACGTTTACTGAGGAGTAGTGGCACCAAAACATCTTTTTTTCTTGTCTGTATTGGACCTGGCAGCATCTTTGCGTCACATTGATCATGTCACCGCTCGTGCACAGAGTGTCCGAACCCTGAATGATTGGATTTGTGTCGTGCTTGTGTCAATTGAAGGTCGTGATATTGTGGGAAGCTCAGCCCTTGCTGTCCGGCATGAACGCGAAGACACAAGCCCACCCATGACTTTCCTGCCCCTGGCTAGACTTCAGCTACTATGCTCAGCAACGCTGTGCTTGTGTCAATTAAAGGTCGTGATATTGTGCGTCCGGCCCTTTCAATAAACTCGAAGAGACAAGCCCACCCCTGCCCTTTCTGCCCCTGATCACATGTAGCCTTAAGCTACTGCCCCCCCCCCCCCCTGGGCACCGTGCGTCACTGCTAGCCGAGGTCGTTTGGGCTGTAGTCTGGTTAGAGATGCATGGTTCTGAAGGACAAGAGACTAGAACGATTGCCCACTTACTCAGTTTTGGACGCTAGGCGTTGCGGCCTCGGGCTTCTCGGGACTGTTGATCTGATTGATCAAGATGCAGAAGCTCAGGTGGCAGCAACCGACCAAGATGGTGATGAAGAACAGAGCCACCTGGAAAACGATGATCTGAAAGAACGGCTCCAAGTTCCAACTTGACAAAGTCCGAAAAGGTAGGGAGATCTGGCAACTTTGGGAGGTCTGCCATCTTATGTCGATTGTAATTGGTTTCAGCTGGTGGTTTTTGGTGCTTGCGTCAAACGAGAAAGCGTCTGTGGGTGATGGTGGTGAATAGTACCGGGTGAAGAAGAGGTAGAAAAGGAAGAGAAAATTTTCGAGAAGAGGAGAGACCTGATCTTAAGTACTAATTTTTACTGGAGCGAAAGCACAGGTAAACACGTACCAATACAATATCAGACGCTTTATCGCAAGTAAGTGTCACGATTCAGTTCGATTCGAACGAGGTGCGAGGTAGCCAGCCGGCTGAATGTGAGGTGAAATAGAGGTGAGAAGGGGCGGATTCTGTGCGAAAGCATTCACTGTCCGACCAAACATTAGGGGGCAAACCAGCCCCTGTATTGACTGACCACAAACAAACACCACTGAAAAGTCCTGCGCACGTGATGCTCACCATGAGATGAGAATAATGATTTCGCGTCACAAATGGCCCCCCCTTTTCACTTCACTCCTCTGCTCTTGTTCATGATCTCTCTTCTTCAACTTCCTGTGCCTCACTTCTCCTCCTCTCGAGCCGTAACAACGGGCCAGAACACGCCATGGCCTCCCTCATGGATACCGCTGCGAACACGACCACTGTCACCTCGGGCTTGGATCCGACCTGCTACCATACGGTAACATTTCGCATCCGTGTCGCTATCGATACCGTCGCCGCCACAAGCTTCCCTACCAATACTCCCGCTGCCACTGCCACTGCCACCCTAGCAATGGATCCGCCTTTCAACTGTGCCCAGTGCGCTGAAGTCCAAGAGCTTTGGCTCGCGCCCATGTACCTAGCCGGCTTCATCACGGTGCTCTTGGTTACCCTCGCCTGGCTCGCTCGACTCTACAACCGCTGAGGTACGTACGGAATTTCTTTTGACAGAATGAGGGTTATATCCGTTCTCAAGTGTGGTACGAACTCGACGATTTTCTGTGCTACTGTTCTTTTCTTGTCTTTCTGAAGCAAAGTAAGCTGACATTGCGTAGCATACCACAATGTACCCGAAGACTCACAACACCAAAAAGACCGGGAAGATGTAAGCGTGGAGTTGATGCGAGACCAAGGGGACGGAAGGATCTGGTTCAGGGGGGTGGGCATGGCTGCATGGCTGCGTTGTATATTGAGATTACGTATAGCTTTTCGAGGCCCCGCGACATTGAGTTTGGGAACGTGAATAAAGAAAGGAGTATTGTCTCGTTGGACCTTTGCTGCCAGTCGTGCTCTACTTATTGTGCTCGCCTTGTTTAGTGGTGGGCGAGAAGCGTGGCCATTTCCAACCCGCCAGGACGAGCCCAGTTGCGCCGTGAGATTAGCGAACAAACCAATTCAGCGAGGCCCAGACATTGCCTCAAAATTGTTTGGCCTGACTTTCACTTGATCTGCCGTATTGCTGACTACGAGGTACATGCCCATCCATGACTTTCCTGCCACTGACTACATGTACATGTAGACTTCGGCTGGTACATGTACGCTCAGCAACGCCTCGTCGGATCCCGATTCCCGAGTGCTTTGCCCCCATCTGCCTCCCACTAGACACCGTGTATCACTAATCATTCTAGAGTCCAGCCGCCGAAGTCGAAAGGGGGCTGCAAGAAAACGGATCAATGGGGAGGGGAAATACAAGAGAGGTATGTATCGAGATCTTAGATGCAGCACGTGGTACCTGGCACTCTGGAGGTGCTGTCCAAGCAACATGAAGCCATGAAGTGCCCATCCAGGTCGGGGCGGAATATGACATAGTGGTGAGAAGAAGGATATTTCGCCCACGTATGGTAGTCGATTTTCTCCCAAGTTGCGGGAGAACCGGCGCAGCTACCTGATATTCAACAAGAGACCTCAATTGATGATGCTCCCTTGACCGTTTATTCACAGCCGCGGAGAGTTACAATTGATGGAGTGTGTAATAGTTTGCAGGACAAGTATTGGGGCCAACCCCTGACAATGCGTCGCGGCAGCATCGTAATTGACGCCACTGAGGAGACGGGACTGCCATTTGAGCTTTGCAACGAGATAGCCAAGCAGTTTTCTCTTCGTTAAAGTTCTTTTCGTTACCGAAAAGGATCATCCTGGTCACCACTCCATCAGTAACCTCCCGCCATTGCTTTTATCCAGTTGCAGATGTTCAAGTCTTTTGCATTGTTTTGCCCCGGAAGAAATGTACCGGAAGTTTCAGAGATCCGGGGCCGCCACCCGGTGGGCTTACTCGCGGAGAATCGCTGTACGTACAAGGGCAGGGATTCTGTAACCCGAGGCCCAGCTCACCTCTACGCCGTCGGGTGCTGCATGTGTCCTTGCTTGTGATCAGCATGAAGCTAGTCACTTCCATAGACTCCTAACTGGAGAAGAGAACCGCCTGCGATTTCAGAACCAGTACCCACGAATCGGAACTGTCACGAACAAAAGACATGCCTTGCTCAACTTTTGGAATATTCCAAGACGAGAGATTCACCCGTCGACGTTCGAGTGTTTGTGGCAAGTGGAAATTGTATTTGTGAGAGGCTTTGCCCTGATTATCCACCTGCTTCTTCATCTCGTTGAGCGTAACCGTGAATGCCCATCCATAACTGTCCTGTCCCGGCCTCAACTTCAGTCATTCAGCAACGCCCTCTTCGAAACCCTTGTGGCTGGCCCCATCAATCGTCCGGATGCCAATGTACTTGACTGTGGTTGTTTCTTGTCGAAGGTGGTTTGAGCTGCAATCTAATTAGTAACTCATCTCCTGTGGCTGAGAGCGAATTCGTAGAATAGAGCATGATGAGGAGGTGCGCGGGAACTGGCCTGCAAACTCTGTTCACTCGACGCTGCAACAGTTGAAGCGGGCGTGAGTGGCAGCGGGATGTTCGCCAGGACAAAGGAAATCATTGAGTAGTACTGACCGGGCGACTAGGACTGCTCGCTGGACTTTTTGGGAGTACCGGAGTTGGCGAACTCGACCTCTTGACGCACAATGTAGACCGAAACGACGATAAGGACCACGAGGTAGATCGACTCAAACATGATCAGACTGACGATGCCAGTATAACCTTCTTTGGCGAATTCCATGTCCGGGATGAGCGTGGAGTCGACTGAGAAGACTTCCTGGACAGACTGAATGTAGCTGGAAATGTTGGCCCCCCATGGATACGCGACAATATTGGTGCGAGTGGAATGTTGCTTTGGGGGCCGACACATAACACAAGCCAGGTGGTCAGCCGTAACTAGATGTGATGTGATCCGAAGGTGAAGAGGGAATGAGCTTCGACGCGCAGGCTGTAATCTATTTGTGTGAGAACGCGTCAACAGTCTGGACCCTCATTTCTAGCTTGCTTGCTCATTCGCCCCGAATTCATCTCAAGTTGCTTGTGTGTATCAACCGATGGATTCATTCGATTGCTTGAATCTTGGCAAATTAACCCCCTTGCTATCTGGTCAGGATGCCCAAAAGAGAGAAAAATCTTCAGGTCTTGCAGTTTTTCTTCTTCTTCTCTCACTCAAATTCTTCGGAACTCTGGCAAAGCCGTCAAACCACACACCAAATCGACCACCAATATGTCTGACATTGACAACAACGACATGCCGGAGGCAACTATAACCATAGTCAGCCCCAGAACTGAATGGACACCAAGCGTGACCCATCTCATCACCTCTGAGTCTACAGCGACGGTTACGAACCCCGAAGTTTGCCAGTGCCCCCAGAGCGGCGAGAAGCGGTTCGTTTTGGATGAACGGGGCTGGGCCATCGCGCACTTGGCTTCGGGGGCGCTCATGGTTCTTCTCCTTACAATGTGGTTCAGGTCGTTTGTCCCAAAGAGGTACGTACATGCTGTCTTGGTTTCCGCTTCGAATTGATCCATTTTTCTCTTCGAATGCGTCTGGCTCAAAGTGTCGGCTCCGTGAAGGGCGGCACGTTGAGGCTTGCCGTTGTATTCGCCTTTGTCTGCAGGGTTCAACTATCACAACTCAACGACTCACCATGCATTACATTGGTTCTCAAGCAAATCGAGCTAACAGCATTTAGCCCATCTTCGACTACATGAGAACCCCGGCGGCAACCAGATCCGGCAACATGGATCGACCCAGTGCCTTCTACAGGCACAACTCAAGACAGGAAGAATGATCACAAAGGATTGGTAGATGATTGGCGTGGGATATTGTGGTAGAGGGTGCGCTGCCCACCAAAAATCCCCAAATTGCATTGCGAAACTAGATCAAAAGAATTTTCGCCAATGACTGTATATTCCAGACTTGTGATCCTGTTTCGTTGATATAGGCGGCCAGTAACAGCTTATCCGAAGCGTAATGATTCCTCCGCCAGCCACGCTCAACCCAAATGAACTGTAAGATTTCCAAAACATCCGCTCAGTCGCCATAGAATGTCGTATGTCGAGTTGCGAGACACCAAGCATTGGTTAGACCTGCTGCCGATGGTTGAGGATTCGACCAGCAACAGTTAAAACTCTGCCAGTATTCCAGAGAGATATCGGCACTTGTGCTCCAGAACACAAAAGGCCAATATAGCTCCTGTGGCAAGCCAAACCATGTTGAGCAGGTGCCATTTTTTGCGCACATGCATGACGATGGCGAAAGCGATCGCTGTACAGCCTCCAAGAATGCTTGCAGCGCCATATGCGCCGGGAGGGACCGAAGATGAAGGAATCTGTTGGTAAAAGTTGAATGAAGCGGCCCAGGTTACGAGGCTGATCCAAGACAAGACGAGGGTGCTGGGCAGAAGAACAAAACACCTACCAGACAGTCCACCCCCCTCAGATGAGCACGAGTAGTAAGTCCATAGGTAGCTACAGGCACACTGGATGATGCAGGTGCCGAGGTAAGCGCATATTGCCATGAGGAAGGCCCCGGCTTGATCCGCCATGATGACAGGTTGATCCGGTGTTAGGAGGTTGATGGCAGATTCTCTTTCAAAGGTGGCATACATGGTGGTTTTATAGTCCCCGTGGCAAACCTTGTGCATGAGTCCTGCGGCTGGCCACTAGCATTTAGTTCTGGTTCTAGAGGGGAAAGTGTAGTGTTAAATTGCCTTAGTCTGAGCTTTAAAGGTTCGCCAAAAATCATGGTGGGATAGTGAACCCCCTGCCGACACTGTGAAAAATGCTCAGCACAAACGTTTCTTAGCCATCTGCGGGGAATTTGCCGACTTGTCAATTGGGCGGCGGCCCCCGATCACTGGCCTCCAAGCCTCTTATGATTGATGTAATAATCCCAAGCCTGTTTTCGAGGATGCAGAAACCGGCAAGGCCTCCCATGGCGAATGATAACCCAGTCATGAAACAAACACCCCTGCGCGCCTTCATGGTGGTGGCAACCGAGGCCGTGACGGAAAATCCGAGGATACTTGCGGCGGCGTACGCATCGCTTGGAATCGACGGTGAGCTGTGTTTGCCCCATGTGTCGAGTGCTGCAAACCAGGCGAAGCCGCTGAGCACAGGGACAAGAATGAAGCCTGGGACGAAGAGTATGAAGCACGCCCCTTCATCTGTAGGGCATCCAGCGTCCATCCAGAGACGGCCTATGACCCACTCAACGATGCAGGAGGCAATGTAGAGGGATATATGGATCAGAAGGGTCCCGGCGTTGAAAGTCATGATGAAAAGATAGCGAGGAGTCGAAAAGTTTTGTGGTCTTTTGCGGCTGTTCGGAACATGGACCTTTGACTTCATTTTATACTGCCCAGGTCAAGGCCCAGTCATGTGATTCCACAGTTGGTTAGAACATATTTTTGGCTTGTTGAGCCCAGATGAGACATAGTGTGTCCCAAGATACCTCGCGCCAGGGAAGTTTGTATGTGGAAACTTTTATTAGACTCGGCACCTCAAGGACGGGCCGAAGTTTATGTGGACCTTGGCAGCGCCTGTTTGTCAAAGCTTATATCAAAGCATACACAAAGCGAAAACGTGACGAACCTCAAGTCGCGAGACCTGGCACCTCACATCGGGGCACAGCATGCAAACGGTCGATGACCACACAAGCTTCCAGGTTCCAAAAGAAGCTCAAGTACTGGGACTTTTTGTGTCTAGAGATTTAGATGTATGGAAAATCAATTACGTACGTTTTCATGCGAACCTCACCCGGCTCAAAATCAAAACAGGCAGCCGGGCAAACCTTGTTTTGATCAGGGGTCGTGTACTCGTGTCACGTGTGGAACGATTGACCATGGTCCGATGAGCTAATCCCAGAGATTAGATTTCCGGTCGTACTTTTTCACTTCTCATCTCGATCAAGGTTCGGTGTGTGAAGTAGCGAGTGCTACCGCGAGAATGGGTCGTGCCATGAATGGATTGGTGTTGATGACGCTTGGCACTGGCAGGCTCGGGCACCTGGCGATCCAGTTCGCCTCCAGAATGGGCTTTGAGGCCTTGGCTGCTCGAGCACAAAGGCCAAGAAGCAAGATACTATATGTATTCTATACACACACTAGAAACTATTCATTGCCTGTACCTTTTGCTTCGCTGCCGGGTCAATTTCGGGTTGTCGGGAATCCACATGCGGTCAAATGCCGATCAACACGGACAAGAGCGGATCCGGGCCGGGATTTTCTGAGTGGGTCCTTCCGGCCTCATGCCTCCGGAGTCCGGACTTGAGCGTCCAAAATTAAAATGCTTCCTTATCAATGCTGTCTAGTTCTATCGCTATGTAAAAAAAGGAAAAAGAAAATGTCACAAGCTACAAGAGAGATCCATCCTTTTAGCCCGTGTCATGAAGAAGAAAACGCTGGCGTAACATCATCAGACCCGTCACCAACCCTCACAACCCACTGTCAATCTGATTCGGAATGTTGGTGTGCGTCCACTTGCCCCATTGGCGACACGTCTCGGCGACCTTGTTGGGGACCTTGTACTCCTCAATCTCGTCAGGCATGGTCATGAATTGGGTCATCATGCCGGCCGACACGTGCAGGGCAACGTGGCAGTGGAAAGGCCAGACGCCCGGGTTGGTGCCGGCGTCGAACTGGAAGACGGTGTAGCCCAGGGGCTGGATGAGGAACGTGTCGCGGCGCTGGGGGTTCTCTGGGTGTACGATTGTGCCGTCCCAGGTCGCGTTGACGCCGCCCTCGGCGAGGATGTACATGTTGAAGCCGTGGAGGTGCATGGGGTGGCTATTGTTGTTAGTTGTGAGGACAAGCAAAGGGTACGCGAGGACTTACGGCTCCGGGATCTCGTTGTAGAGAATGACGCGCACGCTCTTGGCATTCTTGGTGCTCTGCACGTTCCACTCGGGCGCGAACGAGTGGTTACCCAGGTTACTGAGCAGCATCGTCGGGCTGTTATAGTTACCGCGGAAGCCGACATTGTCATTGGTGGCAAACTGCAGAATGTTGGACTCGTTCATAAACATGGTCATGGTCATATTGATGGTGAGATCCGGCTCCGGGACGGGCATCTCCATGACGGGCCGCGTCACCTCGAGGGCGTCGTTGCCGCACGTCGCCGGGTCGGGCCTGTTCCACGCGACCGACGACGGGAGGGACTCGGTGTCGGCGTCATCGTAGTAGATGGCCGCCATGGCCGACGGTTGCAGCGCGGCGTTGCACAGGACGGAGACGTTGCTGCGCATCCAGTAGGCGCCGTCCTTGTCCCCGTTGGCCTCGACGATGACGTCCGCCCGCTGGCCGACGCCCAGCGTGACGACCTGCGTCTCGTAGGGCTCGACCTGGATAAAGTCGTTGGAGATGACCGTCATGCTGTGCTCGTCAATGGAGAAGCGCTGCATACCCTCGCCGCCCGAGTTGACGAGGCGCAGGCGATGCTTCTTGCCCTTCTCAAAGCGGAACTGGGAGACGCCCGCGTCGCTGTCGCAAGGGGCCGACGCGTTGAGCTTGTTGGCGAGCTTTGTCAGCGCCGTCGAGTTGAGCTTGTTGACAATCTCGGGGATGCGGCAGTCGTAGTTCATCTTGCCATTGATGAGGTTGTTCTGCGTGTACACGCCGCCCTGCGTCAGGTTGACGAGCAGCAGCTGCGAGACAATCTCGTGGTACTGGCGGTGGTACCAGTCGGAAAGCATGACGGGCCCCAGGTCAATGTCGTATTCTTCTTGCTCGGGCCCGTAGATGACCATGGGGCCAAAGAGGCCGTCCGCGTACTGCGCCGAGTAGTGCGAGTGGTACCAGGTCGAGCCGTGCATATCGGCGATGAAGTTGTACGTGTAGCTCTCGCCGGGGGCGATGGGGCACTGGGTGACAGACGGCACGCCGTCCTCCCAGGGCATGTCGCGGTGCAGCAGGCCGTGCCAGTGCAGCGCGGTGCCCTCCTCGGGCCCGGTGATATTGTTGAGGACCTGGACCTGGATGGTGTCGCCCCAGTTGGCCTCGATGAGAGGGCCGGGGAACTGGTCGTTGATCAGGAGGACATCCCGCTGATAGCCGTCGGGCGCAATGACGCCGCGGCTCACGGTGAACTCGTAGCGCCGAATCACGCCCGTGTTGGGCTTGTCGTGGTAGTAGTTGGTCTTGGCCGTCATGTTGCTCCACGGGGCGCCGTTGGGCATGGGGGCGCCTGAGAGGTACTTGGGCAGGGTTGGGGCGTCCAGAGTGCCCAGCACGGAGTGACTGCCAGGCTGTTAGCTTGAATGTGTATTTGCGAAGATAGTGTAGAGCCCACCCGTTTGTCTTCATCTGATCGAGCTTTGCGGACGCTTCTCCCATGAACAGGGCCGCGCCGGCGGCCAAGAGTCGAAGCAAGCCATGCCTCATCTTGACTGATGGTATGGCACAAACGTACGTAGTGTGAATGAGCGAAGGGTATTAGATGCAAACAATGAAATGCGCTCAAAGTCAAATCCGACCAGCGGATACAGTGCACAAAAGAAAGTGAGGTTGGATACGCAAACCAACTAGGGGAAGGGATTGTCGAACTATGCTCGTGATGTTCATGGACTCGCTGATCATCTGGGAAATCGGGCAAGACCTGGGGTCTTAAAAGTAAAAGGCTAGCAGATTTCCAGGCTCCGCGCCAAGTCTTGTGACGCAGTAAGGCTTCAGCTGGCCAGAGGGACCCTTGGTGGCGGGTTTACCCTGTCTGCAGTTGAAAACATCTGTAAGAGCCTCCGTGCCAAGACTGGGATCGACATCACACATGTGGCCATCCATGTGCAGGCTGGCGAGAGATCCGGAGTGAGCCGAGTGCTTCCCTTTTTCCTTTCTTCGCTTGGCCACCTGGAGTTTGAAACTGAGAAAAGATCTGCCAGAATAGTCGACCCGTGAGTGTGGACGCGCTTATCTTCAACCACCTCACAGCACTCGAGTCGATGGGCCATTTGGCCATTTCAGCGGCTCAACTCGAAGAACACGGAACGCCTGCAGGGTCCTGCAGGGCCACGGCGTGGCTTCTGTACATTATGTCATTTTCAAAGGTCAAATGCCCTGCCAAGAGACCCTGGGGGCCTTTTGGCTACGCGGCAGACGTTGGCACCTCTGCCCAGACGGAGTGGCACAGGGTCCCAGACTCAGAGTCTCTCTCAAAGGGGACCTTGACCCGAAGTCCAGATTATTTGGGCTAATCAAGATTCAAAGAATATCAAGGGTCCCCTAAAACGTGCCGCAATGCCGCTCCTTTCCTCTTCTGCGCGCGGCGTGGAGGAAACTCCGAGCCCAGGCGGAGGATGCGTTTCAGCCTCATAAAGTTATGATGGGGGCCACCCGCTTTCTTGGTGCAAGCGAACGGCTCAATTGGGATGACTCGTCTTTTCAGGGTCCACGAATAGATCAAGACAGGGAATGAATTCAAGAGTTCATGACGCCTTGAGGTGGTCAATTCGCCCCTCCTCGCAGGATCAAGGTTGCTTACATGTGCGCACATCTTCAGCCCAGCGCCGATCTTCCACTTCTTCACACACATTGATCCTGCCTAGACATTCCAGCCGAACACGTTACACGAAGGAGGATCCCACGACTGCACCCGACAGTCTCGACCCCTCTGGTGAAGCGAGGTGCAGGTTCGCTTAGCTGAACAGGGTAGGTGATATTGGAGAGGCTGATAATACGGGATTCCTTTCCATATTATGCCGGGTACAAACCCGAATGACATAAGAATCCTGTTATTTTACTCTCTGCACATCTTGTACTGCGTCATACATCGAGGGCGTGCGAATGTTCATGTTCATTGCGCTGGTGTCCCGGGGTAGCCGGACTTTGAAGTCTTCTCTGGGGTCTGGGGTCTGGACTCTGTGTATACTTACTATTACTTCTACAGTAGCACGTGCAGAGTCGCAGATCTTCAATCTTCATGTTTCATCCGTGCTCAATTAGAGTTGGTGTTTCAGATCGGTTCGTCGGGCGAGATTCGTCCTGACGAGCATGAGATCTGCGTAGTAGCGTTGTATTCCGCCGGCCCGGCTCCCACCGCTTACCTTGAGTCTTACCACGCTTCACTTTCGAGCCGAATTACTCTAGGTAAATTCCCTTAAACACAGAGGCGTGAGCTGATCTTCTCATGTCAAAAAACGTTCACCAAGAAGCGTAGCCTCTTGTCTAGCATTATAGTCTGCGCTGTTCTGATATGCAGATGTGAAAGGTCAGCCGTTGAAAACAACCTAGCTGGGCATGAATCAACTTCTTCTTTTAGATCTATGAATCGCTAGGACGTGCGCACCCAAAAAGAACTTGGACCTCGGTGCTGCAACTTCAATTAGACGCTTCTCGTTCAGTCCAAGCCGGGACAGTTCTCAGACGTCGTATCCGTAATGTCCTTGTAAGGAGGAGGCTGAGTCCAGATCAAATCAAAGCTATCATCCGGGTAGTTCTTGACGTCGTGGGCGCCAATCTCCTCGGCAATGTTGTTCAACGCGTCATGTTCCCAGCTAAAAATACTGGTTAGCTCGACTGAAAAAGAACGCTGTCGTGCGTACATGGCCATAACGTACCATATGAGGATGTTGCCACTGCCCTTGTAGTCGTCCACCACATCGGCAACGCACTTCTCGTCGTCGCGGTCGCAAGACACGTCCACCGTGAGACCAAGGTCGTTGGCCAGAGGGAGCACCGTGTCATAGGGGCGCTTCCTCTTGCCGCCTACGGTTCACCGAGGTCAGATAATTCGCGCCTCTCGACACGCTGTATACTCACTCGCTTTGTACTCCTGGGCCATGATGTGTCCAATGTTGTACTGCGATCCGGCACCAAAGACGCTCCGGAGGCACTGCGCGCGCTGCACGCCTTGGGGGCTCAGACCGATGCCCTCGTCGTCTGGCTTCTCGCCATGGCGGATCAGGTACACGGTAGGATCGCAGACCGCAGAGGCGGCAAGGGCCAGGACGGCCGCAAAGTACTTCATGGTGGCTTGAAGGTATGATTGTTGAGCAGCATGTTGACACGCGGAACCTGCTCATTTATATATCCCCGGGTCCGAGATACCAACTCCCAAAAACACCCGGAAATGCGGCATTGTGCAGCGTACTAAGGCATCGCGCCATGCATCTGTGTAGCTTTGTGATGTTCGAGAAGTCGACTTCCTTATTGTGGGTTGGCGTCGGCTTGAGTGTCATGAGTGATCGACCCCACGTGCGATGCTGGTGGAGCGCCACTTGCTCGAGAGCCTCATGTCGCATGCAGACGGTCGGCTCTAACAGTTAGCTGGGCTGACGGATCGGCACCTGGAAGAGGGGATCATCTTCATTTATAGTAACAAAGTCGGACTAGGTGAATCGACTTTGCCGATGAAGGGACAGACTGCCCATTGCGTACGGCCTTGACGACAATGTCGCTCCAAGCCTCAGGGGCCCCAAACAACGCAGGGGACGGTGAAAACCAAGGACACGACCGCCTGAGCGGGTACTCGAATTGCATCTTTCATTCAGCTTGCTGTCAAAACCGCATAAACACCCGTGCAGAACCCAGTGCTCAATCAACCCACCTGGATCCCAACATTTCCTGTCCACTATTCGTTGCTGCTACTGCCAACGGGACTGTCTCGTAAAACTTTTATTCTCCCCTTTCTCAACTCCACTCAGATACCGTTGGCCTTTTCCTCCAGAACGGAGACAATACTAGGTGCGTCCTGGGCCGCGGTGACTGCGTCTGCAGGCTTCAGGAGGGGGCTGTTGGGCCGGCTGGTGATAAACTGCATGCATGTCAATAAATGGCCTAATCAGCACCCTGAACCTCTTGTGAGAGCCTCATATTTTTTCAAAACTCACATTGCTTGCAGCGCTCAGCAGAGCCATCAGAGAGCTCTGGACCACATCTTCGTGGATGCCCACACCCCAGACCGTCTGCTTGCTGCCCGAAGGCTTGCACTCAATGTAGGAGGCGGCCTTGACACCCCTACCCTCACCAATGGCGTGCTCCTTGTAGTCCTGGACGTCAAAGTCTAGGCCAACTGGCTTCAGGGCCGCGACCATGCTAGAGATCGGCCCGTTGCCACGACCACGCAGCTTGTACTCTTGTCCATCGGCCATCAGGACACCCTCAAAGATACGCATGAGACTCTTGGTGTCTTGCGTCTGGCCTAGGGTGGCAGGGGCCGGTGATGGCGCCCTGTCAGGCGTGATGGCGTAGTCGATGAGGTTGAATCGGGGGGTTTCGTCGAGGAAGTACGACTTTTTGAATAGGTTGGTAATCTCCTCGGGCTTGAGCTCGCGTCCCAGCTCCTCAGCGCGCTGCTGCACAATCCTCGAGAATGCGACTTGCAGGCCACGGGGAAGGTCGAGCTGCAACTTGGAGTGCACAATAAAGGCTGCGCCGCCCTTTCCGGACTGGGAGTTGACGCGGATGATCGCCTCGTAGGTACGACCAATGTCCTGGGGATCCAGGGGCAGGTAAGGCATCCCTTGCCATGGGTCTTCGGCGGACAGGCCCTGCTTTTGTCGGTTCTGGAAACCCTTCTTGATCGCGTCTTGATGGCTGCCCGAGAACGCGGCACAGACCAGGCTCCCGCCGTAGGGAGCACGCTCGTGCACGGGAATCCTTGTGCATGCTTCGACCATTTCAATCACCGAGTTGAGATCCGAAAAGTCGATCCCCGGGCTGACACCCTGGGTGTATAGGTTCAGAGCCAGAGTGACCAGGTCGACATTTCCGGTTCTCTCGCCATTACTAGACAGAAGTCAGTGGTTGCTCGTCGCCATAGGGGGTGAAGAAAAAGACGAACCCAAACAAGCAGCCTTCTACTCGGTCCGCTCCCGCCATCTGACCCAGCTCTGCGGCCGCGACACCTGTCCGAGATTAGTTTATAGGCCAGCTGTAGCAGATTTGTTGGTACGAACTTGTGCCACGATCGTTGTGGGGGTGCTGCCAAAGTGTGTAAGCATAAATTTGCCAAGTTGATGCAATACAAGACCTACCAGAGACACACAGACGTCCTCCCTATCGCCAATGTTGTCGCAGAAATATTCAATCATATCGGCGTAAATATTGGGCGTCGCAAGCTCCACTGTCGCGGGCAAGTTGAAGATGATCTGATCGTTCTTTGCCGCGCTGGGTTCCCATGCCGCCTTGACGGCGCTGCACACCTTGACGGCATAATCGGGATCGGTGTCGGAGAAGCACTCGGGTGAGAACTCAAACTGCCATTTCGTGTCGGCGGCGTCTGGGTTGTCCTTGGTCAGGGACCGGACGAGCTTTGTGCATTCCACCGCCAGGTTCAGCGTCTGCTCCTCGGTGTATCCAAAGACAACTTGTCGGAAACACGCACTCGTCGCGAGGTAGATGTGGATCGTAGCATTCTTCGCGCCGCGCACGGATTCAACTGTTTTGCGGATGAGGTCGGGGCGGCACGGGGAGAGGACTTGGAGAAAGACGTCGTCGGGTACAGCGCCTGGCGTCTCGACCAGGCGACGGGTGAAGTCAAAGTCGGTTTCGGAGGCGGAGGGAAATGAGACCTCAATCTCCTTGTATCCGAGCTCGCAGAGCATCTTGAAGAAACGCCATTTCTCATCGCCGTTCTGCCGTGTGTCAGCCTTTGCTCACTGAATGGACAGCAGCAACCGTTCGTTGCTCAATCACCGGGCAGCGTACCATTGGTTGTTGCAGACTCTGGTTTCCATCGCGAAGGCAGGACGACAGCCAGCGAGGGGGCTTCTCGATGACCCTGTCAGGCCATTTTCGATTCGGCAGACGCAGCGGCTGGTCATGTCAGCTCGTGTTCCCATTTGGAGGCGTATGGAAGAAGAGGTGCCGGCATACCTTGAAAGCCTGGTATTTCTTCCACGGTTCCTTGAGGCTGTAGGGAAAGAGCCATCGGTTAGCGGAGTAATCACTTGCAGGTGCGCTAGGCCCACCACTTACAATGGCATCTTTGTTGCTGCGCAATGGTCTTTGACGAACGCAAGACGATTTGACGATTCCGATGCGATATATAGGCAGACAATCAATGTTTAGAGCAAGCGAGCCTAGCCGCAACTTTGAGAGGTATGGAGGAACAGCCGGCCTGAACCGGAGGAGAGGTGGTAGAAAGATTTGAGTCACGGTGTGGGGCGGCCATACATTGTCGGGTATTGACTTGAGATAGTGGGGTGCAGAGCTCAGGGTGACTTTCTGGGATGATCTGGCATACCTGAGCTGAGCATCCACGGCATATTTTCATGCATGTCTAAGCCCGTGCTTGCCAATGTAACCCTTCACCCAATTCATCATTGCGCCCTCTGGGTGACCAAGGGCGCGCGTGTGACATCACGTACAGGGCGGGCAGGATCGCGGGGTGCAGCTTATCGATAAGCAGCTACTAGCAACGCGCACACCGAGATCGCAACGGATACATCTTCACAAATCAATCATCACACTAGGAACCTGGCCGAGACTCGCAATCTCCTGCAGCATGCAATTGAACAGTCCCGACAATATGCGTAGTCGTGCCGTCCCTTGTTGCATACAGCCAATATTCATGTACGCCACTTTCCTATCCGTAATTCAGACGCAACCATTGGCATAACTAGACTGTTACCCCTGGCCAAGCCGCTTTCCCGTCCCTCGACGGCTGCGAAGAATCCAAAGAGGACATGACGGACGTTGACTATTGAGGCTTGCGTCTGATTCCCCTACCTGGTATTGAAGCTGAAATCACAGTGGTCCTTATGCCAAAAGCGCCTGCTAACACCATTCGTGATAAGACTACGCCCATCAAATGCAGAGTGACGAGGGGACGCGAACGACTTGTCATGGCTGCATATTTTGTTTAGTGGCACACTCAGAAGCCTCGCGCAGGTCACCCAGACTTGGAGATTATGATGGGCAACTGAATGCACGTACATACTAACTGTATCTATTTCTTGATGCGACAGTTGATGCAACAGTCTAGACTTTAATCTTCATCCTCTAAGGCCAAGGCAGGCGCTGGACGAGCAAGACAGGGGACACTGGCTTTCCCAGAGCAGTAGAAATCCTCCTCATCCTCCATCTACTCCTCCTTCGCCTCTCCCTGTTTGTGAACTAGGACAGGAGCCGGGGAGATCTCGTCAACATCTCCATCGTCGGTTTCCGCTTCCCCGTCATAGCTCTGTCCTGTTGATGGTCCGTCCCGGGGCGCATCAAGGGGCGAAGGGTAGAGAAACTCGAGTGTAGGTTCGTAACAGATGCACAGGAAAAAGTTCAACCTCATCATGCGTAGGCTCATGCCGGGAATACGGCCTTGTTGCAGACGTTTGCGATATGCCCGCCTTTTCTTAGAAGACATTTTTCGAGTGGGAGACTTCATTGTCGATGCTGTAGATGCTGTCCGTTGATTCTCCAGGGGGGTGAAAAGATAGAGTTTCGTGTAACCTAGATTTGGCCTGTCGTTCTGTACTACTGTTGCAGGGAGAAATCAGGGTCAAGGAAAACACACAGAAATGTAGGATTTATATAGAGACCAGTAGCTCTTTTTCCCCAAACTTATTTACCAAGCGCGCCTTGCTGATTACTCCTCAAGCTTTCGTTTTCGTTGCCACCGCCCAAACGCTATCTGGCGACGGCGAAGTCAATAGCCCCCAGTTCTATTTAAGTGCGTGGCTAATTTCACGATTTAAAGCACTTCTGCGATTTATAAATTCCAGAGTGCGATTAGTCTTCGCGTTGAGGACTTGTATGAACAGGTCGAGGAGATGATGAGCAAGCCTCAACTCCTCAGGAGGTGATTGATTTCTTGTTTGTGCTGTTCCAAACGGGGCCAAAACATGAGTGACGTTCGATTTGGCCAACACACTGCTGAAACTTGCGGCAGTGACCGATTCATTCATATCGGAATTCGGGGACTGCGTTGTTGAGGAAGTGGCCATCCCACGTTCGCTCTGATTACCCTGTAGGTGGCCATTGGATTAAATTTTGGACCGGTGTGACAACTAATCGTGGAGATTAGGACAAGAACAAAGAAAGTTTCAACTTTCCTAGGCTTGGTGGTTGTCTCTGGACGTTTGGGGATGAACAGTGTGCAAGGCGACACGCCGACAACCATTGACATTCGAGGCAATGGTCAATGAAAAGGTAACACGTGACGCGCATGTCACAGCGCAACACTCGTGGCCACTGATAGTACGATACGGAGTTACAGGAAAGTTATTTGTTTAGGCTAATGGAAACACCGACCTCGGAGACCGATGGGCTCGGCCTACGGGCGAAATTAGTCATTGAGCATCAAGCCGTTGCTTGATTTTGAGGATACAGTGTGACTAAGTCAGAGACGGGATGTCGAATCGAAAAGTCTTGGCATTGTCTCGAGCGACCGCAACGTCCGAGGGTGAACGAGATGGGCGACCATGTCGTCAAAGGCACACAGTCATTTCCCAGCCATGTGAAGCTCGAATTCATGTCAAAACTGCCATTTCTCATCAGATTGTCGCACGTCGACCTGCTGCGAGGTTGTGGCCGGCTCCGGAGAAGGCGCGCTGACGGGGAGGCGAAGACGCAAAAACGTGGGAAGAACAACCGGTGCGGCTCCGAGCCGAGGGGACCTTCCTCTGTCATTGACTTAACATGACGCGAAGTCAGGTGAGAAGGAACGTGAAAGTGCCGCCCCACTAGGTGGTCCGAAATGGATGATCTTGGCCAATCACGAAGCTTCCATTCTCAATCTTCCCAATTGAAGGTCCGAGGAATTCCAAAGGTTTTGCGCAATCGCCCCAGGTCTTTATCATCTTCGGCGAGACCCTCTTTTCCCTGAGCCTGCTGCCTTAAGTTCTCTCTCCTTCCGCTCGCTCCTCTTTCCTTTCCTCCAGATTGCCTCCCGAGTTGCCGATATCTCGCGCAGTTCTTTGACCCTGAAGCATCTCTCACATCTCATCGCTTCATCGCTTACTTCCACACAAGGTCAGCCTCTCCGCGTTGTGTAGACCTGACCTCAATGTTCCATATCTAACAACCTTCCAGATGGCTTCCGCCGCTCGCAACTTCTCCCGCGTGGCTACACGCACCACCGCCCGCAACGCCTTTGCGACCAGCGCCCCTCGCCAGGCCTTCCGCCAGCAGGGCTCGCGCTTCTACTCCTCCGGCTCCCAGAAGCAGTCCTCCAGCTCACCCGCCCTCCTCGCTGTCGCCGCCGCGGCGGCCGGTGGTCTTGGCTACTGGTACTACACTGCTAGCGGTGCGCCTTCCGCTGGCTCGACCAAGATTGTCAGCCCGACCAAGGACGACTACCAGCGCGTGTACAACCAGATCGCCGAGCGCCTCGAGGAGAAGGACGACTACGATGATGGCAGCTTCGGCCCTGTTCTCCTGCGTCTGGCCTGGCACGCCAGCGGTACCTACGATAAGGCTACCGGCACTGGCGGCAGCAACGGTGCCACCATGCGCTTCGCCCCCGAGGGCGACCACGGTGCCAACGCCGGTCTCCTCGCCGCCCGCGACTTCCTCGAGCCCGTGAAGAAGGCCAACCCCTGGATCACCTACTCCGATCTCTGGATTCTGGCTGGTGTTGCCGCCATCCAGGAGATGCAGGGTCCCATCGTGCCCTACCGCCCTGGTCGTCAGGACCGAGACGTCTCCTACTGCACCCCCGATGGCCGTCTCCCTGACGCCACCCAGGGAAGCGACCACCTGCGCAACATCTTCTACCGCATGGGTTTCAACGACCAGGAGATTGTCGCTCTGTCTGGTGCCCACGCTCTGGGCCGCTGCCACACCGACCGCTCCGGCTTCGAGGGTCCCTGGACCTTCTCGCCCACTATCCTGACCAACGACTACTACCGCCTGCTCGTCGAGGAGAAGTGGCAGTGGAAGAAGTGGAACGGCCCCAAGCAGTACGAGGACAAGACCACCAAGAGCCTCATGATGCTGCCCACCGACATGGTGCTTGTGCAGGACAAGAAGTTCAAGCCGTGGACCGAGAAGTACGCCAAGGACAACGATCTCTTCTTCAAGGACTTCTCCAACGTCGTCCTGAAGCTCTTCGAGCTCGGTGTGCCTTTCGCCGAGAGCACCGAGCGCTGGACCATGAAGCCCACTTGGGACGAGTCCAAATAGATCACTTTGATCCCCTCGTGTCTTGATATGTTTTTTTTGGTGTGGAGAGAGGTATCATTACTGTTAGACTTGCGTCCTCGGCAGAGAGGCACGCACTGGCATTGGAGTTTTGTTGGCTTACCCCTCTTCCTTAGAAAGGCTCATGCCTCCAGGCATACGAGCCGTGACATTAGACTCTAGGATCAAATCGACAGTGTACAACCTAAAGAACTGCGTCATTGTGAAGTTCTACTAGTTTAAGCGTTTAACGACGGGCAATGTGCCGAAACATCTCGAACAAATCGCGATTGACATGTCTAAAGCGCGGGAATCTCCGAGCGACCCAAAGCAGTGAGGTTCTTGGGCGCGCAAAGGGAGCGGGACGTGCAAGAAATTCATCACTGACACTTCTTCTTGGCATTTGAGGAGGGCTCGCGGTTCGGAACGAAGATCTTCATACATGACCAAAAGCAACTCTGGCGCTGTCAGACCGTCTAAACCGCGTGTGAAGAAAGTGTGCATAAGTCATCGGGGATGACGCAAATGTCCGGATATCGCCAACTACCACCTACAACTCAATCCGCTACCTCAACAAAGGTGATCCGGCATCTACGGTACCTTGCCATCGGAAATTTCCTCTACAAGTTGGACCTTTCATCTGCACATCTTTACACAACACGTACCCGCTGCTGATTCTGCAAGTCAAACCCAGCCAAGTATCCATTTGTGCACCTGACTGAGTCGTCGAACCCCACACCATCCGGGACTCGATCCAGCCCAGCCTCGTCACCAGCTCGCGTAGGGCGCAACCCCCCGTCATGGCCGACCGACATGGCGGAGACGGCCAAACAGGCGCGTCTTCCGTGTCACCCGAGCAGCGCAGCAATTTCAGCCCATCTAGTGGAGGCGAGCAACACAACGATGGGCTGAGCGCCCTGAAGAATTTAGCCGACAGGCGCTCGTCGCGAGGTCAGTACCCTGCTTTCAGTCAACCGAGGCGCAACGCAACTGACGAGTCGACTCAGCCGACGGATCACAGCCGAAGCGACGAGGCCCGAAACCCGACAGCAAGCCAGCCCTCACGCGACGGCAGGAGCTCAACCGCCAAGCGCAGCGGACGCACCGCGAGCGGAAGGAACTCTACGTCAAGGCGCTGGAGGACGAGGTGCTGCGACTCAAGGAGATCTACAGCAGCGTCTCGCAGGACAAGTCGCGATTGCACGAGGAGAACAAGCAGCTCAAGCGTCTGCTGGCGGAGAATGGCATTCCCTGGACGTCGAACCGCATGAACGACGACAATGCGGGTGGAGGCGATGACGGCAGCAACAACAACTACAATGCGAGTGTTTCCGGGCAAAGCTACGGCCAGGGTTCACATGGTGTCTTCTCGCCCGATCAGAATTCACAGCAGCCTAGCACGGCGCCGTCGGCCTCGCCGAGTGCAGGGCAGAATCAGCAGCTGATGAGCGGCCAGCAGCTGCGGGACATGACAGCCGTCGCGACGAAGAATAAGGGGGTGGACTATGAACAGGCGGGCATCGAATTCGTGTTGAAGCTCGAAAGGCCGTGTATGGGCCACTTGCCTTTCCTCATGGAGAGGGCCAACGTGCCGGACGAGGAGACGTATTGCGGTCATGCCATGATGGCGTCCTGCCCACCTCGGCCGCTGGGCCTGATTGAGGAGAGCACGCCATATGGGACGTCGAACGTGCCCCGAAACGCACAGGAGGTCGAGGAAACGGGGGCGACGCAGAAGACATGGGAGCTGTCGAGAGCGGACTTGGCAACGCTCATGGATCTAAGTCCCAGGATCGACTTGGACGGCGAGGTCACGCCAATTACGGCGTGGGGCATGATCATGTCGCACCCGAGGTTCAGCGACTTGAGTCTTGCCGATGTTAAGGGGCTGGCTGACGAACTCGGCAGAAAAGTACGGTGCTATGGGTAAGTTTCTATCTATGCTGTATGCAGATGGATATGGCTGGCTGACACCCTGCAGATTCGGCGCAGTGACAGAGGAGTTTGAGGTGCGGGATGCCTTGGAAGGGGTGCTGGCCTCGCGCGCGATCATGGCTTAGTTTAGGAGTGACCTTATTTTGGTCAAAGCGGTTAAAAATACATACGTACGTACGTACTCAGCGGGTGTTGTGTTGATACCATTGAATATTGAATTCAGCTTCTCAAATCCGACAATGTGACATTTGCGAGACTGTGGCTAGTGCTGTGGCTGGTGGCGGGGCTTTGGTGGTCAGCCCCACACCCCACCTTGAACCACCACAAATTCATCGCCAAAAGGCCAAATTCTCCATCGCGGCGCCGCCTCGCCTCGCCTTTACTCACCACCACCACATCCCTCGAAATGGCTGATTCGCTCGACTACGTGCGCATCTGCGAGAGCTGCCCGCCCAGCGACGGCTGGGGCCCCGCCGTCACCACAGAGACGACCCTCGACGGCGTGCCCTATGCCCCCTTCTCCAAGGGCGACAAGCTTGGCCGCATGGCCGACTGGACCACCGAGGGCAAGGACAACCAGCGCGGCGGACGCCAGCAGTACAACCGCAACTACAGAGGTGTGTACCCGTACCCGGCGCCTGATGAAGGATGGAGCAGGACACTGACCCCAGAGCAGACCAGCAAGTGTACGGCGCAGGCTCCGCAATCACCTTCAACGCCCCTGTCGCCGAGGACGAATCCTCCTTTTCGATTGTCAGCAACGCCCGCGACAGCACAAAGACCCGCTTCGGTCGCGGCGCCGTCTTCACCCGCGGCCGAGGCCAGCGCGGCGGTCGCGGTGATACCCGTGGCGGCCGTGGCACTGCCCAGCGTGGAGGAGGCGGTGGTCGTGGCGGTCACGGCTATGACCGCGGTGGCCGCGGTGGCGGTCGTGGTGGCGGTGGCCGCCGCTTCGGCTGGAAGGACTGGGACAAGCCGACGCGCAACCGCGACGCCAGCATCAACATCCGCGCCGACTGGGAGCTGCTGGAGGAGATTGACTTTAACCGCCTGGGCAAGCTGAACCTGGACGCGGACGAGGGCGAGGACCTCGACGACTACGGCTTCCTGTACTACTACGACCGCTCCTTCGACAAGCCGCAGATCAAGGGCAACGAGCGCAAGCTGACGGCCGTGGACCGCGCCGCCTACAACGTGACCACGTCGAGCGACCCGGTCATCCAGGAGCTTGCCGAAAAGGATGAGGCGACCATCTTCGCGACGGATAGCATCCTGTCCATGCTCATGTGCTCGACACGCTCCGTCTACCCGTGGGACATTGTCATTGTGCGCCAGGGCAACAAGATCTTCCTCGACAAGCGCGACAACGCGACGCTCGACATGGTGACGGTCAACGAGAACGCCGTGGACGCGCCCCTGGACGCGGCCGACGGCAACAAGGACGCCATCAACCAGCCCGCGGCGCTCGCCGAGGAGGCCACGTACATCAACCACAACTTCCCCAACCAGGTCGTGTCCGAGTCCGAGTCGACGCGGGTGCAGATGGCGCACGCCAACCCCTTCTACAACGCCTCCGAGGACACGGACCCGCCCGCCTCCAAGGCGTACAAGTACCGCCGCTTCGACCTGTCGACCAACGACGAGGAGCCCGTGTACCTGGTGGTCCGCAGCGAGGTGGACGCCGTGCAGAAGAACGCCATCAGCGGCGACGACCAGCTCGTCACCATCAAGGCGCTCAACGAGTTCGACTCCAAGGCGCCCGGTAGCGGCGGCGCGCTCGACTGGCGGAGCAAGCTCGTCACGCAGCGCGGCGCCGTCGTCGCCACCGAGATGAAGAACAACTCGTGCAAGCTGGCCCGCTGGACCGTCCAGAGCATCCTGGCCAACGCGGACGTCATGAAGCTCGGCTTCGTCTCCCGCGCCAGCCCGCGCTCCAACGACAGGCACGTCATTCTTGGCGTCATTGGCTGGAAGCCCCGCGACTTTGCCAACCAGATGAACCTGTCCCTCTCCAACGGCTGGGGCATTGTCCGCACCATTGCCGACATGTGTCTTAAGCGCGACGAGGGCAAGTTTGTGCTCGTCAAGGATCCAAACAAGAGCATCCTGCGTCTGTACGAGGTCGGCTCCAGCCTGGACGAGGACGACGAGGAGGAGGATGAGGAGGAGCAGCAGGCTGAGGAGGCGGAGGACGAGTAAACATGAGTGTCATGGGGGATGGAATGGAATGGAATGAAATGGGAGTAGGCGTCTCACGAAATCAAAAGCCATAGAGGTATGCCGCAATGATTCTTCTTATCTCATGATTCTCGTCTCACCACACTCTGTCTAAGTCAATCAAGTAATGCTTCTACCACGCCCGTCCTGTGTCTCGTCCTGATCCGCGCTCTGCTCAGACTGCTCAGTCTCAGCCCAGCCTGAGGATGATGTGACAGATCCCGGGATCCGTTCCTAGTTAGCCCGGCCCTCGGCCTGATTGAGAGGATATAGGGCGTCTTGCAATGCCATGATCCATTCCCTGGCCACATTGTCGAATGGATCCAAGCCCAGCTCCCTCGAGGCATAGTAGACGACAGCAGCCAACCTCACGAGCCGCTCGGCTTGCCGCTCGGGCGACAGTAGCCTCAGTGCGTCCACGTTGTGGGTCAAATCGTGGCCGATTAATGCCACCGTCGCCGGCGGATATAATACGTGGGGCATTTGGTTTCGCATGTATATGTCCATGTCGCGCCCGGGATCGGCTCTCTGCTGTTCGTAGACGCCCTCCACGACTTCGCGGACGTCTTCTTGGTAGTCAAAGAGGCGACGTCCCGTGTTGACAGAACGAGTCGAACGAGCCGAACGACCGGCTTCAGAGGGGTCGGCGGACAGGTCGGCGGACAGGTCGGCGGACAGGTCGGTGGACTGGTTGTTGGACAGTTCGCTGACGCTGCCGTTGGATCGTGGACTCGTGGATGGCCGATGGTGGTTGTTGCGATTGCCGTTGACTCTATTGACTCCGTTCACCCCGTTGATTCCATTGACTCCATTGACTCTGTTGACTCCATTGACCCCGTTGACCCTGTTGGTCCCAGTGATCCCAGTGACTCCGTTGAGTCGGAGCGGCGGCGTTATGGCACGTGGGCCTGTAAATGGTACTGCCTCCTGCAACGGTCGCCCACGATAGCCATAGGTGACACCCGGTGTGCCGTCCGGCAATGGTGGTGGAGGCGGGCTAGGTGTTTCTGACCAATATGGGATAGGTGTCGGCGGCCGAGGCAGGGCACGTGCTGGCTGTGCCTGAGTAACCGAGCATGCTGGTACTTGTGGTGTTTGTTGTCGCTGTTGTTGTGCCGGATACTCACTAGGTGCTGGGGCCTGTGGTGGAGGCGCCGCCTGTGGCGGCTGCTGCTGAGCGCTCCCTATCTCTCGAGGCAGCCTCTGTGGCGGTCTACGGATATTCTGCTGGGGCCCAAAGGTAAGAGGTCGAGGATCGGAACCTGGTGTCGAGCGAGGCGGGTTGACCTGTTGCTCGCGGCTTGGGCCACCGGGGTACGGACTCCAGCGAGCTCTCTGCGCCTGGGCACGAAGCGTTTCCACTCGTCGTCCTGAGCCTGTTGATTCTGGTGGAATCAGACCCGCACGGAATCTCTCTGGGTTCAGTGCGCGCAGCAGGTTGTCAATAACGCTGGACTCGGAGGCGGTGATGCCAACTCCCGATTGTTCGGTGGCGGCACTGTCCTGCGCTGGGGGCTCGTCCATGTCCTTGTCGGGGCTTGCGCCGCCCTCCTTAGTTGCGACGCCTTCATGACTTGCGTCGCCCTCCTTACTTGCGTCGCCTTGATGACTTCCGTCGCCTTCATGACTTGCATCGTACTCCATACTGGCGTAACCCTCCTCACTGGCACTGTCCCCCTGACTGGACGCCTTGGAGCTCGGCGGCTGGCTGTACATGTTGTCTTCTTTGGAGGTTATGGATAAATTTGTTGCTGATTTGCACACGTCTGCCATGGAACGAGTCGTTCTGCGGTCGTTGTTTACAATGGTAGCGCTGGGCTCGTTGGCGCTCTTGCCTTGGCAAGAAGGATGGCCGAGCTTGCCACTTTCATCTCTCTCGTTGGCGGATGAAGAAGGAGGGTTTCTCTCTTTGAAATTGTCGTCATTCTTCCCCTGCTCTCGCTTGCGTTTTCTGTTGTTGCTATGGGTTTCCCTGTCCTTTGACTCTGTGTTCACAGTGTGGCCCTTTTTCGCTTCTGGTTCGGTTGCCTCTTGGCTCTGAAGAAGCTTGTCGCTGGATCTCGGCTGCTGTTTGGCTTTCGCCGACTTCTGGCCCCCATCGACTTTGTCGTCCATGGTGGGCTTATGATTGAGTTTTCCGTCGTCTTGAAAACGCTTGATAGGTGGCTGAGCGTGTGGTTGTCTGGAAAGTGGCTGTTCGACGTGCTGGGATTCTAGTATCGTACCCACGGTACAGGCGAGAACAGTTCAAGTGATTGTGAAAGAAAATAAGGCAAATGGGAATTCTTTTTACTCCACGCCATGTTGCCAACAGGCCACATATGTCACATATTGGCGCACAACCGCTTCACAACGAGAAGAACCAGACGAGAAATCACTTGATCCCATCATGCGCAGACTAGGGCTGCTAGTTCAGCTCAACAAAAGTCATAAGAAAAACCAGGCGGATTCGCTATATGACATGGGATGGACGAGGTTGACGTGGTCAAGAGCCAAGGCGCGATATCTTGAGCTAGTTTTAAGCTTGATTTTGGCGGCGGTAGTTCATGGAGACTTCTGTGTCCCGCTATACAAGGTATGGATGTACATGCTCACATACCAGAGATTTCGGTAAGGTTTCCTCCCAATTTCGACTCAATGATACAAGTTGAGAGCCTCCTCGAAACGGTCGACGCACTCGGACCGCGACGGATCGTTAAAGAGTTCCTTCAGCTCAGGAGGGTTCTCAGGCTGCAGAGTTGTCAGTTCAGTCCACTTCTTATGTTTCACCCGGAGAAATACTCACGTTCAGGTACGACACTTGGAACTCATGAATATACGCCTCCAGACCGTTCGCGCCACAGACATTGTCAAAGTCACTCCAGTCGTACCCCGAGCCTTCCGCCTGGTTGCAAGGCTCACCGCCATAGGTGTTGTTGGAGGCCACCTTTTTGAGGTAGTCCGACCAGGTCTCAATGTCCTCCTCAGGAAAGGTGCCGCCATCGTCACCACCGGGTCCGTTGTTGAAGATGCAGTCGTTGTGGATGGTGACCTGGCGGTTGCCCTCGAAGCCGAGGATCTCGTGGTCCTGGGGGTAACGCATGGCGATCTTGGGACCGGCCTCGAGCAGGGCCTCGACGACGGCGCGCTTGACGTCCTGGTTCTCGGTCGTCTCCCACTCACCCTTGCCTGGGCAGAAGTAGCCGCTCTGGGGGAGGTCAGCACTTGTCCCATACACACTTTGCTAGTAGGACGTTTCATGTTATATCAACCCCCATTCTGAAAACTTACGTGCCACTCGCCCCACATGCCCAGGAAGCCGGCCTGAATCACGGGGATCACAATCGTGTCCTCCACTTCCTGGAAAACCTTGACCCAGGTCCGGACATCCTCCAAGATGAGGTCCGCGTCCTCAGGCTCCGACACAATCTCGCCCGACGAGGAGCCGTACCGCACCCTGGGGATGGCCTTGATGCCCTGCTCACCATAGTTGCGCGCCAGGGTCTTGAAGTCGTTAATGATCTTGGTGTGGTCGCTTCCCGCGATGATCTGGATGTAGAGGAAGAGCGTGTCGGAGCGCGTGAGAGGGCTGTACGCAATCTCGCCCGAGTTGTCCCTGTCCGCGCCGATCTCCTTGTAGGTGGCGAAGCCAGTGGATGCCACCTTGAGGGCAGCCGCAGCGGCGAGGAGCTGAGTGAGGCGCATTTTGCTGTCTTGTGTATGTGAGCGAATGTCTTGGAGAAGGGGAACAGCTCTGGAGGCTGGACCAAGGCTGGATCTTATACACCATGATGAAGGATTTACCCGGAGGAAGCTGTAGCTCAGGGGTCTGTCTGGACTCTGTCCTGTCCTTGACTCCTGTCATAGATCTTGACATTTCATTCCAGCCAACCGGCCTGCCTCGCGCACACGCGTACTCGCCACCGGTTGTCGCTTCGAATAAAGTTGACAGGGTCTCTGCATCTGATTTCCCCTGTATTACAAGATCCGTAATAATGAGTCTAGAAGCTTGAAACATTGTTCTCGAGGCGCTGAAACGCACTTGCGGCTCTTGGCGCTCCTGGCGGTCGAGGCGCGAGCCTCTCGGAGCCGAACTTGGCCGTCTTCCAGACTCGATTTCGGTGCCGACGGCTGCCAGCTGTTGAGAGAAAAACTTAAGCCTTCAGGAAATGAACATGGTCAAGCACTGCCTCGGGAGTTGTGCGACGCTTTCGGCTTCCTTGCTCATCTCGGATGTCGGTGTCGATGCCCACGAAGGCACGCGATTGGCACCACCGCTACGGCCCGGGCCTGCGAGATCCGAGCCACGTGCTATGTCAAAAGTTCTCCTAAACATACGTAGAAACTCCAATGCGATTTTTTCCAATGCTATGCTCTTTCTACTCCAGTACAGTGCCGTGGTGCATTCGGCACATCTCCTCATCGCTCCCCCAGTGCCTCTAGGCTAGCCCCCATTCTGGCACACGCCATCAAAGTCCCCGTACTTGTCCATCCCCGCGCGGACGATCCCCTGAAAGGTTTCAAAGGGGCAGCTGGCGCCCGGACCGCTCTGGCACAAGGGCAGCGGTCGCGGCGCCGTATTGGCGATGAACCGCACAAAGTCCTCCTGGCCGCCCTTGCCCCCGTTCATGTCCGCCCGGTCACAGGTCATCTTCTCCATACCGACGTGGCCCAGGAATGGAATCAGATCAGACATCTTCCACGCCCGCACGTGGTTCACGTGCGATGTGGGAAACTCGTCGCGTCCCTGGTACGACGAGGAATTGAAGATGCCCAGCGCCGTGGCTACAAAGGGGGGCACCTCGCGATGCGTAAAGTAGAAGAACAGACGCTGCTCAGTCGGCCACTCGATCGTCGTCCCGTTGCCCAGCGCCACGCCCTCGTCAATGGCCTCGAAGAGCTGGGATTGCGAGTGAAGCCAGGGAAAACCAAGGTAGCTGGACAGAGGGTTGAGCGGACCGACCATGTGCGCGTACTTCATGTCCCAGGCGTACTCGTACGAGAGCCACTCGGCGTCCGAGAAGAAATCACAAATGGACGAGCGCGCGCCCTGAATGGCCGACTCGTAACCGCAGATGGACTGGAGGGCAAAGACGTCCTTGGGGGCGAGGTCGAAGCCGTCTGGGGTGAAGGGACGCAGGCGACGCGAGGTCTGCGTGCCGTACACATTGAGGAACTCGAGCTGCTCCTCTGTCCCGGGGGCTTTCGTAAAGTTGGAGCACGCCTTGTGTGGGAGGACAGCCCGCGTGCCGTCGTTGAGCTCCTTCTTGTCGAGGCGGGTGACGTCAATGTCGCCGTCGTGGGGGAACGCCTTTAGAAAGGCCCGGGCGGTATCGTAGGTCCTGGCTTTAGTGTCGGCCACGACGCGCTCGACGGACCCTGCGAGGTGAGGGTAGCGCTTGGCGAGATGATGGCCGACCCTCGTCGCGTCCACCTTGCCTGAGGGGGTGACGTCCTCGAGGTGGTCCTCTTCAATGGGCGAGGTCCAGTCGTTGAGAATCTCCAGGGGCCCCGAGAAACCACCGCGGTGCTTGTCCAGCTTGGCGAGGAAAGGCTGAATGTAGTCTTCGTACTCGGCGTCGTTGGCGTAGATGGCGGCGTGGCGGATGAGATACGACGCAGCGGACACGGTGCAGCCCTCGGGCGCGGCGTGGGACAGGCCAAAGCCAACGGCGTCAAAGTAGGGTGAGATGCCCGGTAGATGAAGGAGAGGGTCGAATTGATATCCTTGCGAGTGGTCCAATGGCCGGATCGGTTGTTGCGCGAAGGAGGCGTCGGCGCCAGCCAATGCCACCAGCGACGACGCGGCTGCTACCAAGGTAGCGAGGTGGGATGGCATTGTCGTCAGAGCAAGTTGTCCTTGGAGGACAATGAAGGGGGGATGCTTGGTCGTTGAAGATGATGTGACAGACCTCGCGTGGTGGTGAAATTGTTTCAGTTTCTTGCTCGCGACGGATCGCGATGAGTATGACGTAGTCCAACGGCCAGCCCCTGGCCTTGAGAAGTTGGGCGAGCAGCATTTCACCATGATTCATCCCAGCATTCAATTGATTGAGAATATATTCACAAGGAATCCATACTCATTCATCATGGGAGCTAAATAATCTCTGCTATAATCAAGACCCTGCCCCTCGAAGCAGTAGACGAGAAACCCCAGCGGCCCAGCCCCTTCCTATCCCCTACCTCTCATATCGAGGCCCTGATGAGCTGGATCAACTGGGGACCGACCTTGGACGCAATGAACTGGTCGCCCTGGTTGTTGGGATGGACACCGTCGGCCGGGTTGAGCATGCTGTTGGTGAACCCTGCGGCACGCGAGCAGTCTGCAATGACAATGGGAGACGCATTGGTGGTCTTCTGCTGCACCCAGCCTGGAATGGCATTGTTGAGCGCCTCGATTGTCTGGTCGCTCCAGCTCGTCGGGATCAGCTTGTCTAACTGTGCGTGCATTCTCGTTAGCCCTTGACTCGAAAAGAAAATGATGCGCAGAACGTGGCGAGACAGTACGTACCACAACCTTAACCGAGGGGTTGGCAGCACGCAGGGCATCAATGATCAGCGAGTACGAATTCAGGATACTGTTGACGTCCCTCTTGCCAATGTTGACGTCGTTGGTGCCGAGCATGAACTGGACAATGTCCGGCTTCTGGGCCTGCGCCCAACCGTTGATGTTGTTGCGCGCAATGTCGTACGCCTGCCAGCCCGAGTGGCCCTCGTGGTCAGGGTCGAATCCAGACGGCCTCGAGCACGAACTCTGGAGATCGTTCATGCTGCCGACAAGGTCGACGTTGCCCGCCAATCCGGCGGATGCGATCTGGTTCCACACCATGGGTCGCCAGCAGGTGATCTCAGTGATGGAGTCACCGAGAAGCACTGTAACCGAGTTCCCCGATCAGCATACTGCCATGTGTGTGCCGAGACCAGGGGATTCTTGCTACTCACTGACTTTGACCGCTTCCACGGTCGTGCTGGCCGCCAGGCCAGCGATGAAGACACCGGTGCTGAACGGTTTCATCTTGGTAAGCAGCGTGACGTTTGCGGTCTTGTTCGAGATTTCTGAAGCTGTGTAAGATCAAGGCCCCAGTGCCCATCCTTAAGCGACTCACTGCCGCTCTTTTATACGCTGGGCCTCCCCGCGCCCATGTTCGGCATATACTCCGTGCCTCTTTGGGAAGACGCTCAACTGCCGTGTTGCTCTCTCCGAACTGCCTTATTCGACATGAAAGTGCGGGGATGATCCACGGGGTGCATTGACTAAAACTCTTCTTGTCAAGTTATCCCACCAAACTCCAGGAACCGTGCCTTTTTGTTTTCATTTACCCGTTGCATTCAGGCGAGAACGGTGTTCCAAACACCACCATGGTGTTTCAAAGTATCCTTGGCGAGGAGCACAGCTCAAGCTTGTTTGATACTCATGTGCTGCTCCAGGGTTAGTCAGTTAGGGCAACTAGCCATCCCATATGGTCAGCGCGTTCCGTGAACGCGAACCGATCCGTCTCGATCTATCTAGGCTAAGGGTATACCATTCTCTACATTCGAAAGCTCGCAACGTACAACTTGGTTACCCAGCGCTCCCCGCACTTCTTTGTCTGAATATCAGTTACATTAATTGGGAACACACGCAGCTTACACGCGCACCAATGAAATACGTGCTTAGCCAGTGACATCCCACTTCACTTATACACATCATCCAGAACAACCTCACTTTAGCCTCGATATTGCTTGTGCTAGCCACATGTACATTACCCGCCATTGTTCCCTCGTCTTGTGCATAGACGGTGCTCAGCACGCCTGGCGTGGTCGACATCCGTGAATGAGCAGGCACTGTCCCAGTCACCATGGCGCCCCCCGAAAGCCCGATAGACCTCCTCGATATGGAATCCGCACAGCTACACATCTCTGCCTCCAAGAATGAGGCTCTGCAGAGAAAATGTCGTTTTTGGTGCCCTTGACTCCTTCTCCAGCCTGCGAGATATGCCGAGGTCCTGTGCGACAAGACAGTCTAATAGGTTCAGGCCTCGTTGAGACGCTGGAACACTTCGCCTTCAGGAACTGTCCTGTCATGCCGCCACCTCAGCTGCGTGATTCCCGCACAGTCCTTTTGCCCGCTCTCAAATTCTAGTCAATAGTACTCATACGCCCTGATATACTGCGCCCTCTTGACCATCTCATCATACGACTGATTCCACGCAAAGGTATCGTAATGATAGTGCCGCAGCTCGTACGTCTCCTCTTCCAACCCAAGAACTCTCAGCTGCAGGCCTTCAGACTCGGAGATACAGATATCAATGAACCAATTCCCCGCCGAGTTCATATATCGACCTACATACGCCTCCAGCTCCCGTGGCTTCGTGTTCAGGATACCCTCCTGCTCCAGCTTGGCCTCCACTTCGTCCATCCGAAGGACGGACTTTGCAGCGCATCGATTGGCGAGGTCTAGGTAATCGCGCATCGGCTTACCGACCATCAGAGTATCGACGACGGCCTGCGAAACCAGGTCGGCCACGTCACACAATCCCAGCGAGTTCTGCAAGACGACAACAGCTGTGCCGGTCTCTGGAATCATGAGAAGCGCGCTTGTCGTCCCAGGCATGTTGCCACCGTGCCAGATGGCAAGTTTCCCAGGTTAACTCTCGCCGAGGCGTGGAAAGTCATCTACTAGGCTCGATTTCCAACCAAAATCCAATGACCCGGGTAATTGTGTTCTGTTCCAGCCAAGGCCGTATGTCTGCTCGAGCAATGCACCCGGTACCCGTCGACAGATGTGTGGCTGCAAGATTCCCTCTATTTGCATAAGGGGGCTTTTGTGTCCGTCTGGCGCTTTATCCTTCCCATCGGAATGGGGCGAGATCTTTTCTGCTGCCTCGAAATACGCTGTGGCGTATTGGAGCAATTCCGCCATACTCGTCCTCACGGACTGGCCCGCGAACATCATGGTCTCGCTGGAGGCGTTGCATTGGGGCAGCTCCCACGGTTCCCTGTTGGAAAGGATATTGTAGGGAAGCGCCGCATTGCTACCTCGACTCGGCGACTAAGTGATTGTGCTTGTCATTCCCAGGGGCTTGAAGAGTCGCTGCTCGATAAAAGCTCCATATTTCATGCCGGAGATACGTTCAATGACCAAGCCTGCCAAGTTGTACATGTGGTTGTTGTACATGTACTTGGAGCGCACAGGGGCGACTTGCGGTATGTGATTTATGATGGGAATAGATTGTTTCCTGGGCAGAAGAATGCGATTGCCAGATTCGAGGTAGAGCGCGTCCGCCCAGGCTTTGCCGGTGCGATGGCTGAGTACGTCTGCCACATTGAGCTTGGCCAAGCAGAGCGGACTATCTTTCGACAACTCAGGCAGAATATCGTGAATCGGCGTGTCCCAGCCCAATTCCCCGTCCTCGACCAAGATCCCCACACATGTAGCGGTCATGGATTTGTTGAGAGACGCTACGTAGAACAAAGTATTCTCGTCGACAGGTGCTTTGTTCTCGACATCTCGGTAGCCTACATACTGCTCGTGGACAATCTTGCCGCGATGAATGACGCCAATAGCCAGACCAGGGGCACCTGAGGATTTGCGCAGCGATTCGATCAGAGGTGTAATGTCTCTCAGTCTGGCGTGCTGACGAGGAGGAGCCATTTGGGAGATGGCGGCCCGAGGCTGCTATTGAGGATGTGATGTGGTCTGGTGTGAAGGGTGAAGGAAGAGAAGCATTGAGCCGAGCGGGGTGGCGGTGGCGCCTTGGGGTTGTGCGTACGGGGGTATTTAACGTCAAGGTCTAGTCTCTGGTCTGGTCTGGACTAGTCTGGTAACACCAAGACTAAGTTCAATCTCGGTGCCCTCTTTCGTCGTTGGCCGCAACATGAAGCTGCAGCCTGCAGGTTGCCCTTGCGTCACTCCCTGCGAAAGGTAAGCGTAAAGACGTACAACCACATGTGCTGGGTGTTCATCCCGCAGTGTTATGCGGGTATAGCTCATGGTATGTGTTGCAGATTTGGAATATCACGCCTCAGATACGTAGAACTGTCTACATGTATCTAGGTATTATCGTACAGAAGAAATCGATCCACTCCTTTCATTTCACATTCGACTCTCCCTACTCCCAGGCAAGTCCTCAGGCGTAATAGATAACCAGTTGGTCTAAGAATGAACAAAGCTTTTCTTGCAAGTGGTCATGGTCTGGGTCGACTGTCTGGCTAGATATCTCCTTGATCAAACGACAGGCCTTCCGCTTCATGAGTTCGTGCCATGTTTTGATGGACGTGAAAAGTCGTGCCACTCAAGCACCCAAGTTAAGAAGAAGAATGGAAAAGAAGATAACAGGAAGCCAAGCCAAAATTAGTTCGACCGAGGACTGGCACTGCAATACAGCAAGAGCACCATCTCAGAAGAGGAACAAGGCGGCGCCGACGGCAGCGGCGAGGAGACTGGCAAGACCTTCCGCGGCCAGCATGTGTACCGCATGGTCCTCGTCCTCCGGGCACTCGGCGGGGGGGAATGTACCTTTGCAAGCTTCCTCCAGGTCGTGGGCGTCCATACTCTCCACGGTAGCCTTGTCGATCTTGATCTTGCAGGGGTTGGCGGTTGGCGTGGGTGTGGAGGTGACAAGCGCAGCGCACGTCTCTGTTGACGTAAAGACTGATCCGTACACGGTAGCATTGGCCACCTCGTCGGATACCTCGATAGCCACTCCATCGGCTGGGCAGTCGTCGTCGCTGTTGTTCTCTGTTCCAGAGACGAGATCGACCTTTTGGCCGCCCTTTTTGGTCTCAAATTCCACCACAAAGACGTCCTCATAAAGCAGTGGAAAACGATGGTTCCCAAAGGTAGTATAGGAATCCTGGCCCATACGGTCCTCGGTCTCGTTGCACGCTGCCCACTCCACCCACCACCCCATAGAAAAAGGGCCTTCGTCCCGGAGGTCGAGATAAAACCAGTGGAGGTAGGGGTCGCTCTGCGAAGCGGTTACATCCCACCAATTAATCTTCCACGAGCCGTCTGAGACGACGTCAACTTCTGTGTAATTGTAGCTGTATTCATTGTCAAAAGTCCTGGTTCGTTCGGACTGCTTCGTCCTGTTCAGGATGCGCTCGTCGAAGGAAAGTTGGAGATACTCGAGCAGTTGTGAGTTCTGGACGGCAAAGACGATGGGAAACTTCTTCGAGGGCTCGTACGTCGTGTTGTTACGCGGGAAGACCAAACTGGCTTCAAGAACACCTGCGGCTGTGGCGACAGCACCTTGGTAGGCGCAAAGGCCAGCGACAGTCCACAGCGCGTGCGAAACGAAATACATGGTGACTGCGTTTGAGATTGGCGGCCGACTTCGATTTTCCGTTGCTGGTGGTGGAGGTCTACCACCCTGCCCGAGGACTGGCGATGGGAGATGTAAACTTGAAAGGGGGATCAAGTGGAGGACAGACCCCAAATTCTCAATTTCTTGTGTCATCAGTCATCACAACATTTCCGAATGCACATGTGATGAGTGGTATGTTGGCTCTAGAGTTTGTTTAAGCTTGGCAGCGCGCCCCTGCATACAAAAGTGCTTCGACTCGCAGCGGTCCAGCGGACCGAAGAGAGACGTTTTTGATAACTAGATCAGGCAGGGAACATAGGACTCGAGAGAAGTAAACCAAAAGGTCAAAAACATACAACCAACCGGTAAATATTCCCATTCCTTCCAGTCCCTTCCTAAAGAGCCGGATCAATAGTCCGCCCGCCCGACCCGCTCCGCCCGACCCGCTCCGCCCGCCCCGGCCTCCGGCGCCGGAGGCGGCCCCCTTTTCCCGAAATGCTACGCGCCTGCCTCCGTCTTGACCGCCCGGGGGGGGCCACTCTTTCCCACTCATCTCTCTCTTGGACTTCGCCATCATCGTCCGTCGACGTTTGTCGTCCGCGTACGTCTTCATCATCGTCCCTGATTCTTGGACATTTCTCGACAAGGCCACCACCACGGCCGCCACGCCTGAGTAGATTTAATTGAGGTCTAGTTATCCCATGAGAACTCTATCACCTAATGACAAGATTCTAACGCAGTGAACAAGTAAAGGCACTAACCATTGCAAATTATGGCGTCGTCATGGAAGAATCGTCCAGTGGACTGCTTAAAGCTTCACAAACCCTCCCGGCAGCTCTTTCTGTTCAAACCACGCCTCAGAAGTTTCCGCAAAGAGAAGAGGCGCTTGGCGATTCCATGGATGCCTCATACTGGGGTGCGTATACGCAACCGTCTCCGGGTTCAACTCTCTCCCAATCTCCATTAGCTTGACGGCATCATGCGGGTGGTCGCTGCTTGGAATTAACCCGCCTTTCCCTGCAGCAACGATCAGGGTGCGTGCACGCCACGGCGACGGCCACTGGGTTGTAGACGTAGTTACCGGCGAGACGACCTGTCGACATAATTCGAGTGTGCAAGCGTTAGTATCGATGAGAGGCAGATCTGCGCCGTCCATTGCCCAGCGGAGCAAGGAACGGGGGAGACAGTTTTCTACACGAGACATGGCCCATGCTGCGTAAGGCACATAGGGTGTTAACGCTGTTGGGGGGAAGAGCTCAAAGCCAGAGATGAAGACGGAGTTGACCAGGTCTGGATGCGCCGAAGCCAGATGGATGGCGATCTGTGCACCTAGACTGTGGCCGATGACATGTGCCAACCCATTGATGGCGTGTGTGCGGATGAGGTCAGCGACGAGGCGGACCGAGAGATCTACCGAGAAAGGAGTGACGGCGTGAGATTGGCCATGGCCTGGAAGATCGGGGACCAGCAGGTGGTAGGAGCTGGGAAGATGCGGGAGGACTAGATCCCAGTAGAGGCCGGAGGCGAAGGCGCCGTGGATCAGCACCACAGTCGTGTGGCCCCGAGAGTTATGCGCAGTATAGTGCAGCTTGGTGCCGGTATCATCGTCAACGGTGAGGGACATTGATGCAGTTGAAGCCTTGCAGCTGTCGGATACGCGCGTCACCGTAAGCGGGGATAAATTGACGATACAATGGAGGTCAATTGGTGTCAGATAGTGTGTGGCTGGTGCGGTGTGGTCTGGTTCCATAAAGGATTTTGTATAGGGCTGTGTCGGGAGTTATGCCCTCACACGCGCAAACCTAGGCTCAGGATGATGATGATGAGAAGCAAAGATCGTTCGTGTGCCTCCTGTTGAGACGCCACTTGGTTGTTGTTCCCTGACCCACAGCCAATTTCCCTACGGACCAGAGGATAAGCCGGTCCGCAGCGTCCATCTGTTCTGACAGGCTGGCGCCAAGAGGGATTGTGTGGAATACGCCGCTAGAACATCAATTCAGCAAGGTATCTACTGCATTTGCTGTCTCTGCCTTATAAGTGAGCCATGCAGTAACGCTGTGTAGGGTAGGCAAAGTCTCACTAGGTCAAAGGGGGTTGATATTAATTAACTTTTTAGTGCCAAGACACGAGATTCACAATTGCTACTAGCGACATGCTCGATGTTGTAACTAATCTTGGCCCTCTCGTCCCGTGCTTGTCTTGTGGCACTCTTATTTAAGCTTACCTCACTTAGCGGGCGGCTCGTTACGGAGTGGCGACTGTTTTCTTGGGATTCTGCACTGGACATCAAAGCCCGCTGACCTAGCATGGAAGTACGTAGTAAGTTTTCTGGATGTACGGAGTCATAGAGCCCTTTCTCGCTCATTGTTCAAGTCTGGTCTCCTAGGGGCTCATATCTTGCCAAGGCACTAGCTGCAGCACGGTGCAGTGACTGCAGGCAGACTGCTTCAGATCCCCGGCACAAAAACGAGTACCTTATTACCTCTTCAGTACTCACTTCCCACTTCCTCATTCATCTTCCTTTGTTAAAATCTTCTCCTCCCCTGATTGATTCGCCCCCCATATAGGATCAGTATGGCTGTTCTATCTCGTTGGCTGCAGCTTGTCAGCTGGACATGTGCTCTTTCTTGCAGCATGGTCGCTACGGCTGCCCTCGATGATCTATCTACCTGACATTGATGATCTATCCACTGGCATCACGGAATTTCATCAAATCTTTCCTCGCAACGAGACGTATGCACCTTCGCCACTGTTCCTAATCGTGTTTGTATTCCAGAACCCAACTATCGCCCTGTCATTGACCCCGTATGTGTCGTCCACCTTGTTTCAATGGAACCAGAGCACCAGTGACTGGGACGTCAATGAAACGGCCCATTTTTATTACTGAACAAATAGTCAACGCCTCTGATAGCGAGCCTTTTTTTCTCCATCATGTCTTTGTTGGAAACCTCGACACAGAGGCCTATTGGAGCTTCGGTTGGGGAATCACGTGGGTGAATTGCACCGAAGGGGAGGGCCGACAAGTATTCCCTTACGCTGCAAGTTTCAACAACTACATTCGTTTCAAGACCGGAAAGGGTGGTCAAGAACCTGATTTCGTTTCCTCTTCCGACGATTCGCTATGCTCAGATGTCCCGAGCTTTACTTGGAATATCACCAAAATTGGCGAATCGTATCCTCGAAGCCACCCGTCCGAGCGGTGTGCGTACTTCTCGCCAGTCAAGCCAGACCCGAAGCCCTGCGAGGCGCAGGTAGACGCGAAGATTCAAGAGAGTATTCTTGCTTCGGCTACGAATGCTTTCTGTCGAGAGAATGGCCTTTGTCTGAATAAACACTCGAGTCACCCATGTTTCATGTTCAGACTAATGCCCAGAGCGCCTCAACGCAAAAACGGACTACCATGCAGCACAAAGGATGCCCAGTGGCAGGGTCTCCTCGTCCGCCGCTCTCCCCTGATCTCCAACACGGCAGCCCGCAGACAGCAGGCCAGGTTGATGAGGCCTCGCCCGGATACGGAGCGGGCATCCTTGATCTCGTTGTAAAAGCACCGCGAGAACTCCCGTCCGGTGGCCGATGCTATCGGCCACAGAGTGCCGAGCACGGAGCTCGCACCCGAGCAGAGCAGGGCGGTGACGAGGCCCAGCGGCTCGTCCCCGCTCGCGCTGATGCCCTGCGAGGCCGAGTCGCACGCGATGAGCGTGATGTGAGGCCAACAAGTGCCGAGTTTGAGGCGGAACATGTCCACGACGGAAAGAGAACCGTCGGACAGCACGATTCTCTGGTCCGTCACGGCAACCACCCGATCCACGATGCAGTGCCCGTGAAAGTGGAAGAGGCTCGACGTCTCAATCGAAGCCTTGAACTGGCCGAGGCTCGCACCCCGTCCCGTGATGGCGTTGGCCCCGATTGCAGCCGATAACGTGTCCGCGGACTCGTAGACGCGGACCTGCTCGTCACGGAGGAAACGAGTACCCGGAGTCTCCTCGTACACGGCCATAACCGTCTTGGACGTCGGCAGCGCTGGATCCCGCCATGCCCCCAGAGTTTGTCGCCAGCATTGCCAGGCCGTGGTGAGACTCGCACAGTATACCACTGGGTTCCTCGCGATGACGGGCTCCCCCCCTATCCACAGCGCGTGCAGCGGTATGGAATGAAGGATACCAGTGGCGCAGAAGACAAGGAGGTCGTTCTCTTCCGAAATCTCCGCAATGGCTTCGACGAGCGCGTCGAGCTGTCGGAGGCAGTACTCGGGATCATCCTCCTCCAGCTCAGAGTCGTAGAGACTCTCGTCTTCGTCGTCGCGATTATCCACATAGCGCGTCTTCCACTCTTCCAATGATCGCAGGGATAGCGGGCAGCGAAGGAGCTGGGCCGGGCCGTGGTTTCTGGTGGCGACGACGCAGACCTGTCCGTCTTGTACGACCCAGTCCACAAACACCACGTCGGTGACAGAAGCCTCCTGTCTTGCCTCCGTAGCCAGGTCCTCGAGTTGACGCCTTGTGACCGGGGTTCCCGCTCTCAGGCTCAGCAGATCTCGCAGAGATGTGTGCGCACTCATCTCCGCCTGGAGGATGTGGAGTTGGTTGCGAAGGTTGATCCTTGTCGTGCTCTCGCTCGCGCTGATTCTCTGCATCAGCTCGACTTCCCGCTCGAACATGTCCTTGGTCGCCGAGTCCCGTTCAATGGCCACTCTCAGATGTTCCGGAACCAGGACACCCAGAGCGAGCAGGTCCGACAAGCCGCGCGCCTTTGACTTTTGGGTCCAAGACCACAACTCTTCGAGGAGATTCTCTCGCAGACATACTTGCCTTGCCATATCATAGATCCTCTGCACCTTGTCATCGGCGCCTCTCTGTTGCCTGCGCGCCATGGCGTCAAACCCCCCCAGAATCGAGAGGTCCACGCACTCGTCGTTCTTGGCCTTCTCCGCCACAGACAGCTGCTTCAATGCAAAGTCCGACGTCGCTCTTCCGTGGCTCCATGCGAGGTAGCCATAGTAGGCGCACCAGTAGGCCGCTTGGCTGGCCATCTCGGTCACGTCCAGGTTCCGCAAAGCTTCGTGCGCAATGTCCGCCAAGTTATAGGCATCGACCAGGCGATTGAAGTCTGTCGACTTTTGGAAGATGGAGAAATGAGCCAGGGCCTGCATCAACCTGGTGTTGGCAGCTTGCACGAGGCCTCCGGTCCTCAGGTAGAGCGGGACGGCTTTTTCTAGCAGGTCGATCGCTTCCTCTTCAGCACGGCTACCGGGGTGAATCCCCGAGTCCTTGGACAACCAAAGAGCCGCCGAGTTTTGGTAAAAACCGGCAAGCTTTGTTTCCATGTCGGCACTTTGCCCGGCAAGGTGAGGCGTCAAGCTCTCGATTCGTTGGATGTACTGGTCAGTCCGGCCATCATGCGTCCGTATGAGGAGCGTGACGATAGCATTCAGCTTCTCAAAGGCGGGCCCTACCATACCATGCTGGATCTCGTCATTGATAATTGTATTCCACTTTTGGAGCAGCTGGTTGCGGTCCGCTTCAAGAGGATTGGAAAGGGCGAGAGCGATGAGTACTTGCAGCTCCAATGTGTCTGCCTCAGCCCTCTCGATGGGGATCGTTGGCGTGTATACTGCGCAGCTCTTTTGAATCCACGAGAGGGCCTCGGGACCTTTCTGAATCTGTAGGTATGCTTGTGCGACAATGCTGGCAATGGTGGCTTTCTGTCTGCGGCCGTTGGTCTCCAGTACAGCGTCATACAGTGAGACGCCGGTCTCAATAACACGGGGAGCTCGTCCGGAATGTAAGAGCCAGGTTGCCATTGATTTGGTCAAGTATAGAAGCCGAAACAGATTCGCTCCCGACTTGCTCACAAGTTCGTCAGTCAGGCCGATCAAGTTGAGCTGGAGATCGAAGAACCGGGCATCGGTAAATGATGCCTGCAACGACTGGAGACCATTCTGGACGCCGAATAGATAATTCTGCTGCTCGAACGAGGAAACATGAGCTTGAATGGTATCCACGGCTGCTGCGACATCTCCCTCATTCCTTCGAATACGACGGCATATTCGGCGGATGTCGACTTGCATGCTGCCAAAGGCGTGACCAGTCTCGTCGTACATGCGCCTGGCCGCCTCCTCGCGCAGCTCCAGTGCGTCCACCGAATCGAGGCTCGGCGCAAACTCGCTGGTAAGATCTAAGGCTTGCGCCTTGAATATAGCCGGCATCTCTACTCGGATCAATTTGCTGGCCATGCGGTCCCAGGTGTCGACGCGGAGTTGGAAGAGTTCCGTCCCCAAAGGCGATGAAACCGAGGCGGCATACCGACGAGCCGCCATCAATGCGAGCCGATACTCCTTGTTCGATAAGGCGCAATCAAAGGTACTTTCTAGCCAACTGAATGCCTCTGGATTTCTCTGGGGAATATGGAGTTGGCTGACGAGTTGGACGATCTTGCAATATGTGTCTCTGATGAGAACCTCGGTTGCCTGTCAGACAGGTACGCTTTCAAGAGGACGGGACGATCAATGAGAGACAACGCACCACATGATCCGACACTTGATATTCCAGTCCCATGAGAGAGAGCTTCTCATCAAGGCGAGCGGCTTCATCGAAACTTGCGGTGAGGGTGTCAAGATTCTCGCGGACCATGGGCCGAACCAGGCAGACGTGCATGCGGATTCGTAGCATCACCAGCCGGTTTGGTTCGCCGTCTGCTTGCTTTCCGTTTAAAAAGTCTTCCCAAATCTTCAGGGCCTTTGCGAGGCAGCCCTGGCACTGGAGGGTATAGCCCAGCTCCGCCGCCAGCTGGGCTGGATCGAGTGACTGTACGACTGCATCAGATTGAAGAAGATTGGCACCCTCTTCAAAACGGCCTTGACCGCGAAGCTGCTGGAATCTGTCAAACATTCCGTCCATGGATGGGTCACGGCCTGGTACATGGCCTCACGAGAGGAATCGCGCTGCGTTTTGCGAGTTGAGGCTGTGGCGACTGGAGTCCCCGAATGATAGAACTGGCGACGAGGCGGTCAGTCAGCTGAGTAAATGTAGGTACTCAACTGCGGCACTGCCAATATGAAGAAGCTCGGCCACTCACAGAGTCACAGCAGTGCAGCGTGATCACGCCTCATGCAACATGGACCGGGGCGGCTGCACTGGCTGGGTCGCGACCTATCGCCAGTTAGCTGATACGCCGATTTTGAACGACAGAGACTAACAGGACGCGGTACACAGCTCTGCTGCGGCCGATGTTTCTGTGCCGCTCTCCCAAAGGGCAGAGCTAGGGAAAACACCTCGCCACACATTGTCCTATTGATTGCAACACCAACGGACGGGGCTTGTTCACATCACTCAGCGCTGAATACTTGTTCGACGGACACGCCGACTGGAAGGCTCGGCGCACATTGTCCTTGCACCGCCATGACCGAACCAGGCACGTTTGACAGATATGCCGTCCTCCGGTCATACGAACCCCGCGATGTGCAAGTCGAAGAAAGCAGCGATTCCGCACATCTCGGACAGAGAAACTCGGACGATCACAGCACAAGATCTGTCATAACGCACCTCGACGCCGCCGGGCTGGGCATCATCGGCAGGGTTCTGTCGGTTGTGTACGGGACATGGCACGGTACACCGGCGACGCTCGTGTCGTTCCAGTTTCGATTTCGCAGCAGAGCTGGGAGCTTTCGGTTCAGGACGTCTGAGATCGCCGTCACCTTTGACAAGGCCAGCAGCATCCTTCGCGTTGACTCTGGCGACGACGCCGCTGCTATGGCCAGCCCGCCCGCCGTTGTTTCACTCTACCCCAAAGCCCTGGATGGCGGCGAGTGTGGGTGCTCGATCAAAGGCTCGTACTGGCTGAAGAAGAACCAAAACGTTGCCAATCAAGTATACTGGAAGATACGTGAGAACAACAGCGCGGAGACCTCTGGCTTACCCGACCAAGTTGGTCTCTGCGTCGTAGTGACTAGTCGCGGTCCGTTCCTAGGCGTCGTGGAGGCGGAGGCAACCTTGAAGCTCGCGCCCAAGGCCAAGTTCTCCTTCAGAAACCTCCCATGGTCAAAGGACGACCCTCTCCTCTTTGACGGAAGAACTGGAAAGGGACCTCCAATGGAGCAAACGAGGTTCGACACTCTGACAGATGAGCAATGGGCAAAATGGATAGCTATGCTCCACGGAAGTTTGTCCTTTCCACCGTCCATGAAATCGGAGGACACTCTGATGGAGGACACTTCTTCCGGCACATCATCCTCCACAGAACAAACCGGACGTGCCGACTTAGTGTATCGTATACGAGGCATCCCTGCAAGTTGGTCCGAGGACAAGCTTGTTCTCGAGTTGGCCGCTCTGTTCTCTATTCAGGCCAACCAACTCTCACTGCTAACCTTTGCACGGAGCGCGTTCGCCCATCGCTCACGCGAGGCTGCGGTGGCGGTCGTCTCGTTCCTTTCTGGACCGCCTCGCGTCCTGGTATCAGAAGAACGACAGTGGTCATTCTCGATCCCGGGAGTTTCGTCTGGACTGGGAGCCGCCATCGCGACACTGGTGCTTGACCGGGATTTCGAGGGTCTCACGCCGCTTGGACGGATTTCTCCCACCAGCACGCTCTTCTACGCCGAGTAAGTCCCCATAACTATTGCTTCGCGTGTCAAGTGGGCAAGAAGAACTGAGATGCCTTGGCCGTCCTACAGCATCATTGCGGTTCCAGGCGTTGGAGGCCACGCGTACGGATCGTTCAAGGAGAGAGGCAGGTCATACATGTGGTTGCAAGATTCTCTGCCAGTGGACCTGCGGCTGCTCCCAGAGTCCAAGGAGGCGCGGGTCCTAATTTATGGCTATGACTCGCACTTGTCGGAAAGTCAGTCGTTCCAGAGCCTCTGGGACCTGGGCGGCAAGCTGCAGGCCACCATCAGGGAAAGCCGTTCCGTAAGTCCTCCTCCCCCCCTTTTCGAGAACATACGAGGAGGTTCATGTAGCTGTTATTTATGAGCCCAAGCAAGCCCACCAACTTACTTTGGGACACTACAGGATTCTCAACCCCAACGACCAATCGTGCTCATAGCTCACAGTCTTGGTGGCCTTGTTGTCAGAGAAGTACGACTCCCCTGGTTATACCCTCCCGAAAATGGGCGTCTGACGTGAGGGCAGGCGATCATCCGCATGAGTCGGGGTAATGAGCGTGATCGACATGCCTTGAACTGTATTGCGGGCGCGATGTTTTTCGGAGTGCCTAACAAGGGGATGGACATCACATCTCTGATCCCCATGGTTGGCCACCAGCCTAATCGACCTCTTCTAGATTCCATCTCCTCGGACTCGGAGCTTCTGGGAGCGCAAAGCGTGGCGTTTCAGGACGCAGTCTCGTCCATGTCGTCCGGGGGGCTCCCAATCTTCTCCATCTACGAGACGTTGCTTTCCCCCACCGCCGTTCAGGTATGATCTCCTCTTCCTTGACAGGTCAGAGCCCCTCGAAATGCAAAGCGCTGATCCCCAGGATGACAGGAGGGATCAAAGTGGAGAATGGCTGGCACGCCTGCCATGCTGGTCGACCGTGACTCGGCAACGCATGGTCGGCCGTTGGACGCTGAGAGCAGGTTTGTGCTGGGCTTAAATAGAAACCACTCCGATCTAGTCAAGTTTGAACGCAATTGCGACGATTATGAGCTTGTGCTGGGGTTCTTGAAAGAGATGCTGACAGGCTACGAAGTAGCAAGTAAAGCGGATGGCGGGTGACTTTCAGACTCCGACTCTGTGGTAGCATCGAGCATGTACGCCTAGCGAGGGTATAATGTCGTGGAAATCATGACATCAATGCAGTGCATCCCGACTAGTCATGGGGTTTCTCCATTCAAGACACGTCGGACATTAATCCGAGAAAGCATACGAGGTGATCGTGCGGGAATTTCGCAGAGCACGGTGGTATATTAGATCAATAACTGCCACACCGTATCAGGTTCACACAGCCCAAGGGACCGGAATCAGCCGGAAAGTATATGAACTTCTGTGCTGTTTGAGCCAGTGGCGCTCTTCTTGATAGCAACGAGGTCGGAAATCCCAGGTCTGTTCCAGTTCACCATTGCGAATTCAAAACTCCCATCCGTTCCATGCAAGCCTGTGCTCGTCTTAAGGATGTAGTTCTGATAGCCCGAAAGGGCAGAGAGGATGTAAACCTCTGTGTTTTCTGCCCCGGGCTTGCCTTTGTTAATGACAACGAGATCCTGGCGCCCACGTCCCTTCCAGTCGGCCATGATGAACTGGTACTGTTCGTTTGTCTCATGCAGAGCCGTGCCTGTCTGTAGAATCCATGACTGGAAGTTCGAACTACCCGAGAGGACGTGTACTTCCGTACTACTTGTCCCGGTCTTGCTTTTCTTGATCGCGACGAGATCTGGACGCCCATCGCCGTTCCAGTCACTGACGAGGAATTTGAAAGTGTGATCAGTCTCGTGTAGGGGTGTTCCCGTTTGCAAAATCCACGTTTGGAAGCTTGATGCGCCAGAGAGGATATGCACTTCGGTGGTATTGGATCCGGTTTGACTCTTTTTGATGGCAATCAAGTCAGGGCGTCCGTCGCCGTTCCAGTCAGCAACCATGAATTCAAAGGTGTGGTCCGTCTCGTGCAGGGGTGTTCCCGTCTGTAAGATCCAAGACTGGAAATTGGACGCGCCCGAGAGGATATGCACTTCTGTGCTGTTCGACCCGGTCTTGTTCTTCTTGATAGCAACAAGATCTGGGCGTCCGTCACCGTTCCAGTCAGCGAAACAGAACTGGAAGCTATCGTCGGTCACATGTAAAGGTGTTCCGGTCTGCAGGATCCATGATTGGAAATTCGGTGCCACGATCAGATCCCGTGGCACTTCGAGGCCGGCGAGCCTTGCCCTCTCGATTGTGAGCTCGCGGATGCCGAGCCATTCGTGGAGCACATTTTCGTACAATGTCTCGTTTGGATCAAGCTCTGTCTTTCTGAATGCGTCGCTCATCTCTTTTTGCTGTTGAAGGACACTCGTTCGTGAGTTGCCCAAAATTGGCTTCCCGTTGAAAGTCGCAACCCATCCCACTATAGACTTCGCCGGAGCTGTACTCATCTCCCGAAACATCTGAAAGCCTTTTGCCATCGAATTCTCGCACTCGTCAATGGAGTCTCGAATGTGTAGGAGGACGTTGAGCAGTTCCCCTTTATCCCCAGTCACCAAATGCAGCTCCTGCAGGATCGTTATTCTCAAGCCCGCTGCAACTATATAGGAGGGTAATCCGAGATATCCCAGACTGGCGAGTGTAGCGAGCAGGTCCAGCGAGTCATTGGCGGCATCGTGTAGCCGAAAGAGACTTGTTGATGGTGCATTGTTGTAATTCTCAATGTTCCGGACAAGACTCTCGAGCTTATCAGTGGCTTCCTGGAGCCGTTCTGCTTCAAGAGCCTTCTGGAGCACAGCAGCGATCTGCTTGATCGATCCCGCTTGAAGCTGGGCGTAGTTTGGTTTCCGAGTATTGAATAGGCTGTCCATTACCTTGGTGCCGACCCATCCAAGCGCTCCCTTGGCGATCGCAGTCGCAACCACCGCCCATGTGAAAGGTTCAGCCATAATACGTACCTGGCTGAACTCGGCAGCTGCTTTCGTGATGATCCGGGCGAGCTAACTTGCTACAATGTGGACAGGGCAACGCAACGTTGTATGTAGAGTGTAACCGAACCCAGAAACCAGCCTTGGTTTGTTCCCAGGATAACCTGGGCATTGGACCAATATATGCCCACGCTTGTCTTAGATGGCAGGCCAGCTAGTTAGGGTCTAGACTCTAAACTATTGTTCAGCTGAAGGCGGGGCAACATCACTGCATGTGTGTGCTAGTTGCCAGTAAACCAGATCACGAAGGCGGCACATGCATTGGAAGGAATGTCATGGCAAGGGTCTGGACTCTGGTCTAACCGCCTGGTACTTCCAGTCCCGAGCCCTCCGACCATTCTTCTCCATGAAAGGGTCGACCTGGCACCGCCCATGGCTGTGCTTTGGCCAATTCGGTCAACAATGTTGGAAAAAGAATACAGACGGGCCGCCCTCGTGGCGTCCAATAACACTGTCCATGCGACAAGACACGGCCGTGTGGCGGCCGTCCCCTGCTTCGCCTGAAGCGGTGGCATTTGCACGGAGATGATTGTCCACGGAGTTTTTACATCTGTGGATATGGGCCCCTAAATATGATCCCAAGGCTCATTAGATAGGATACAGACGGTGAAGAAGAAGGGAGGCCTGAGGAAATTCCAACAAATTGACTGTCGACGATGCTCCAGTCTATGCTGACATGGTTGACGTCCGCGGACAGCAGGGACAGAGTAATGGGCTCCGTGATGCCAAGATATTTCAGCGCATTGAGTGGTCCGAAGAAGTCGAGGGCCGTTTAGGCTGTGCGGGGAAGAGAACGACTGCGATGCGCAGAAGGCTTGTGGCTTTTAATCAGCCTGGTAAGGGATCATGGCATGAGCAGGTTGCGTCATTGGGCTTGGTCCTTACTCGTGGTGTTGGACATGATGGCTTCCTGTGAATGCGTACAGGTTTTTGATTGTGTGATGCTTCAGGAATACCACAGGGGCTTCGTCGTCCAGGTCCGTTTTATATCTCCCTCCCAGGTGATCCATGGTTTCCCCTATGCTGATGCGTCCCTAATGACAGAACTAGATCTAGGATTCATTTTTGAACAATCAGGCCGGCCTTTTGAAGAGCGGGAATAGCCTGCTGCTCCGTCCACTCTGTGCACTTCCTCAAAGGAGCACGAGCTTCTCCAGGCTCGTAAAACGTCAGCGGGTTCCAAGACTTGACTGGCTCCGTCTTCAAAGTTTGAGTATTAAAAGCCTTCTGCTTTGGAGGTGGAGGAAGGGTTTTGAGGAGATTCTCAAACTCGGTGGGATAGTCTGAGGCAGACGTGTAGCCGAGGAGCTCTTTGGAATGAAGCGTTTCGGACTCGAAAGGGTTATGGCATGCCTCAGACTCGTAGTGCATGCCTTGAACAATGTCGCCAGTGACGTGATGCTTCACACCGGACCCATGCCCTTGGGCAGTGGTCTCCACGAAAATGACGGTGTGGAAGCGAGGACTGGGCATATCAGGGTCCTGCATAGCAAGATGAGACTTGAGCTTATACACAGCGTAAGACGCAGACATGTTGAGATACTGATGCTGGTCCAAGAGAATCAGTAAAGGGGGATAAAAGCAGCAAATATGAGAGATGAGGAAGGGAAAATGGAGCATCAATCTCGAGGAACGAGGTTTGCATCTGTCTTTTATCATCTTGAGCTCCCATGATGTCGTCACTGTTCTATGATTTTCTACTTTTCTGGCTTCCCTTCGGCCTCGGCGCCAATAAAGCCAATGGCAAAATATCCTCACCGGATCCAACGGGCTTATCACGTTCAATCATAGGGTCCTGAATGTCAGATCTTGTTTCAGATCTGTGGAATAGTGTTGGTTGTTGATGGAAAGTAAAAGGGCTCCAATTACATCTTTGCTCTTGCCGCCTTGCAGCAAATTGATTGGTACGAAGCTCGCTGCCTGACGGCCTCCTGTGGAAAAGTTGCGCTTCTCCAACTTCCTCTCAACCAACCCAACAGAACGCAGGCGCACACCCTTCCATGGAAACGTGAGGCATCACAACTACCTGCAAGGCTGCCATCCTTGGTCGACATAATAGAGAGTGCCGCACATGAATTGCCATCCATCTTTCATCCCAGCAGTCGGTGGACAGTATTAGTCAACAACGTATCTGTTGTGAAGTATGGAGCCTTTGTCTTCGAGAACGAAGGCCATGCCCTCCTGATGATAGAAGGGCTTCCCGACGGTCCTGCGCCTGTCCTCTACGCAATGAATCGAGAGGGTGACAGGTTGTTCCTAGTGATGGAGTATGTCCAAGGACAACAGCTTGATCAGGTTTGGAGTGATTTGTCGGAAGCGCAGAAATTGTCCATCACCAGCCAGCTACGCAGAGCGACCGACAATATGCGAGGCCTCTTGTCACCCGGCTATTTCGGCGGCATGGTGGGCGGACCAGTGCCTCACCGGTTCTTCTTCTCTGCGAAGAAGGATTCAAGATCACAGGGCCATTCGCCACAGAAGAAGAGTTCTACCATGTCCTCTTCGAAAAATCAAAGACGAACTGGGAATGCCATCGTCGCAGGGCCTGGGTGGCTGAATTCGTCCGCCGGCACTTTCGTACAGCGTTCAGGAGTCAAGGTAGCAGCGTCTATATACTTGTCCAGAAACTTTCTTGCAGCGAGGAAGATGACAGCCCAGAGTCAGACTACATGTATCAAGTGACGGCTATTGTGGACTGGGAGGCCGCAGGGTGGTATCCGAAGCCATGGGCGTAGTCTTTGTGCTTTACATATTTTGTTTGGTCGGACGATTGGCCAGAAAAGCTTGAGAAGGTTTTGGATCCTTATGTTCAGGAGTCAGCGGTGATCAAGCTACTATTAGGGGAAGATTTAGACCTGTGACGGTTTCTTTGTACTCAGGCCCGGGTGTGGTGTCTTCCGAGACTATGGCTGACTAAATCAGGGGATCTGATTCGTTCAAAAGCCGGGGAAGTGGGTCAAGGGACCATGTCTAAAACAATACATGTCTCCGAGAGGTCTATTTTGAGTTTAGCGCTGGACTTTTTCCCTTAGCTGCAACCTTAATGAAGACTTCAAGTTATACTACTACGTAGCAATGGTTCTGGCCGTCTCCTCTCCCAGGCGACCACAGCATCCATTCATGCAATCGCTGACGGTAATTGCATCACGATAGTATCGCGATCGCACCAAGCAAACAAATGTCCCAAAGTTGTACTTTTATGATTTATCCCCAACCAACACATTCAGAACAGACTAGTCGCCTCTCCCACCGCAAGCGCTCCGAGTCACGATACGCGCCCGCCCAGCCCCAGCTACGTTTGGCGCCCCTTGGTTGTCACGGAATCTGAAACGATGCGCACGTTTGGAAAGGTCATGGTCGACCAAGACGACGCCATGAACGACTGAGACGATGGCCTGTCAGAAGGGGTCTATTTCATGGTCAAAAAGATTCGCTGTCCCCCTTCTCGTCTCTCTCCCTCTCTCGTCGTGTCTGCATCTTCATCTTCAACCGCAGTGCCGTTCTTACTTTCTCATTCCCATAGACGACAGGTCGTCTAATTAGATTCTTCAATCATCTTCAATTCCTTCTTCACTCTTGTTACGACTCGTTCCTTTCCAGTACATATACGCAATGCAGCTCCTCAACTATCTTCCCGTGGCCTTGCTGGCTTGTAAGTTCCATTTCACCAGACATATCTTTCCCATCCCAAAGAACCTCTACCAATGAACACCAACTCACACCTTATCCCTTCGCAGACGCCACAGGGGTTGCCGCCGTCCCCGATCATGATTCTGGTGATAACTCCTCCTCCACCGAAGACTCCGCAGCCGACTTCACACCCGCCGTCAACTGCCGCAACGACATCTGCTACTCCGCCGTCGTCCCAGAGGCCACCGCCAACTCCGAGTCGGGGCCCATCTGGTTCCAGATCTACGCCCCGACAAAATTCGCCTGGGTCGGTCTCGGCACCGGCACCCAGATGGCCGATGCCAACATGTTCATCATCTACCAAGACGGCAACGGCAACGTCACGCTGTCTCACCGCCAGGCCAGCGGCCACACCATGCCCCAGGTCCCAGCGGATAGCTCCGTGACGACGACGCTCTTGCCTGGCACAGGTGTGAGCGACGGGTTCATGGTGGCCAACTTTCGTTGTACCAACTGCACCACCTGGAAGTCAGGCGAAAGTCTGGACTTTACGTCGGCCGGCACACCCATGATTGGCGCGTGGCAGGAGGGCGACCCCCTTGATTCGACGGATGTCGAGGAGAAAATTGGGCAGCACACGGGCAGCCCGCGCATCTTCTCCCTCGATCTGTCTACTGCCATCAAGTCGACTGCTGGAAATCCCTTCGTGGACCAATTTGCTGTCCCCGAGGGGGCTAGTAACAGCAGTTCCGCGGATGGCGATTCTGGGGACGACACTACAGGTGGTGATGGCGAGAGCGCCGGTGTTGGCAAGTTCTCCCTTGTTTCTGGGGGTGTTGCTGCTGCGATCATGATGGGCCTCTCTCTCCGTAAGTTTCCTGGTGTGTGACGTGGTTCCGGAGCGTTGATACTAATCGCCATCTAGTCATGTAATTTATGACATGCATCGACTCGAGAGACAAAGGTCCGGTAGCCCTGTAGGAAGGCTTCTATCATGGGTTGAGACTGGTGGAAGAGAAGCTCCCCACGCTGGAACGCGAGATCTATCTGTGATAGTATCATGTCGTCGGGCCACGCAAGTGGCACGGCTGTTATAATTGAGCGAATGCATTGTCTTCTCAACAGACCAACATAAACGACCATGCCCAAAGGATGAACTCAGACCTACCATTTCACGACAGGCCGTCCTAAGCAGGCAGTTCCTCGTAGTATGGTGACCTTAGTATTCATTACACACGTATTTTCAGCGTCTATTCCCATCCCGGGCCTCCCGGAGTCCGGAGTCCGGTCCATCCCCGATGGGTACGGTCTGGTCTCACTGTAGCACGGGCCACTCACCCTTTGTGGGCAGACATTTCTTCCTCTTTCACCCCTGGTTTGCACTGGATCTGCCCACCGCTATTTGATGACTTCATACATTTGACAACATCCAAGCCGCTCTCGTCGTACTCAGCCAGGACCGTCGCATGCGTTGCCCCTTGTCCTCTACATGCATCCACTCATTGAAGCCAGACGCTCCACCGGCACGAATTTGCTGATGTATTTGGCGACTCGTCTATCCCCTTTCCTGCAAGACGGCTGATGCCTGGCTCCAAGGTTTACCGCGAGCCCGAAGGAATAAATGAATAGGCTTGGAAGCCTCAGCATTTGGACAGCCTATGTAGTTGGAGAGCCCGCTCAGGAGTCCATTGGCAAGCCCTGTCCACCGAATTGGGAGCCTGGACTAGAGTTCGGCAGTGCGTCATGAAAGTAAGGGCCCTGGGCTTGGAGCTCGGCATCTGCTTATGGGCAGGATTCGTTCCCCTGTCGATTTGTCGAATCCTACCGCCTGCCAAGAGATATAACTATACATACGCGCGCAGACCATACATGTATGGAGCAATAGGTCAGAAATTTATTGGTGGAAATTGCATGTCTCGACGACATCAATCGCACTTACGAACACTCATTCGAAAACAGACGTAAGGTACATGTAGACAAGACCGTGACATATTTCCTTCTTTGTGATACCACCCTCTTCATCAATGTTTGTGCCATGCAACATGAAAATGATCGCTTCATTACGCTCCCTGGAGTGTACGGGACTTTGCATTGTAAAGCTCGTCTGACTAGACTAGACTGGATCCCAGCAGAAACTACACAGTCGGCATGTGGGATGCGCCAAGACTCGCCCCATTCGATCCCAAGCCAAGAGTTCGACAGGTCCATCTACATGTGTTACCATGCATGATATGTCCGTGGTCCATCAGCACTAGATGCAGACTCCGGAGTTGGTGGTCACAAAGAGGCAGCCAGAGCAGCCATTGAACCAGCAAGTCTCGTCGCCGGTGCACGGGTGGCCGTACAGGCACTGTCTCTTGAAGAGGGTGCCGTCGTCGCGACGCTCGGACTGGCTCTGGCTGGCGATCTTTGCGAATGTCTCGACCTGGTCCTCGGAGAGAGGCCTTTCACCCAGAAGTTGGCCGTCGGCGCCAATGCGTTGGATCATGCCGGCCTCGGCGAGCTTCAGAGTGATACCATCGCCCTGGGTGGCCCAACAGCGTTAGCCATGAGTTCCATGAAGAATCATTTCCGTTGGATGGGGACCAAAGTTTGGTGGTCAACGTACCTGGTGGATCTCGTTTGCGCTGGGCGCAGCCAGGACGTTGGGAAGGGCAAGGGCCGTGATGAAGAGGGAGGGCAAGGAGAACTGCATTGTGATTGTCGTTGTGGTGTAGAAGTGCGACTTGAAGTTTTTGTTACTGAGAAGCTTTCCCCGGACCTGCCGTGAGTCTTATAGCAAGCGGGGAGAGACCTGCCCAGCCCTCTCTCTACGCCCGCAGACCCGTCATACGTTCTTGACCCTGGTGGTTCCGCCCCTGACTTCCAGAGAAGGATGATTAGTCTGCTTTGAACAATCCATGCAAGCTGAGCTGGCTGCTATATTACAGATCACCTCTCAAGGAACTTCTCGGACTCTGTCCAGTGACATGCTAGTTTCATACCCTCCATCTACCGAAACGACATATCGTGCAGGTAGCGCGATCCTTCCTCGGAATTTCTCTCTCGGTAAAAAGCATAGTCCGACGAACTTGGAATCCTCAGTTTTGGCAGGATTCCTCAGGAGTCAGGAGCCTGTTCACGTGGAGCTCATCCCAGGGTTCTCTTTCGGTCACCTATGTCACAGAGTAAGCTTGAAGCTCTTGGCTTTCGACGAAGTTGAGCCATTATCAGGCAGCAATGCAAGTCGAGACATGGACTCACGGTCACCGAGATACGCAAAGTCCGAACGCGTGCATGAGTGAACGTTTGTAGCTCTCGTTCTCTCTTATCAGTCTATGTCATTGCCAAGCGCCCATGTCTCCTGTTGGGGGAAGCATCAAGTATAAGTATGCCACATGTCACCCTCTCTTCCATGTCTTCATTTCAACAGCAACCAACATTTGATCCCTCCACCTCGAACACTTCACAATGCAGCTCACCAACCTCTTCACCGTTGCTTTCCTTGCCGCCTCCGCCGCCGCGGACTGCTACGAGTCCGGCGCCGACTAGTACGACCAGGACGCGGCCGCGGTGGTGGCCGATAAGGCCTGTGACCTGAAGTTGGGCGGCACGTATGGCCCCGAGGGCACGTACAATGGAAGAAAGGCCGCGTGCTTCAACACGCCCCACGGAAAGATGGACTTTATCATCACCCACATCTCGGATGGCGAGAGGGATCTCTCACAAGAGGAGTGCTACGACGGTCTCCAGAAGGAAATTCATGGCTGCGGCAAGGGAGGATCATCCAGCTACACGAACTGGCGTTACAAGTACGTATGACCCCTTTCGGCAAGCAGCTGCGGCAGCAGTTGGCTATTTTCATCCAAGGTCGACAAAGATGTACTGACAATTTCCCTCCTCACAGGGCCGATCCCAACGAGGGCGAGTGCTAGATTGTGTAGTTTGGAAAGATCGGGGAATATTTGACGAATGTCTCAGCTAGAGCGGCACAGGAATCCATTATTCTGTATTTTTGAGAAGATGACACAGAGCCGGCAAAACTAGCTTTTTTTGTCATTCGGAAACTTGACTCTGATTTCTACATGTCCAACGTACTCCCATTGTGTGCTCTAGGCTTCTCAGAAGACGTACTGAAAACGCAAGCTCCGATCCCCCTGCTTGCCGTTGCTTTCCTTACTCTCGTCCAACAGACGCTTCTTCTCTCGCATCCGATACTTCAACAAAGCATAAAGCAGGCCCACGCACAGCAAGGCGACAGCTTCCCCTGCGAGCGAGATCGCATTCCCCTTGACGTACCGCGGCGCATCGTAGGACGGGTAGATCTGGGACGAGGCCAGCCCGGACGCATTCGCCAGCGAGATGAGGAGCGCAATCACAATGGACCGCTTCGAGTCGGGCTGCGTGTTGTTGGACACCCACGTCACCAGGACCGTGTTGAAGGGGTAGATACCCGCCCCGGCCAGGAACATGGCGAAGAACCCAGCCGCCTTGTGGCCTGTCCCCACGACGATGGCGTATCCGCAGATACCCAGCAGGGGCGTGTGGATGAGGCAGACGGCGCGCTTGCTGAGCCGATCCGAGACGAAGGTGGTGATGGCCGTCGAGATGGACGCAAAAATGTACACGGGGATGCTGAGATAGTTGGCCTCCAGCGCTGTGTATCCCATGCCCCTGAGCAGCGTGGGGAGAAAAGTACCAAAGCCAAAAAGGGCGATGGAGGAGCAGAACAGGGCGGCAGACGCGAGGTACAGAAAGGGGTCCTTTAAAGCCATGGCCACTTGGGACACATCCAGTGACGCCGTCTCCTTATAGGGGTGGTTTCGCTCCTTGATGCGCATGACGATGCGCTTCTCCTCTTCATTGAGGAACCAAGCCGTCTCGGGCGAGGCCGGAAGGCTGACCCAACACACGAGCCCCAGGACCAGAGATATGACACCTTCCACAATAAAGAGCCAGCGCCAGGCGGAAAGCCCGTGCCGCGACCCCATGGATTGGATGCCATAGGCGAACAGCCCGCCGAGAGCCCCAGACAGCGCTATGGTGATGTACAGCACGGCAACCCGCTTGGCCTGGGATCGGGCGGGGTAGATCTGCGAGATGGTGAACGTGAGGGCCGGGAAGAGTCCTGCTTCGAAGAAGCCGAGCATGACGCGCACGGCAATGGTCTGGCCGTAGCTGTGGACGAAGCCCGTTCCTATGGTGATGGCGCTCCAGGCGACGACGGCGAGGGCGAGGACACGACCAGGGCCCCACGTCTTAACGGCGATCACCCACGGTGTCTCGAAGAGGACGTAGGGGATGTAGAAGTACATGGAGATGTTGTTGAAGTCGGTCCCGCGCATGCCCGTGTCCTCCTCGAAGCCGAAAACGCGGGCGTTGCCAATGTTGGTGCGGTCGAGATAGCCGAGAAGGACGAGCAGGGCCATCTGCGGCATGACGAACTTGTCGAACTTGGACAGCACATTGTTCTGCTCTTTCTCATCCGCCAAGGTCGTGGTGGTGGCCTCGTTCAGGCTGATGTCGTCGTTGGGACGAGTTTGTAACTCCGGGTCCTTGTCTGAGGTGAGCATCTTGTTCAACAGCGCTTCTGGCTTTCGTTATGGGCAGGTGAGAGCTCAGACTTACCTTTGTAAGTGCTGAGTCTACCATTTAAGAGCCCAGGTGATGGCCGCCTGCTGCGGCATTACATGTACACTTTCCTGCCTACCGCCGACATGGTGGTCGAAGGATCAAAGCTCCGCCATAAACAATGGCAGACCGATAGAGGTCAACTTCGTCATTGGCCGTCTTGATCAGGATCACCATCCTCGCTTCTGTTTTGAGGCTCCTACGACGATAAAGATGCAGTGTTCCCCGCATGTAAGCTGTCTTGCTGCAGCTGGGTGGAACCCCTGATAGTACATATATGGCCATCGTCGGCGGACGAGATCCGACGCCGGACTCTGAGATGATCGACTGGCCGTCTGCCGGCAGACAAGTCGGCTGGGATAGATCCGAGGGGCGGGCTGGTTTCCCAGATAGGATTGTAGCAAAGAACGTCCGGTCTCGCTCTCAACGCCCGCTTACCCCAACCTACTCTATATGTACTCTCGTGGAGTTGGGGTCAACCTTTCCATCATCAAGAACATCATTCAGCTCGTTGTCTTTTGACTGAACCGCTTCGCAGGTCTCACCATGGGTTCTCTGACGAGTTCATCAAGTCTCACAATCAACCAGGAGAAGCTGGCCAGCTCTCTGCACGAGAGCTGCCAGTTCGGTGCCGCTCATCGATGGGGCAAGTGAGTTTGACTTCCAGGACAGTCGTGCAAAGCTGACGCCCCCCGCTAGAAGCACCGAAGAAACGGGCATGGCCCGTCTGGCTCTGGACGACACGGACAAGCAGGTCAGGGACTGGCTGATGGAGCAAGCCAAGACTCTCGGCCTCAAGGCCTTTGTCGACGAGATGGGCAACCAGTTCATCGTGCGACCTGGAAAGCACAGTGATATGCCACCCGTCATGATGGGCTCCCATCTCGACACGCAGCCTACTGGCGGGCGGTACGATGGTATCCTGGGTGTCATTTCCGGTCTCGAAGCTCTGCGCACACTTGTGGATAGTGGCTACGAAACAGAAGGCCCAATTGGTCTGGTAAACTGGACAAAGTAGGTGATCATCCTTGCAGTACATGCTATGTTTTCCTCGTTAAACACTGACCAAGAACCCAACAGCGAAGAAGGTGCCCGCTTCCCCAAGATGGCCGTGTCCTCCGGCGTCTGGGCTGAAGCCGTGCCACTGCAAACAGCTTGGGATCTCCGTGAGGTCCTCGCCAAGGACGGCGCGCCCAAGTCCATGAAGGAGGAGCTCGATCGCATCGGCTACTGCGGTGAGCACAAGGCCTCGTACAAGTCCAACCCCTTTGCCGCGCACTTTGAGCTCCACATTGAGCAAGGGCCTATCCTCGAGGACGAGAAGCTGAAAATCGGCGTTGTCAAAGGCAAGTCTTGTCTTTCTGCTACTGCGGTACCCCCCTGACTAACTTGACAGGCGTCCAAGCGTTCAAGTGGTTCAACATCACCGTCAAGGGGCGCGACAGCCACGCAGGCACGACACCTCTTTACGCCCGCAAGGATCCTGTCCTGGCCGCCTGCAAGCTTGTCGCTGCCGCCAATTTCATTGCGCATGAATTCCAGGGTCTTGCGACGACGGGGATCTTCACCACAGACCCCGGCACCGTCAACACCATGGCCCACACGGCGACGTTTACTCTCGACTTGCGCCATGTCCAAGACGAGGTCCTGGCCGAGATGGTGAAGGCGTGTGAGACCGAGTTCCAGCGCATCTGCAAGGATGATAGTGAGCAGGGTTGCGAGGTGCAGTGGGAGCTGCTCGTGGACAGTCCTGCCGTCGAGTTTCACAGCGACTGCATCGCCGCTGTGGAAGCGAGCGCGGCGGACGTCTGCTCCTCACTGCCGGAAGCGCAAGGGGGAAAGCAGCTGTGGAAGTATATGATTAGTGGTGCCGGGCACGACAGCTGCTACACCAATATGCGGGTGCCTACGAGCATGATCTTCACCCCGACCAGGTCAGGCATTAGCCATAACCCTACCGAGTACTGCTCGCCGGAAGACTGGTAAGTTTGAGCGAGATTGCATGCGTTGTCGTCGCTGACCATCGACAGTGCCTTGGGAGCCAACGTATTACTTGGTGCTGTACTTCGATATGACAAGCAGCGAGCCAAGCCGAGTTCCTAGTAATGTAAATACACACACGTTTAGAAGCATACGAAATGCCACGACTTTGTCCCCATTGACGAAGCAAGTATAAACACAAAACGCCAAGCCCTGATGATAACCTCGGGTCGTCCAATTCCCATCTACACCGCATCCCCTCACGAAGCAGACACCTTGCGCACCAGGTTGCTCGGCACAAAGGGCATCTTGGTCACGACGCCCTTCCTCTTCTTGCCCCGGACCACAACGTCCACCTCGGTCCCGGACTTGTGCTGGCCATCCTTCACGTAGCCCATGGCAATGTTCTTGCCCAGCGTCGGGCTGGGGCATCCGCTCGTAATGACACCAATCTTCTCGCCATTAGCCTGAATCTCGGCGCCCTCGCGCGCAGGCGCGCCCTCGACGACGAGACCGATGCGGCGACGCTGCACGCCAGCACCACCCTTGGAGCGAGGCGTGAGCTGGGGAATGATCACCTCGGCGCCGTGGAAGCCGCCCGCCTTGCGACGCTCAGGCGGGATGATCCAGCCCAGGGCGGCCTCGGGAGGTGTCGTGGTGTCGTCCAAGTCGTGTCCGTACAGACACATACCAGCCTCGAGACGCAGCGAGTCACGAGCGCCCAGACCGGCCAGTGCCAATCTCTCGGGACCAGCAGCGTCGAGCATGGCCTCGGCGATGGAGGGCGTCGTCTCGAGAGCAGGGTACTTGTCGCCCTGCAGGGAGATCTCGAAGCCATCCTCGCCCGTGTACCCGGCACGGCTGATGAGCACGGGGTGCGAGGCGCCCCCGTCCTTGAGCTTGAGCTGCGCCCAGAACGACTGGCCAAAGTAGATCTTGCTGAGATCGATATCCGAGGCGAGGACCTCTTGCAGGATCTCCAGGCTCTTGGGGCCCTGGAGCGCCACGAGTCCCGAGTTCTCCATCCGCGTCCACTGCACGTCACCCCCAAACTTGCCAAGCTCCTCGTCGAGGTACTTGTTGTCCTTGTCGTAGCAGGCGCCGTTGGTGACGACGTAGTACTCGTCCTCGCCCACTCTCGTGATCACTGAGTCGTCCACGATGCCACCGGTCCCAGGCCAGAGGAAGGTGGTCAGTTTGCCCTGCATGGCCTCCATGCCGCTCCACGCGCTGGGCGTCACCTTCTCGAGAAAGGCAGCGGCAGCGGGTCCCTTGAGGGTGTGCTGCACCATGTGGCTGACGTCGAACAGCGAGGCGCTGTTGCGTGTGAAGATGTGCGACTGCGCCAGCGGGGTCGAGGCGTACTGCACGGGCATGTGGTACCCGGCAAAGGGGACCATCTTGCCCCCACGCGCGACGTGGAAGTCGTAGAGCGGTGTCTTCTTGAGCTCACCACCTGGGGCGAGCTCGGAGCCATGCCGTAGGGTGGTCTTCGAGGTGAGCTGCTTGGGAGAGCATAGCGTTGCTCGGGGACGGGCAGAGGCCAGGGCGCCCGGTAGGCGGGTTGCTGCGCGGAAAGACATGGCAGCTCAAAGACTGAATGAATGAAATTTTATTGAAGATCTGGGTGTAAATGGTGAGGGAAGCTCTCACTCTCTCTGATAAGAGCGACATGGAGGTTGACGCAACAAGGTCCAGCCACCTCCACCAATCACAGTGGCCAATCGCAGCGGGTGGAGCACGGCTACCACCGGATCAGCTCCGACGATGCCAACTCTCGACTCGGCGTCTATCCGAAGGTCATTCGATGGGTTGGTGAGTAACTGCCTACGTGGTATTAAGTATTGAAGCAATGTCTCTCGAGCTTGGATGGCGTGATCATTAGAATAGATGCAAGCGGTGGCTCATGATCAGGGGTTCTCGAATTGTGACGGCTCTACTTCGAGATCTCCCCGGGTACGACTGCGAGGCAGTACTCCTTACAACAAAACAAAAGGGGTCTATAACAACGGTATAGCGCACCTACACCTCCGGCCACCAGGAGTTAGATGGACATCTCCTCAAACGAGTACTTGAGCCATCCACCCAAGGCCCTCAGACTCTCCCAGCGGACGTTCTCGTCCTCTGACTGCATGAGCTCCATGATCCTCCTCTTCAACCCAACCTTCTCCAGCTGGTGCCGCTTCTCGGGTACCTCCTTGACCAGGTTCCCGACATCGCTGCACGCAATCGCCAGGACCTGCTTGTCATTGTCCCACGACTGCTGCATAATCTCGGCCAGTTTGCGAGGAATGACCCCGTTCTCGTAGTCGAGGATCTTGCGTGCATTCTCCGCCCAGAACACGGAGCTGCGGTGGGGCGGCGACCAGCGCAGGTGGCCCGATTGCACCTCCGCGACGTACTCGTCAAACGTGGTCTTGGTCTTTGTGTACTCGTCCAGCATCTCCTTCAGGGCCTCGAGGTCCTCCAGCAGGTCCGGGTCGGTCAGATGGCGGCTGGCCAGGTTCTCCAGGGTGCTGGGCAGTCTGGCGAGCACGGCTGTGGGGAGGAGTGACTTTTGGTTCTTCTCGAGCAGGTTGTACAGTGTGGACACGATGAGGCGCGTGGTCTTCTCCTTGGGCGAAAGGCGCAGTAATTGTGTGTAGAGGATGATCATATCATACTCGCTATGTCATGTTAGCAAAAGGGTGCGAAACTTCTCGACAGGCACTCACTCATCCAGCTCGTCGCCAATCTCCGCCGCCTCAAAGCTCATCTGCCAGACCACGAGAAGGACATGGTACAGCAGCTGCAGACCAACACCTCCACCCAATGAGCCCTCGAACCCGGTGCTGCGCACGCTGGCGTTGCCACTCCAGAGGCTGGCGGACGAGTTGCCGTTGTTACCAACGCCCGCGGCGGTCTGTAGGATCTTGATCAGCGGCGTGATGGTCTCGCTGCGGTGGTCCCAGAACTGATGGCGAGAGACGGGGCCGAAGAGCAGCGAAGAGTACTCCAGCACCGCGATATCTTGCAGTCCCGCGTCCGTGCTCTTGGCTAGACTGCTGAGGTAGCTGAGCATCATCGGGAGGGCCTGGTGTGTGGCTTGCGACTCGTCGCGGGCAGTCGCCATTAGGCTAGCGAGGGCGTGTGCGGTCAGGAGCGGGATGGCGTCTTCGGTATTGTTGGATTTGAGGAGAGGCAAAAAGTGGCGGTAAGGGTCTGTGTTATCCTTGAAGAGAGCTTTGGCGAGCGACGGGACGTCTGATAAGGAGGAGTGTCAGCGTCTGGACATTGGGCCTTGAGGCTCGGGGGGCATTGAAATGCGCTCCTGCAGCAGAAATCCTAGGGGAGCACTTACCGTCGAGAAGATCTGAGAGAAGGACGAGGATGTATTGGATGACGTTCGCATGCTGAGCAGCCGATTCGATCACGCTGGGTTTGCCCGCGCCGCCCACAAAGAGCAGTCGGTATCCGTCAAGGTCACCTTGGACAATCTCCTTTCTCTGCTCTGGCTTCTTAGCCTTGTCCACAGCCCGGATCTTGCTATAGTGGTCTTCGCTCAGGGTGCCCGCGCGGACGGCGCCATCCCATGGAATAGGCCTCTGGCGAATGTTGCTCTGGAGCGACGCCAGGTATGTCGGAGGGTCGAGCGACATGATGGCGAAGACGGCGCCGCTGCTGTAGACGCTGCGGATGAGGAGGAGTGGAGGTCGTCGTCGTGTGTCGTCGCTGGGATGTCAATGATGGAGCGAAGGGCTAGAGGCTGGAGCTCAGGCTGGCGGCCGAACGGGGTCGAGGCAGGTCAGTGATGCAGCGTCACCAGGCGTCTGAGCTCCCTCCACTTGGCTCGGGCGCTTCAAAGGTGTGGCTGATTATGCACCAGCCACATGCATGAGCCACATGAGCCGGAGCGGCTGCTGACATAAGGAAAGCGGGGCGGGACAGTCCGAGCCCGACAAGCTTGGACCATGTGCCACACCTCAAGCTGGTGACACTTACCAGCCACTCAATTAATTTGGCTTCAGATCCAACGTTAATCTTCAGCAGAGGCTGCCAGATTGGACCCTTTGTTTCAAGTCAGATCCGCTGCAGGTACGCGCAATCGTCAGGTTTTCATCGTGAAAAGAAACCGCATTCTGCCACATCTCATATGTTGTCAATGCGTGCTTAAAGACGAGTGATGAGGATTCGTTATCGATAGCGTCTGCCCCCCGCGAGGCCCGCGGCGGGCCGAAACTTTGCTGCGACTGGCGACTGGCGGGTGCGTTGGCAAGCCTCGCATTGAATCTGGAAATTCGATGATGTCGACAATCATGTCCAAGAGTCTGCGTCAATGCCCATTGCCCACGAAGATTTCTCGTGATAGTCTGTTGTTCATTTCAATTGTATCCGCTCCACCTCTGCAACGACACCGAACGTCGTCACAAATTAGCCGGCAGTAATGGCGAGGTTGGGCTGCGTGAGGCGGTCCGTCGAGTTGAGGTGTAAGTGAGATGGATGAAAGTGGGAGGCTGGGAGTCTGGGACCAAGGCACACCACACTCTCCATCACGCTTCCCAACCATCTAATTAATAAAAGTCTTGTCACCGGTGCCTCGCGCCTCGTGCCTTTCCATTCCTCTTTTCATTCCTCACCTGCGAGACTCCTTGGACGTATTGCTCTTGCTGCTCCCATCACATCACTTTGCAACCGACGACGAGTCGACGACACGCATCATTGAGAAAGCCAGCACAACACAACCCCACTGATCGGGTACCTCAGCATAATTGCAGAACCAGCGCGGAAAGACACTGCCAAGCCGATTACGGCGTCGAGCACCGCTTGGTGACTCTTCCGAGGGTTTCTGGTCGCCTTGCGATTTTCGAGCTCACCGCTCCCTCCCGTCTTCCCGCATTCCTCACGACCCGAGACAACTCTCCGCGACAGCGATCAATTCCAAGGTCAACCCGCACAATGCGTTCGCCCGCCCCAATAAAGCGGTCTCTACCGCTGTGTGCGCTCCTTCTGAGCGCCGCGCACCTCACAACCGCCACGCCGTACCCACGCGACAGCCTGCACGATGCGGGCTACTCATACCTGATGAACTACGACTGCGAGTCTTACTGTGGCTCTAACAATCAGCTCTGCTGCCAGAAGGGTGCGGTGTGCGAGACCCCCGAGGGCGCCGGCCCAACATGCATCATGGACCACGAGAAGCGAGGTGAAGAATGGGGCGCCATCACGACGACCTGGACCGAGACGAGGACCTTCACCAGCACCATCATGACCCACTGGCTGCCCGCGCCGGAACCGACAGCGGGCGTCTCCTGCACACCCCAGGCCCCGGAGCAGGAGGCTTGTGGCGAGATCTGCTGCGCTGGGTGGCAGACGTGTGCGTACGAAGGTCAATGCTCGTCGAAACCTGGCTACCAAGAACCCACGGCCATCATCGTCACCTCGGACGGCAAGACCACGACGCAGTACTCCGCGCCCTACCGCATCACCGGCACCACGACCATTGTCAACGGTGGGGGCCAGGCGACGGCCACAGCCACGGCCACAGAGACCGCGTCCGAGACGGAAACCAGTGACGGCGTGCCTACCGAGACTAGTGACAGCGGTAACATCGGCGCCGGGAGTGGCAGTGGCGACGGCGGTCTCAGCGCAGGCGCCATTGCCGGCATTGTCATTGGCTCCATCGCCGGCGCCATGCTTCTCCTCCTCCTCGCCTTCTGCTGCATTGCCCGCGGCCTCTGGAAGGCATGCTTCGGACGGAAGCGCAAGGAAACCGTCGACGTCTACGAAGAGCGCTATTCGCGTCGTGGAAGCCGCCCGCCCCCACCACATGCCGGACGCAACTCGCACGGCGGGTGGTTTGGACGATTTGGCGGCGGTGGTCGCGGTGATGCCAGCGAGAAGAAGTCAGGCGGTGGCAAGTGGCTTGGTCTCGCCGGTCTTGCGGCCGGCCTGCTCGCGCTCCTCAACATGAAGAAGGATAAGAAGCCCGTTCGCCGCCCTGCTTCGCGGTACAGCGGCTCTTACTACTCGTACTCAGATACTAGTCGTGGCGCTGGTAAGTGACTCCCTCCCAAAGCTGGTGACAAGCAATGCTAACGACATAACAGGGTCCTCTAGTTCGGGCCGCAGAACACAGCGCAGTCGTCGCACGGGAGGTGGGAGCAGAGGACCGCCCAAGTCCTACTATAGTGAGAGCAGGGACTCGCGTTCTCGCTCTCGCCTATAGAGTGGTGTGGCGGCTTGACTTTTGCATTGCTCTGTTTATTTTTCTTTGCACATTTTGTCTATTGCAACATTGAATCAACGAGGTCAACGATTACGACATGGCTCTCAACGATTCGCTCTGAACATTCTTACGACACAAAGGCACTGGCGTTTCAGGGAGAACAATTTCATGTGGCCAGCCAACCATAATGTGCTTGGCTTGTTCCTGTTAGATGAGACAAGGGTTTGAGGATTCGACTGATATTTTGGCGATGGTACTCGAGGAGGTAACGTTTTGCTATGAGGGGGATTCCCACACGATAGAGATGAGGCAACTGCACATATTTGATAATGCAGACAACGATTACGCACATCTTACCGAATTCCTGACAACAGTGAATCCTTCCTGATTTCAATAATAACAATAAAATCCCGCTTCTTATTTGTGTTACAACCAACTTTTGCTTGTCTGGCAACTCTTTATAAATAAAAACTCGGGCCATCCCCATAGACTGCAGGGTAGGCTCAAGCTGGAGAAGCGCGTTGCATGCTGCCCCAAGCTCATGCGAGAATGTGCAGCGTGCTACGTACGTCTTCACAACACTACTCACGCTCACGATACAAAGCATGGGTTCAATAATTGTCATTATTCGTCTCCCTTCTCCTCCCCAGGCGCTACGAGAGCCGACCAATGTGCACCGCGAGACAGATCACGCCACCGTCCGGGATACAAATATGTAAGGTCAGAGAAAAATCATCTCCTGGCTTTTTGAATTCGTTTTAGTAGCAACCCTTGCTACTGACATGCATTGATGACCCTTCGCCACTCCGAGACCCAGAAACGCAAAAAGAAACAAACATTCCGTCGTTCTCCATGTCTATTCCTCAGTGACGACGTTGCCCTTCTCGGAAACGTACAGACCGTCCAAGAACTAAAAAATAATTGTCAGCATGCACACCCATTACAGCACTACCCCTCTTGGGAAGAAAACCCACCTTTCGGATATCCTTGTTCCTCACACGGCAAGCCTGCTGAATGTCCGCAGCGCTTTGCGAGACGTTCTCGAGCGAGTTGCCGGTCAGGACGAGCTCGTCCTTCTGGTTGGTGGAGATCTCGACATCGACACCCTCCTGCATCATGACCCGGCGGACATACTTCTCGCCAATAAAGTTGCGAATCTCCACCTCGTAGAGACCAGTCTCGGCCTGCTTGTCCAGGTTGACGTTGATGGGAAAATGGGCGTAGACGTAGCGCATCTTGTACTTGAAGCCCTTGGTGACACCGATGATGAGGTTGTTGATGAGGGACTTGACGGTGCGGAGGGCGGCGACGTTCTTGCGGTTGCCGTGGTGGATCTCAATGGAGATGGTGTTCTTGGTGGGCTGGCCGAAGACGACGGCCAAGTGGCCGAGGTCCTTGACGAGCTTTCCTGTGTCCAACATGTCAGAAACTCCGGTTCCCGTCTAGCGTAGCATCCTCGTCCCTCGCGTGGCGGGACGATCGTGGGAGTCGCGCGTACCTCGGGGGCCCTCAACGGTGACGATACGGGTCTTGATGTGCACCTTGACTGTTGGAGAGAAAAAATGTCAGCGGGTCTTGCTTCAGCCGATCATCAATTGCGACAATTCCGTCCATGTGCCGCCTGCCCCGACCAGACGCAAATTTGCAGTTGCTTTGAAATTCTCCCCATGCTCGTAAATTGCAGGTCCTTCGTGGGCAAGTTCGCAACTTCGTCTGGGTCGGGGGTCGGCGGCACGAGTCGATGGAATTGTCGCAAACGGGCGAGAAAGTCGGCACGTACCACCCTCGGGGATGTCAAGAGTCTCCGAACTGTGAATGTATCTCATCCTGGCGGTGTTGGCGGGGGGTTAGTTGTCGGAGGTGGTCGAGGGTATCTTTTGCGGCGGCACGGGGATCACGACGATGAGGTTGGGCGAATTTCGTGTGGGCGAAAAGTTCTAGGGCTGGCATCCACACGTGAGGGCAGAGAGTGTGCAGCCGGGGTTCAGCCGTGGATTTTTTTCTCTGCGGGAGTGGGGTGTCCAGCACGTGACAGAATCCTGCTCCTGCGTCAAGCCACTATGACACCAGCCACACCACGATTCAATCAGCCGAGGGGTATCAGCCCGCGTTGCCCAACGTCCAATTGACTCGGATAGCCTGTCAAACCGAAGTACATGTAAAAAGCTGTATATAGAGCGTAGCTGAATCATAGGATCTTGAGTTGATTGTGTGTATCTACATTTCACACCGTGCACGTCTCACAATACTTGCAGTCACATTGAGTTCGCGGGCTTGAAATGCTGCAGATTGGACAGCAGCAGCACCTGCCTGGCTGCACGTAAGTGGGGAGCTCGGCCGTTCTCCAACTTGTTGCTCTCCGCCTGGAGCTTGAAGGCTGGAGCCACGCGCCCGATACGTCAGCGTTCAACGACGACATAGGCATCACCGCGCAACCGCCCCGACAACTTCACGACCGGCTCTCTGTCGCCACGACATCAATTGGTACTCATTGCTGGATCAGATCCGCCGCAGTCAGTCATCATGTCGTACTTCTTCACGACACCGGTCGACATTGACGTCGTCCTCGAGAACACGGATGACCGGTCCATGGTCGACGTCAAGCTGGACAAGAACAGGCGCGAGAAGGCGCCGCTCTTCATGGACGGCGAGTCGGTCAAGGGCGCAGTCACAGTACGACCAAAGGATGGGAAGCGCTTAGAGCACACGGGCATCAAGGTCCAGTTCATCGGCACCATAGGTACCACAGATTCCCCCGACACCTTGCGCTACACTCGCGCGCATCGCGCATGCATGCTGACCCGACTGCCCTGCACCTAGAGATGTTCTTCGACCGCGGCAATCACTACGAATTCCTCTCCCTCAACCAGGAGCTCGCCGCGCCCGGCGAGCTGCAGCACCCCCAGACCTTTGACTTCAACTTCAAAAACGTCGAGAAGCAGTACGAGTCCTATAACGGCATCAACGTCAAGCTGCGCTACTTTGTCCGCGTCACCGTCTCCCGTCGTATGGCCGACGTGATTCGCGAAAAGGACATTTGGGTGTACAGCTACCGCATCCCTCCCGAGGTCAACAGCTCTATCAAGATGGACGTCGGTATCGAGGACTGTTTGCACATTGAATTTGAGTATTCCAAGAGCAAGTACCATCTGAAGGACGTTATCGTTGGCCGCATCTACTTTTTGCTGGTGCGCCTCAAAATCAAGCACATGGAGCTATCGATCATCCGGCGGGAGACGACGGGCGCCGCGCCAAACCAGTACAATGAGAGCGAGACGCTGGTGCGGTTCGAGATCATGGACGGATCACCGTCCCGAGGCGAGACGATCCCCATCCGGCTGTTCCTTGGTGGCTTCGACCTGACTCCCACGTTCCGGGACGTGAACAAGAAATTCTCCACAAGATACTACTTGAGTCTTGTGCTCATAGACGAGGGTGAGTCTTGCGGGCGGTTTCTGCTGCAACGTGGCAGTGCTAACGTACATAGATGCTCGCCGCTACTTCAAGCAATCAGAGATCATCCTCTACCGCCAATCCCCCGACGCACCCCAGCTGCAAGGCGCAGGCACCCACTCGCTTCCAGAGAACACGGAGAACAAGCTTGCTGCTGTCCAGGCGCCAGCCTGATGGGGCTACCTAGCCTATTGATGAAAGCCACTGGTCCATGTCGACCGGTGTTTCTGTTTTGAGCTTCTTTATTCAGCATAGGGTACTGGCGTCACGGAGGGATATTATATACTGGAAAGCAGATAGCCGTTCTTACACTTGTAGTAGCCCGTGGAAAAGAGCGTTTCAAGTGTCGTGAATCGATCCCCAATTTGTGTGTGACCTGTTGTCCATTCCGAAAGGTATCTAAACCCGCCTAAGCTACAATATGACAATCCCATACATCCGATGCTCTATGCGTTACAGCACTCTCCATTCATGAGAGCTCCATCACGTCGTCCTCTGCAAATTCAAATTGGTTGTTCTGGATGGAGGCGATCCGGTCCAGCTCGTCCTGATATTGCTTGCGAATGTCGGCCAGGGACACCACCGTCCTCTTGGCGGGCAGACCCGCAGCAGTGCCTTCCGATACCCCCTCGTCGTACACCCAGGCTTCCTTTGCCTCGACACAGCTCAGAGCGTTGATCAAGAGCAGGTACTGCTTTGTGACAGGTGTGTCGAGCACGTCGTCCCCAGTGATCTTGTCGCCCTCTCCGGCAATCTTGAGCTTCTGTATGCGGTCCAACAACACAGACGCAGCACCACGGAAGTTTCCGTGTCGTATCCGCCACGAGTAGAGTACTTGGTGGTAGGGGAACCCGTCTAAGACGTCGAACGAGGTCTGGCACCGCTGCGTGAGGATATCATCGACATCCTGCTGCATGGCGGGGAATGAAAGTGCCACAAGCTCATTGCTGTGGCCTGTTTGGCACATACGGTCGACAAGCTTTCGTAGGTTGGAATATCTCATAGCACCATCCTGCAGCGAGAGCAGAGTCGTATGCGCGAGCTGGAATTGCGAAGTGGCCACCGCGGCGTTGAACAAGCGGCTCAGCATGTCTGTCCTTGTCAAATCGTTCTCGGATTCTTTGCCGAGAAATTGGACAGCTAGGCGGGCAAAGTCCACGACGTAGGAGTAAGCCCTCTGCTGCTCGTACAGGGCAACAACGTGTGAATAGTATTTGCCCGGTCCGTTGTTGAAAAGTTTCCAGTCCGTCTCGTTCAATAGCCCGACGCTTTGGCGGGAGAGTTTGTGCTTGGTAGAACCTGGCATCATTAGTCCTCGTGTCTAATCCGAGAAAATTCACAACTTACTCAGCCCAATAGCTGCTTTCCTGAATTGCGTGGCTGCGGCGTTGAAGTCCTGCAGGGCAAAGAACACGCGTCCCTGCACATACACGGAGAAAGGTTCGTAGTCGCAGAAGGGTGCCGTCTCCAGAGCCAAATCCGCCCTTTGGTGGCGCAAGAAGTTGCACTGGATGAGTGTCGGGGGGATGTCGATCTCGCTATCAATGGCACACATATCCGCCACTAGGTCGGTCAGATTGGCGGCGAGTGACCCCTTCTTCACCAAGCGAAAGTCGAAGAGCTGGCCTACGTTCGCTTCCAAGGCCGTCACGACAGGAGGCTCCTCTGCGCTCCTCTTTGACGACGCACCGGACATGCCCTTGTCCTTGATCTCGGGCACGCTTAGATCGGTGCGTCCAAGCCACCTAAGAAGCTCCAGGCGCCTGAGGGCAATCAACAGACGTCGGTAGAACTGCCCGACGGCTATGCGGTTATGCAGTGCATCCTCCTCGTTGTCGAACTCGAACTCCATGTGGACAAGCAGAATCAGTTGGCTGAAGCAGACCCTCCAGTACAGCTCAACGCTGTACTCTACGCCTTTGAGCGCCAACTTGTGTCCAAACTCGCTCAAGGGCACTTGGGCTCGCTTGTGTGAGTCACTGGGCGTTCTGATCAAGTCCAAAACTTCCCCACACAGCTCCTCGGTGACGATCTTGAAATTGTCTCCCAGCGCATCCACAACCTGGGCACAGTCATCGTCGGTGACGCCTCGCCAGAACCCTGACTTGTCTGAGAAATACTGAATCCTTTCCAAGTCAGTTCTGGACGATTCCTCAAAGAGCTCTGAGCGCAAGGCAGCCTCTGACAGCTGGACAAAGTTGTCAGAAAAGCCGTCAACAAATGACAGCCCTGCGTTGATGAGTGCTGTCAGGTCTTCCTGCCCCTCCTCAGGTGTCCCGGCATTGTAATACAACCTCTCCAATGCACTGCAATCGTGGACCACTGAGACAAGATCGGCACACACCACCCAAGCCGTGTCCAGTTCGTGATCGACAGACAAGCTGATGGCCTCGCCTCGTTGTCTGTCGAGCTCCACCAGGAGTCTGTAGAACCGCCGCCATTGTGTTTCGTTGGACGATCGGAATTGCTCGTAGTCAATGGATCCTGAAGGGCCCCTTTCCAAAGACGCTGTCGAGCCTAGAACTGTGCAAATGGCCTCTGCAATGCCCCTGCCTTTGATGTTCTCCTTTGACGTTCCCAGACCGTGCTCGTAGATTGCCAGAGCGGTGTTGAGGGTCGCCTTGGTGAATGCTCCTGGCTGGAGGATGGTACTCAACCACTTTTCGGTGACATCAGTTGGATCATTCGGCCCAGACGAAGCCGGTGGCCACGCGCTTGTGTCCAGAAACACCCCTTCCCAGCTCTCCTCCCACGAACGTGCCATGTTTTTCCTATCGAGTGGCAGTCGCTGCACCTTGTACGTCATGTTGTTCTTCCAGAGCGTCCACAAGTTCATGATGCCCTCGGCAGGCGAGGACAAGACGAAGTCAGCCAGCGTCCACACGTCCGAGGACGGCAGGACAGGCACAAGGCTGGCGTCGGGGAAAAGGTCGACGATGTCCACGCTGTGGGTTCCCTTTGCAACAATCTTCCAGAACTTGAACTCTCCTGCCCCGATGGGTGAGTAGGTGGCGCATATCCTCTGGCCCCGGGTGCGGCCAACGATTTGAACGAGGTTGGATTGCGCAGGGTCAATGACGAATTTTCCCACATCCTGAGGCTCGCGGTCTACATCGAGGATGTCGCCGGTATGCAGAATCTGGCCGTCGCCGACGTTCCAGATGCGCAGTCGATGGTCGAGACAAACAGTCACTGCGTATAGACAGTCTTCGACACCCAGCGATGTGACTTTCAGAGCGGTTGCTGCGCTGTACTCCATGTTGACCTTGCCGTGTCGAATGGTGTGCTTGCCTTGGAACGGGAGAAGACTCCTCAGATTCTGTTTCCAGCCCTGTACGTTGAAGAACGACTCCCTCCACAAGGGCCCAGCAGCTGCTCTTTGTCAGTTTGCGATCTTCTCCCGCCGCAGGTTCTGTAGTGCTCACCAGAATCAGATATAGACCGGTCAAAGCGGATCATGCCTCCATCATTCACTGTGACTAGTAGCATATTCGAATTGACGGCCACCATGCGATGAGGGTACTTGGTCGACAGCCCTGTAGGTGCCTGGCGCTTCGCGACATCCCCCAACGCAGCGTCAACAGCCGTCCGCCGCCGCAAAGTGTCAGGCCTCAACGTCAGAGTCCACAACACCCGCGCCTCATCAATGACAAAGATACAAAGCGCATCGTGCTCTTTCGGATCGGCAAGCACCACACAGTTCGGTAGAATCGGCGTCGCGAAATTGAAGTTCAGGACCAGTGGCGCATCGGGCGTATTCTTGTCCCGCCGCGCAACATCAACAACCCGAATGCTCAGCGTGGTTCCGTCATCTAGGATGCGCCACAAGAAGCTGCGTGGCGAGTCATGATGTTTTCTGTGATAGATTGACGAGGCACTCGCAAGGTTCCTGGCTCGAAAAGTCGACTCGTCTTCGGTCGTGGCCCTCGTGGGCTTGTGGTTCGCAGGGACGCAGACGCTGACAACAGATGCGGCGGAGGGAGGCTCGAGGTTTAGACGGGTCTCTTTGAAGAGATACTGTGTCTCGCCTGTGTCCATTGCGCCTCCATGTAGCGAGGGGACAATTGCGTCGAGAAAGGGCGAGAAGATGGGAAGTGGAGTGCGTGAAGGCGTGAGTTGATGTTTTGCGGTCGCGTTGGATGTCAATGGCGGCAGAATTTAGACCAAACCGCGCTCCAAACGGCACGCTAGCCCAATATGGCAATCAGCTAAACTTCAACTTTCGAGTTGTAGCCTCTCAACATTTGTCCGCAACACATGGTTGCATTTCTTATATCGATCCTTGAGATATCAATATCGGGAAGAAATTTTCACGATCAATGTCAAAGCGATGTATTTTGCGAATTATCGGTCCCAGAGAAAACACCCTACACATAACGCCGCAAGCCATGCAGTACCAACACCATGTCATCAACCCTTCATTACATCGGAGACAACGAAACATGATCACTGGCTCAGTCCTTCTCCACATCCTTGGGGGCAGGGTCCGTAATGCCCTCTTCGCTGATTGCGAATAATGTGTCAGCCTCAGGAAGGCAGGGACTGTCGTAAATCTTCGCAATGCGGGTCTCACCACGTCCCTTCTTCAGACTGATTCGGGTAGTACTGGCGTGGGCGATAATGTTGCCTCCAATTGGTTTCTTCGGATCAGGGTTGAACATTGCACTCGGTCCACCGTCGACTTGAGCAACGACCTGATTAGTGATGACGACAGCGATGCCAAACTCGTCCGCCAGGCGCTGCAACGTACGCATGAACTTGGCAAGATGAGTTTGGCGATTCGAGAGTTCACCTCGGCCGCAAAAGTCGGTCCTGTACAGTGATGTGGCACTGTCGACAATGAGGAGAGAGAATCGCGTCTCGCACATCATGGCCGATGCCTGGTTGAGGAGCTGGAGCTGATGATCCGAGTTGTAAGCACGAGCGTAGGCAACATTGTCGAGGACTTCTTCTCCGGACAACCCAAACCGATTGGCCACAGCCAACATACGGACAGGTCGGAACGTGCCCTCAGTATCAATGTAGAGGCATTTCCCCTCGCCGCCGCCCATGTCAAATGGCAATTGGCAAGTGACCGCGAGGGTATGGCAAATCTGACTCTTCCCCGTTCTGAACTCGCCAAATAGCTCGGTCACGGAGCCGGTCTCGATACCACCAGCAAGAAGCGTGTCTAAGTTCTTCGACCCTGTAGTGATGGAAATGAGCACACTTCGACGCTGGTGCATCTCGGTAGCCGTGGTGAAGCCCATTGGGACCAGTTTGGAGGCTGTTTATAGTCAGCGTCCGATCGTGCATTGAATTGAGGTGCTTTACCTTCTCCAAGAATCTTGGCAGCCTTTTGCTCCGAAATGCCTTTGATCTGCTCAAGCGTTCGTCGTGGTGTGTAAGCAACCGACTCCACAGTGTTGAAGCCACCATCGACCACAAGCTGGATGTCACGTTTGGTGAGACCAGCGACTCCCTGAAATCAAACACGTTAGCACAAGTTGGGATTCCTGACAATGGGCGCTGTTTACCTCGAGGGCCGAGAGTGGCGTGGGCGCGCCGGGGCCGTCCATGGCTTCCTCACCGGCCTGAGCCTCATCATATTCTTGGCTCATTGCGACGGATCGAAATACCTGCGTAATGGGAGAGTGTGTTCAACGTGATTCAACAGATTCAAGGTGAGTGATGTGAACGAGGGGTGAGGAGTCAAGATGGAAGCCTGGAAAGTCCTGGTGCTGACAGTCGCGTGGACGCGCCGTGGGGCAAGAGCTATCGCCACACGTCAACGCCAACTCACGTGACATCAATAACCAAGGCAACCGGCGTATCCATCATCATCATCAATGGAAGACGTGAACAAGTCAAAGTTGAGAGCTGGATACTAATTTGATATTTATATGAATTCAAATCCTCTAGGTACTTAACGGTCATCACATGGGCAATGCAAAATTATATGAAGTTATTGAAGTTCTTGAATTGGTGTACAGAGCTAGCTAGTATTGTAGGAGTAAAGTGTGCCTGCGAAGACGACAGATCCCATTAGTGTCTTGCTGACCAACGCCCAAACTCAGAATCCGGCCGAAAAGAGAGTGTTTCGCAGTAACGCCTCGCAATGCTGATGAGTGTGTGTGTTCTTGGATGAAAATGTTGCACTTGTCGATTCTCGCGCCGCCCCTTTACTGGATAGCAATTCGGCGCGCCTCGTGCTTCTTGGCCTTGGGCACCGTGATGTTCAGGATGCCGTCGCTGAGGTTAGCAGTGACGCCGTCCTGGTCCACGCGCGCGGGGAAGTTGAAGGTGCGCGAGAACTCGCCAATGCTGCGCTCAGAGAGCCAGTACTTGGCGCGGTCCGGCTGGGGCGCGGCCGACTTCTGGACAGCCTGGGACTCGCCGCTGTGGCCCGCATCAGTCTTGTCGACGGAAGTGAAGCCTTCCTCCTCCTGCCCAGCGTCCTCGACAGTGGCCTTGTGTGACTTGGGCGACTCGGTACCGCTGGAGATGGTCTTCTGGTTGGGCTTGTTCTCCACGGCGTGTGTGCCAGTGGGCGAGGTGCCGGCAGTGTAGGTGCGCTCAACCTTGCCGCGGATGAGCATGTTCTGGGGGTCTGTAAACTCGATGTTGACATTCTCCTTGGTCATGCCGGGGAGTTCGCCGTGGAGCTCGTATGTCTCAGCAGTCTCGCGAATGTCAAACTTGGGCGCGAAGGGAGCGAGCTGAGAGCGAGGGCGAGAAGGGTGGGTGCCATCGTTGGCGTTCTGACGGCTGTAGCTGTCAAAGTCGTCAAGGAGGCGGAAGAGAGGAGTGAAGGAGGAGTCGTTGGAGGTGGTGTAGAAGTTGCGTGGGAAGAAGGCCATTGTGCTGGTTGTTGGTTTGAGTGGTTGTTTTAGTGAGGAGTGTAGTTGTTGAGTGGCGTTCAAGAGTGGTCGCAGAAGTTGTTCTGAAGGCTTGTTGTACTTGTGACTGTTGTTCTGGAGAGAAAAGAAGATCGGGTTGTGAGGGCTCGCTGCGTTGCTATATACTTGAAGCCATCGCCAGCCGTAGCAGCTGGAAACCGCAGGAAGAATCCATGATTGTCATCTGAACTACACCAAATTTACTGTGGTATCATCTAGAAGTTACGAGCACGCACCAAAGATTCGGGTCATCTGACAATTTGTTTGGCATGTTGCGCTGAGCGAGCATCGCCAACCTGCTGCGCGACCAGAATGTGGTGGAACATTCTGGCACCCCCTCGGAAACTCACAGCTGCAGCGCTTTGGGCACTTGCGCAAAGCACTCGTTCTGTAATGACCAGGTAGGAGAAACGACTAGAATTACGTTCTATGAGAGCATTCGGCTGGCTCTTGAACATTTCGGCGCAATTGATGCAACGACAACGCTCTCAGCGCGCTCGCGGAGTCGCGCAGGCAAAAGTTGGCATGCAGAGGTGGAAGATACACTAGACCGAAAGTAGTTCGTGATCCAGCAGCCCATCAAATCAGCGATGTACAGCCCCATTACGGATACCTGGTAAATTGCCTTACATAATCACCTCTAACAGATAAATGCTTTGACATGAAATACATCATTAATCAGCAATACTTCTATCGATCTCGGTAGGCTACATGAAGGGTAGGTCTAGACCAACCGGGTAGTCTCAAGGACCCCATGCTGTGCCAGTCCTTTGGGTTATCCCCGGACACTGACCGCCCCTGTTCACCGTATGGTGTACACGTAACAAATTTCTGACCGTGAACAAGCTACAGTAATAATAAATGACGTGAGTGCACTGATGATTGCACAGTAAGGCTGTATCACTTTCTGCTTTTTTTTTTTAATTTGATATATCGGCTGCTATCCCCACAAGGCGCTTGCAGCTACATCATATAATCGCGCGATCCAGACGTATGACGACACTGACGTCCACCTGCAGAGTCGTGCTCGTCAGTCGACGGACACCGTGAGCTGTACGTAGTGGGATCATTCCATGTCGCCTGTTCCCGGCAATCGCACGTAATGAGACTTTGACCTCGCTGCGGTAGGCGCGGCGACGACGATACGCAGTGCGACACGCAGTTGACGAAACCTAGACTGTTCCACATCAAGTCCCGTACACTCCCAAGGCCTTCACCAATGTGCGTCATATGCGACATAGCACACGCCTCCTTTGGAGGACCATGACACCATCATCGTCATTCCGTCGCGACGAGATGAGATTCAACAACATCTCGATGCCAATGTCAGCGGTCTCCGGTGAGGTAAGTTTGCAGACTCCGCGAACAACCAGGCCGGTTCATCTCTCGCAGACGGAATGCCGCCGATTGCGGTCACCGACTCGACAGCCTCTGTTTCTGACGCCGTGCGGCTAGACGTCCGAAGAGACAAAGATGAAAGTCGTAAATCAAATGCATATTCCGTGTATCTGCAGATTTGTGGTATCGTGTACGTATCGTGTTCGCAATGCAGTCAACCGGCACCCCTATACAACGCCTGCTTCCCATTCGTTTCAAGCCGTGCAATGCTCCAGAGAATCGAGACCTTCCCATCATAACCATGGTAGCCGGACCATGCTCTTGCAAAGAAAGATCCGTGACCCGCAGGGTCTTGTCGTTGTACTTCCGCGATGACGCTTCGTGTATGCTTTCCTTCACCTCCATGCAGCACTGTGCTTCTTTCAGGACCCATACAGCCTCATCTGGGGGTACCCAGGTACCATTCCCATGGGCGCCCTCATGGGCTGCCCGTATTGTGTATGGCTCGGGAATCGGTTGAAATATCCTATGAGCTTTCTGCCCACGGCAGGCTCCAGCTCTGTTCCATCTCTTGCAATCTTCACCTCCCGGCTCGAGTTCCACGGGTTTCGTAACCCTCTCGCTCGGTAGAAGGGAAGTCGATTTGTAGAAAGCCACTCTAGCTTGAAGGGCTTACCCCACGTCTTCTGGTCCTCCTCCTCGTCCGTCTCTTTATTTTGTGTCTCATCCTCTTCGTCCTCTGCTTCGTCGCGTTCAATCTCCCAGAATATTGTACCTCGCGCAGAATCGTCAATTATACGTCCGCTGGGTGCATGTTCGGTCGCCTCGGTCGGGATAGCCTTTGGCAAATCGGTATCGGTCGTCGTTTGCGCTTTCGGGGCAAATTCAATGGCGGCGTCGGGGTCCTGGTTAATCTCTGAAGCCATCCGAGCATATCCAAAATATTCGCCAGACTTGTTCGCTGAAAAGACAAGATATACATTGTCCGTCGCCTGGTAATAGTTAGCATTTCAAAGTAAAATGGGGCTTGGGCCACGTACCTTGAAAGCATTGTTGAGCGTGTCCTCGTTGTGAGATTGTGTCGCCCACATGCCTGTCTGTACACTCCGTTCAAGGTCCTCCACGGTCAAGCTCTTCAAGATGAAGAATTTGTCTTGCTGTCCCCCATCGGCTACGGTTTGACGCGGACGTGTAGTCTGAGGCTCCTCCCCAGTGGAATCTTCAGGTGTCTCGGGCTTGGCAGTAGTGTTGTCTTCGTCCGTTGGCACCGTCGACGTTGAGGCTGTACTCGAACCTGCTGGCCCCGTTGGTGCCGTCGCACCACCGGCTCCCTCGACCGTGCTCTTTCGCAAGCGGCTTACGAGCCTTACGGACTGAAACTTGGAATCGTGTAATTTCTGCTGCGCGGCCGCGCACGTTGCATCGTCCTTGAAGTTAGCAAAGGCGCAATTGCTCTTGGAAATCAAGAACAACGACTCGAGGCCCGGAGCTTCCTGGCATACATGATGCACGAGGCTCATGAGCTCAGTTTGTGGTGGCAGGTTGCCGACCCATATCGCGTGGCCTTGTCATCGTCAACATTGGGGAATGGGTCATAGATAGGTGGACAATCTCACCACTCTGTCTAGGTTTCCTTGGCGGCCCGCGCACAGCGCTCGTCTGTTGCCGATCCTGCTCATCTGCGACGGTGTTAGTCCTCTGTGACTGTCCATTTGCCCAAGCGCTCCTACCTGGGCCTCTTCTGTCCTGTGCCGACCAGCGTGGATCGGGGTGGTGATTGATGGTTACTCGTGGATCGATCGGCGTCGTCGGACTCGTGGGCATGTACTGCCCTGAAAACATGGCGGCTTGCATACTTTGATTTGGTGGCGCGTACTGAACATTCTGAGGATAGTAGTACCCTGGCTGTGAATGCCCCATAAGCATCTGGTTCTGGTAGTAGCTCATATTTTGCCGATGAGCATGCGCAGGAGGCATATGGCCTCCTCCATAGTATTGGGATACATGGGGCTGCTGTGACCCGTAATATGCATGGTTGCCCATACCCATGGGCGAGGACGGACCATATTGCCCCGTATGGTCCATCTGGTGCATCACAGGGGGCGATGCAGTCGGTATAAAGCGCTGTTGGCCACTCTGTGGGAATTGTTGCCCGCCTCTATGACACCCTCGCGGTAAGGCGCTAGCCATGGGTGCCATATTGTAGGGAGACTGCTGCTGAGATCCGTGAGACACATGGCCACCATGCGGTTGGTTGGCAAAAGCTGCGGGATCAGCTTGGGCGCCATTTGCTACCGTAGAGAGTGGCTCTTTTTCAGTGGGGTGAACATCGCCAATGGTCTTTTCGGCAGCTGAAGTGGTCGTTGTTGATGGTTCGTCGTGCTCGGTACCGAGCGTCGGTCCGGATGTCGCGAAATCTCCCATCACGCCTCGCAGGTTGCGTTTGGGGAAGCCGGCAAATTGTTGTTCGTACAACCCGAAACGCCAGTGTATAGCTTTTGAACTATACTGGAAAGAAATGAGATGCGCTGAGGGTTGGGGGCAGACAGGGGCCTGTCTTTCACCGAGGGTCTCAGTAAGTCCGCAGACAGGGTGGAAGAGAAATGTTGCTGTTGCTTAGCAACAATTGCCACTCAGGCACAGTGCCACGACAAGTGGGTAAGCTGTTCGGACTGGTGAAGATCGAAGTATCGGATCGTGTTGAAAGGCGCGGCGTGCTCGAGGCGAATTGTGCTTCTGCAGCAGTGTAGTAGTATTGTGCTCGGCAGCAGGTCTATAACCCTGGAAGCTGGTCTGGAGCCCGGGGTCTTTTCAACTGTTGGACAGCAACGGCGAGCTCTGTCTCTTGCTCGCCAGTCAACGACGCGAGTCCGGCCCAAAGCAGAGGAGTCGCTAAGCTTTTCAACTGTTCACAGGTTCTCGTCAGAAAGTCAGCGATAAGTGTGATGGAGATGAGGACTCACCACGCAGTAGTGCTACGCAAGACTTGTGCTGCTCGGAAGGAGCTGGGAATAACTGGGTAGGTAAAGAGGGTGTTGTGGCAGTGTGTATGAATTCGAGATCCTAGGATGAGGCGAATGTAAGAGAGCCTGGACTAGATCATAAGGGGAAATGCCAAGTGATATAATTGGCGTGTAGACGAACGTGATGGCGATCGTGGCCTGCGTCTTGTCCGTGTACAAGTGACTGGAATCATGCAGCCCAGGATCATAAACGATGACCCTTGCGACTTGATGATGTGATGTGCGTTTAGTGGCGCACCAACGCAGGTTGAGGACGACACGCGATGGTGTCTAAACAACTAGTAGTCGGCACAGCTTCTCTAATTGATGTTTGTGAAGGAGAAAGGGTATTTGAGCAGGATGCAACAAGGAAGATCCTGGTGGTAGGTACCGCACAGAATGTCCCGTCCAGAATGACAGTGTATCACCCTTGGCCTAACTGGTAGCCACAGTGTACAGTAGGACGAGGAGATGATGGTTTTTTATTAGCCAAGCCACATGTTCCTGGAGAACATTTATGGGAGGCAAATGCCATCTTGAGCTTGGAGAGGCCCCAGCCAACAAACGCCCACGGGTCCACGCTCGGCATCCGCAGGGCTACTGGGCCAAGCTATCCAAGAGGCTGCTATTAGTGGCCAATTCAACTCACGGAAGCTGGCGTCCCACAGCTAGGCAGGTCGAAACAACCTTCCGGCCAGCATGCCAAGTGCTCCATGCTGCAATTCGAGGCGGACAGTGGAGGCTGATGTGCATGTAGCCCTCCAAGGGCCCAATCCAGGACCTGCATGGCCAACAATCGTACTTACTCACCCAGGGGCGTGGGTGGGTGTGGTCCCCGTGGAAGCGCGCCGAAGGGACCTGGGCGTCTGTGATGTCCGGCGCAAGGTGTGGTCGTAAGAGAGGGCGGGATCAACTTTAGGATCTGAACAGAGCAGATTTCGAAGAGCGAACATCCACAATACCACCCAGCGGCGGAAACTAGGGGATCCAGGGGTGGGTGGGGTGGACCGAGCGGACTCGCTTGTACAGTATCCGTACAGGCTGACGACTGAACCTTGAACGTCCTGCCCAGTCATGTCCTCGAGGCGACGACATCACGTCGGTTGCCAACCACATCGCCAGGAATGGAACATTCGCCACTGAAATCAAGGGTCCCTGCCAAGCTACTGTGTACTTCCAGCGATGGACCCTTGGCCCTTGTGCAGTGACCCTTGACGCCTCCATGTGGCGCAGAAAGTCATGGATGAAATTGATACCTGATCAGCTGCTCCAAAGCCTCCAATCCAACGCGCGCCCGGCCGAAGCGCTCCGGCAACCGAGTCTCGACTTGGAAGACGGGTCCGCCCACAAGCCACCTTTCCAACCTGCCGTCTGGACGGTATTGGCACTTGGGCGGGGGGGGGGGGGGGGGGGGGATGGTTGTGGCGGCGGATCTAGAACTTGGAATTTGACAGCATGGACCGTCTCTCTCCCATTATCGTGGGCAATTGTGAGAGACGGTCTACGAACGTCCTCACCCAACCATTTTTCCCCAGCAGTGCCTAATGCGCCTTTGTGGCAAATATTAGACAGGGCACTGCCTGGCTGTCTGCAGTGAGCATGGCTGTTACTGCGGTTGCTTTTCTTCGTTGATTTCTGATAGCGACTGCTACCAAGTTAGGTCAAGGTGCTACCAGCCCGAAGACACTACGACAAAGCCTCAGCACCGTAGCAATTCGCCACTTTGGATACCCTGGCCAAGAGAAAACACCCCCATTTGTCATCGTATACCCTCTTGCGCAACACAAGCCACCGCAGGCTTCACAAAAGTCGACTGCGGTGCGCGTCCACAACGAGGCTGCCCAATTCGCAATGAGGTGACGTTGCGGCACATGTGCGAGTGGGGAGGCAATGGAGATGATCGGCGTTGGCCCTTCGCCAATCCGAATGGCTGTAATGAAAGTTCGATTCCTCACAGAATCGAGGAAATTGTTTCACCGATCGCAAACCACCATCTCCAAGAGCCCCCCTCCCCTGCGCCACGACGTCATCACTACAACTGTCTGTGCGCGACGCACTCCGTACAGTGTACGGTCCGGCACCTCGTGACGACTGCGTATACTCTAACACAACTGCGAGGACAATTGTATGAAAGTTATCTGCTCAGTAAAGAAAAGAAATTAGATTTATACCAACCCGGGATGCTACTAGTGAGATCTTACCCAGTGCTCGCACGCCCGGATTTTCGGCGTTACGGTTGTGTGCCATGAAATTATGCACACTAAACTGTGCTCTGCGCCAAGCCACCCTATCAATCCACTTGTCTCCGGGGCAGCATCCCACCAATTCGTCAGAGTCGAAATGTCAGGTCACAGGTGCCGCGGCAGGGATGCCATCGCACCGTCTTGAAATGCCCATCAGTTCTCCGGAGCAAACCATCGCCACGGTTCATAAGTCACTACTAGTAGGCTATCCGTACTTGCTACCGTTGTACAAGAGTAATTCGTGCGCTCTGCTCCGTGCGCCGATAGCTACTAAGGCGGTACTTTCCCACTTCAGTATCGAAACAAACTTTCAACGCTGTTTGTTCAAATGCCCTAGCGTCAACCCCTAGCAAGCGAGACGCACTATCGACAGCTGTACGTGTACCGCAGTGGGCTCAGCATAAGCCCATGACGTCTCGTTCCGAATACGTACTCAGTACGTATGAATATTGACCCTGTGAGCTATTGCATGTAGATCGCAATCCATGTCAATTGGATCGGCTTTTGTTGGTTGAATGTCCCCTCGCCTCGTGTCACGTGTCCCCCGCACAAAACGTCGCCGTTAGCCAACCGACAATCAGACAGTCACTAAATGAACGACGAGAGGTTGACGTGCCTCAGGCGAGCATTCACAAAGAGAAGCGGTGAAATTTCGTCTCAACGCAATACCACCCACAAGCAGCCTAAGGATACCAGCATCAAATTCTGCGGCTTATCGCCGCAATAACTCCAAGTCTCCAACCGCGTTGTCGCTCGGGCTCGTGGGGCATGTCTGCCCAAAGGGGACTAGAGCCCGAAAGACCATTGATTGCGTGATGACGACATACAACTGTCAGTGACGACCTTGGGGCATTCGGGACGCAGAGTACCGCGAGCACTGATCATGATAGGCTACGATCTGGGACTCGGGGACCATGTTCAGGACCTTCAGGTACCAGAATCCTTGGATCACGATCAGACACAGGACACGGTCTCTCACCTGCGCTACGTTGTGCGTACTCCGGTCCACGATCCACCTCAGGTTGTGCAGTGGTTGACTGTGAGGATTGGATGATGACCTCATCTTGGCAGTGCCTAGCAGATGCGGTCATCAAAGGCCTCGAAAGAATATTCTAATGATGAAACTCGCGGCAGTGTCATGGTTTCACAGTGTCGATACGCGACAGAAATTGAGTCTCTTTTGATACGTATATAGCATCCAATAATGTTCAAGTGCAGTGCAGCTTCGCATCACTTGGAGTACGTACTTGCGGGCTGAAATAGAGCTACACCCAAGGCCAGCATGAAATGCACTGCCGCTTTTCCTTTTGCTTCTCTCGCAATCGTGGCAAGTTCAAATCGGCGAGAGCCATCGGTAGCCCGAGAATTGGAGCTTTGCCGCCAATGAACGTTGACGTTTTTGCACCTCTCGTACTTGTAGTCGTGAATTAGGGGATCGAGCAAATAAATCTACAGTACGGAGTACTACAACGATGACCTACGAAATTCTACTCATATCGGGGGGAATGAAAAATGTATCTCTTGCCAACCCTAATAATTATTGATGGCTATAGACTGCCCACGAGAGAGACCCTGTACTGATTTTCATGATATATCCTCTTCACGGAAGGATACCTAGGGTAGGCCGTACAGCAAGAGGTCCTCATCTGGGGAATTGTGGAGGTGCGTGCCGCTCTAGTCTCCAGCCACATTCCCGCTAGCAAACGCCGAACATTTTGCCTCACCTTACCGAGTCTTCACCGCTGCCCGATGTTCTGCATCCTGTCCCGGGTTCGACGACCCGTAAGGGCTGGCCAATTATATTTCTTCTCCTGTCATGGCCGCACGCATCTCCTCGAACTTGATGTCAAAATGCTCGAAAGGGGACCCATCGGCCACCGCCGAGGCTCTTGCCCCAATTCTATCCAAGACTCCAAGACTCCAAGACTCCAAGTGCAACAAAGGCGTAATTAGTCGTATTGCTCGGTGGCAAAAACAGATTTCGATGTTTGGGCTCCGCGAAAGCTGCCGGCATAGAGTTCGTGAGCTTAGCTCGAGACCCTCACGAGCTCGTGCCATTGACCAGTCGCATTGCCTCGATTCTGTTGCCGTCCTCGAGTGACAGGCTGACAGCCAGCACATTTGCCACTGTCACGCGTGTCGACAAGCCTCTCATGAGTCAACACGCAAAGTCAAGCTCGTGGCTTGCGGCCCATCACTGTCCCGTCTTGGTAGACTCTTAATTATCCCCCCACCAAATACGCGAATGTATCATTTTTAGAGCTCGGAACGGATGGCGTCCGCCCAAAGTCCCGACACTCCGTGACTCGAGGCTGGCAACACGCCCCCCCTCATGGCGGTTGAGATGCGGTTCTGCAGTTTCTCCATGTGGCCGGCCGAACAGTCTTCACAAACTCACATTGATTGGTAATGATGCACCGGCATTTTCACGAGACCGCGTAAAGTTTCCTCTGTACGCAAACACCTCGCCACTCTACTGTGCTTCCATCGTCGTCGGTCTCCAATTGGCAAGAGGGTCTATCTGGCCCCAAGCCACATATCTTTGGAAGGCTGCTTCACCACGTGTAAGCCAAAATATGCTCTCCGAAACTTAATAAAGCCCTCAAACATGGTCTGTGTGAAGCCAGTCAGACCAGATGTGTGGAAATTCA